TTCTGATCAATTCGTCAAGTGAAACTATTCAACTTTGCTTCGGACCGTGTCAAAGTTATCTTCCATCCCGAGTTTTTGAGTTCCAACAATCCTTTGCTTGCTATTGATTACGAGGATTTTGTTCGTGGCTGCCATCTTGGTGTTTTTCCATCTTACTACGAGCCATGGTATGTGATATATCAATGTTATTATGTGGTTGAATTTTTGAGCAGTTGGCATTGAATTTATAGTGCAGTCGGACTAGAATGGTTTACTCATACATTTTGAATATGTTTTAATTTGATTGGGTTCTAGGGGATATACTCCTGCCGAGTGCACGGTTATGGGTGTGCCATCAATTACAACCAATCTTTCTGGATTTGGCTGCTTCATGTCTGAAATGATTTCTGTTCCATCTGACTATGGAATCTATATTGTGGATCGCAGACTTAAATCTGTTGAAGAGTCGGTCAATCAGCTGGCGGACCACATGGTTGAATTTTGCAAAAAGACCCGTCGTCAACGTATCAACCAACGCAATCGTACTGAGCGGTTGTCAGATGTGTTGGACTGGAAGCGCATGGGTCAAGAGTACATCAAGGCACGATGGGTTGCCATTCGTCGCAAGTACCCAGCTCTGGTTGCCAAGCATGATGAGGAATGTGGAGAAAACTCGGATGATGATGGTAAATCAGACTTCCAGTATGGCTATGAAAGCGATGCCAATCCAGCTGGTATGCAGCGTGAAGATCTTTCATCGCTAAGATATCACCAAAAAGTTCCTCGTCCACCTAGCATGCCTGGATCACCTCGCTTGCGAGGTGAAATGATCGAAGATGAGGTCACTGCTCATTTGTTTTCTTCCGAGGACGACAAAGATATGAATGTGAGTGCGCTCATGTCAGAGCTCAGAGCATTGGGACTTCGCGGGACTGCAGAGGATTTTGTTCCACCTTCCAATGGATCTAGTACACCAAAATAAATGCTGGCTTTTATTTTAGTTTTTTACTCGGTATAGCGTCTGCAAAGGTATACGCTTGATCGAGTTTAATCAGCTATACTTTGAACCAAGCTACATACACGAGTGAAGAAATAAACATCATTGTACTAAACAATTATATCGTGCCAATATTTTTATTCAGCATATACTTTAAATTGTAGCAGTACTTGATCTAAACTTGGTTTATTTGAATGCATTCTTGAAAAACTGTATTTAATCCAAATACATTTAAACCTTGTCAAAAACAAAATCGCTGCATTGAAAAAGCAATATTGGTCTGGTAAAACTAGCAAGTCAGATATCAAAGGTTGAAAATTCAGAGTTTGGCAGCCATAGTCGGACTCTCCAAAATATGGCGATCAATATACTGGTTTGTAAAGATATCAGTAGGATCCAACCGAGATCTGATGGCACAGAATGAATCAAATTGGGGATATCGCTCGCGCAAGTCCTTTGCAGTCAAATGATGTTCCTAGTGGAAAACTCGAATGTTAAATGTTTTATAGCCAGTAGTATGATTCGCCTTTGAACATCTCAAAAAATACCTTTGCCCAATGGGGACGACCTCCAAGACTCATCATGATGGATTCGTATCCTTTCCAATAAGCAGCCTTGTCCACCTCCATTCCATATGGTCTACGTTTACATAACCATACGTCAATATCAAAGTTTTAGCAAACTATAGTCAAATGCATGTATGGTTACCTATACATGATGATTCCAATAAAGCAGGTATCATGTCCGTATGACATGCTCATAGGAATATCATCTGCCTTGACAAAGCGGATCTCAATTGGAGAGTGTGCCACGATTTTTGGATGCTCCTCGAGAAATGCTTTCAATTTAACAAGAGCCTCGGGTGCTTTTGTCCTAGAGTATCAGAGTATGCATTGGATATAGTAGATATTTAATGTGTGGTTGCTGACTGATTCATCAAACATGTACATTCCTAGTTTTTATATTCCAAACATACCATTCGATGGCCCACTCGGTAACATATTGCGAAAATAGGCAGTCAAAGTTGAAAACATTGAAACTCTTGCCAATGGCAGACACTGGTGCGCTGAAGAGTAGATTAAAAATTTGGCGATTGATGGTAGGAACTAGCGACGGAAACCATGTCGAGGCATATAATGAGGCTTCGTATCCATGCACACCGAAAAGAGTGTTTTTAAGCCAATCAGACTGAGTTGTTTGAGGTAGCTAAATACAAGAGTTTACCGAAAGCAACCCATCTGTTTAATCTATTTTGAACCAAAAGACAACGAAAATAGGAAACAAACTCGTAAATATGAATTCATCAATTACCTCTGATGTACGAGTGCCTTTCCAAACAATGCAATTATCTGAATGGGGAAACCACCAGAATCGTACATGGTCAGCACTCTGAACATGCGCTCCAAAATCGTTGATCATACTTTTGAACTGAATGGGTTTTTGAATCGACTTGATTTGGTATGCAGAAACAACCTGCAGTTTAACCCGAGTAATTACACCGAGACAACCGAGAGAGCATAATGCTGCCAAAAACAGATCTGGACTGGATTCTCGCGACAGAGTGAGGATCTCGCCATTAGCAATGACAAGACGGAGCTCCAAAACCATCGAGGCAAGGATTCCGAATTTGATTCCGGTGCCATGAGTTCCAGTGCTGATGGCACCGGCAATACTCTGTTCAGAGATTGATCCCAGATTCAAAAGTGCCAATCCAAGACGATCCAGTAAATCATTCAGTTGGTGAAGTTTAATCCCAGCACCCACAGTGATCTGCAGTGCTTCCATATCAACCTAGACGGATAGAAACAGTGATCATTTCATCAGCATCATTCTATGGTAGATAAACCATAACGTATAATTATCATCCATCCATTTAGTGGATACCACAATAAACTACCGCTCAATCAATATAAAGCCAGTATAGCTAAAAGGCAATCACCTTGCTGACAGTAGCGAGAGCATCAATGTTTAGCAGAATGCCAGTTGTACAAGAAATGTCTGATGGGGAGTGGCCAGTGCCAACGACTCGCAGCTTTAGGTTGTGCTTATGAGCCATGGCGATTGCCTGCACAACATCCGCTTCTGTCTGGGCCATGAGCACTAACGCTGGCTTGCATGAAAAGGTCTTTGCCCAGTTCTGGAATGTCTGGTTTCTAAGCTGCTTCATCTGTAATTGGTCTTTACGATCCTCGTTCTGCTCATGCATGGCTACTGATTTATAGCCGTATTCACCTTGTATTCAAAGCTGCCTGCCGAAGCACTTCAATCGAGTTGCTGCCATTGGATTTCCATTTGGTCTGACCATCACGTTATTGCTATCAGGTTCGATTTCTTATCGTTATATTGCTTCAATACTTTATAACGCTCAGAAACTGCATCGATGAATTCATTCCAACATGCCATTCAATGTTTAGACCGAGTCAGTTGGATTAGTTGAATGAGTATCGATATGACTTGCTACGATATTATCCAGAAATAGTATAAACCAATCTATTTCCTGCTCTCCGGTGCCAATTCATGTATCTGCTGACCACTCATCTAAATATCCATGGTCAGTCTGCTCCAACAGACCCTAACCCCACGCCAACACTATTTCAAGTATTACAATATCATATTAAACCTGCTATATAAATATGCCAAAATAACTGTTTATCAACTACATCCATCAACAGCTTAATACCCCGTCACCTAATACTACACCCCCTCGGTCCTTTCTGCTCTCCACACTTGTTTCAATAAATACGGCCCTGCCTTTGTTGGTGGTCAACACCCTTCGCCATTTATAGATTATATTTGAGTGGATATTAACTAAACGCGTTCAAATCTATATAAAGTGACAGCGAGGATTTGTCATTTACTTTTCAACACTCGAATTCAACCCGATACTTTAGTATATTGCTCATTTATTCACGCTCACCCAATATTTCAGCTTCACAATAAAACCACTTTCAAACCATTTTGGTCATGTCAGCTTCAATTCTCGGGTCGATCCCTCGCAGCAGTGGCAAGTCCAACCTAAATGAAATGGTTAACGCTCTACAAACAAGCGCACCCACCAACCTGATAGACCCTAAAGTCACACTTTCAGTAGCTGTTGCTGCAGAGTCATTAACATCTAGTCTTGCTGCAATGGATATTGGGGGCGCGAAGTATTGCGCGACACAGTCTGAAATGCGTGAGCCAAAGACTGCTGTTGCTGATACTCAGTCAAGACAAAATACGGTACATATGTCTGATACACCTGAACCCACAGCAGCATTTAATCAAACTACTTTGCGTAGTGCTAGCATCATGAAGCTATGTACGTACTCTGCTGTATTGTTTACAACTTAAACTTGACATTTGTTGTACAACGTGGTTTGCTCATCCAATTATTGCATTATTTAAATATTAGATTTTATGGATCATTACTTTGACTTGTTGACCTATTTGGACAATCGCAAACAGCGTTTAGAGCAATTTAAAAGGCAGCTTACGGAATCAAAGGTAATGAACTCTTTAGGGTTAGAATGTTGTCCACTATAGATTTGAATATCATTTACTATCAGTATGTTTTCAAACAAATATTCATGTATTCAAGTCGACTTACATTAAAATACTTTATCAAATCAGCTACCAGAAGAAAAGGTAGATCAAGAATGGTCCATATACAATGGTCGTGAGCGAGCATATTTGCGTAAGCGTCGGACACGCATGCGAATGAGCCATTTTCAAATTGTAAAGCAAGTCGGACAAGGTGGCTATGGACAGGTACAAAGAGGGATTTAAATTTTATGGGTTGCCTTATTGTTCTGATGGATAACTAATATAATATGATCTTGAATTTTCGACTCTAGGTGTTTTTGGCTAAAAAAAAGGATACTAGCGAACTGTGTGCTTTAAAGCGGATGAACAAAAAGTTGCTGATGCGTATGGGAGAGGTATGGATTGATGATGCAATTTGTGATGCAATCCCCTAAAAATATTAACATTTCGTTTTTCATTTTAACAGATTCAGCATATTTTGACTGAGCGAGATATTTTAGCGCGTACAGACTCTCCATGGCTTGTCAATCTGTTGTATGCTTTTCAAGACATGGACAATGTTTATCTTGCCATGGTGAGTGGAATCAGTAGACGTACACTGCAGTTTTTCATATGGAAGCAATGCATCTCTAACAGCATTTATCTTTTAGGAATTTGTTCCAGGTGGAGATTTCCGCACTTTACTAAATGCCAGTGGTGTGCTTCGTCATGAATGTGTGCGTTTTTATTTTTCAGAAATGTGTGCAGCCGTTTTCTCTTTACATAATTTTGGTTACATACATCGAGATCTCAAGCCAGAAAACTTTCTAATTGATGCATCAGGACATATCAAATTGACAGACTTTGGTCTTAGTCGAGGTACGCTTTCGCCTCAAATTATGGAATCACTGCGTCAAAAGGTAACTTGTCGATGCCTTTTGAAATATTGCTCGATAATATACTTTAATTTTGACTCTTGTATTTTGAATACTGATTTAGCTGGAGAGACTTAAAAATGCACCATTGACGCTTAAAAGTCATAACGATCGATTCAATACTTACAGATCGATGCGTAAAGAACTTCGTGCATTTACTCTAGTTGGATCGCCTGATTACATGGCACCTGAAGTGCTTGTTAGTCGAGAGCAAGGATATGATTTGACTGTTGATTATTGGTCGCTTGGATGCATTTTATTTGAGTGCTTAACAGGTGAATTATTTTTTAAAAAGTTCATACTTGAGTATCTTTTGATAGCGATTGCATGACTAACCAGTTTTTATTTGAATTTGCTAGGATATCCTCCATTTACTGCAAACTCTACTGATGATGTTTGGTTAAATGTGTATCACTGGAGCAAAGTTCTTGAGCGTCCTGTTTATGTTGGACAGGATGAAGAGTTTAACCTTGAAGATTGTGCCTGGGATTTGATCACAAAGTAGGTATTTTTATGATGAAGATGTGTAAAATAATTGACTAATTAGTTTAAAATTTTTCTAGACTGATTGCCAACCATGAGGATCGATACAAAATTCCTGAGCAAATCATATCTCATTCTTTTCTTGAACCGTATATTAAATTCACTGCTCTTCGAGCTCCCGAAGGACCCAAACCTCCACTGATTCCCAAACTCACTTCCTCAATTGACACGTCGTATTTTGACGACTTTAATGATCCAACCGACATGGAGCGGTACAAAGAAGTTCATCAACGCCAAACAGATCTTGAAAAAAGCGGATCCGAGTTGGCTGGTGTAGATACCTGCCGCAATCTGCGCAGTGCGTTTGTTGGATTCACTTTTAAACACAACCAAGCAATTCCTGATCATCTTCCGACTTTGGTGTAATACTTGAAACGATTCCTTTTTCACCACATACCCTCTGGTTTTAATCAACAATTATCAACAACTCAATATATCCTCAAAACCTTTCCTAATAAGCTTGCTAATAACACTACTGATAAAAAGCTTCGCTACTTTAAAACATTACAAGCTAACAGAGCTGTACTAAAAATAAAGATGCTTGATTCAAATTTTATTCACTCAATTTGGTGGTATTTGATCCAGAAATAAAATAGTTTATATATCACTTTACACTTGAACGGGTGAAAAGTGCTTGCAGGAAGACATCTTGTCTTGAACTTACTTTTACAAATAGATGCGTGTGATAATGGGAAGTTATTGCCATACTTTAACCACACCGTCTCTACCACCAGTAATGATCATTGGATGAGGATACTGAGTGACGGCAACATCCATGATTTCATCAAGGTGAGTTCGGGGAATTGCACTGGTGATAAGCTCAGCACTTGTTTTGAACATAGGTTCGGCCTGTCGTGATGATCGCTTCGCATTGCTTCCGCCTTGATGATTTCGACCCTTTGACTGAGATTCATCTTCACTGTTCATACCGGGGAGATTGCGCAGCGGAGACCATGTCCCGCTCATTACTGGAGATTTTGACAGATCCGTGGCTGAAGCAGAGGAGATTGGAAAAAAGTGTTGAGATTGCATTTCGACATTGAAAACAGTATCACCATACAGTTGTGAACTAGTCCGTTTCAACAACAAATATATGTAGAATGAGAATCTCCAATGCAGAATAATCAATCCCTCACCAAAAAACAAAGAATCATTCGATTTACCTGTACTTGGGTAACGGTGCAGTTTCATCCCGTCCACAAACAACAAAGCTGTCGGTCATTTTAGAAAGATTCCAAAATCTAAGTTTGCGACCCATTCCAACAGTAGCCATGAATGGTACTTCAGGATGAACACAAAATGATCGAACACCATGATGTTTAGAGACATTGTAAAGTGAGAGCGATGCAGAGTCATCAACAAAATTGTGTTTTGTAGGTGGTGAAAGTGCCTAGAATAGATATAGCAGCCACTACAGATAAGAAGCATGCATAGCAACTTGAATACATAGTACACAAACATATTTACACTTAATCCTTCGCCGTAAGCTCGATTCAAATCATTTCCCATGTCAATATTGGAACGAGATCCAGATCCGCCAACATCATTAAGAATACAAAACACTTCGGCACATTCACCAGTGCTTATATTCCACACAGACACTTCTTCAGTCGATGTACCGACAGCCATAGCAACCAACTTCCCATTAGAGTTTATGCCTGCGCGGCTTTGACTACGAAAGGCATATTGGGAAAGCTTATTAATGCGTGAGCGAGAAGGATGAGCCCAGGAATTTATACACAGTTGGAATCGAGTGTCCCACAAAGTGAGAACGCCGCGATGCGTACCAGCCATGATCCACATCCTACGTGGATCAACAGTCATGGATGTCAATACTCCATAGTGTGGTGGAATTTGGAATGACCACGCTTCTTTCATGGTACGTAAATCGAGTGCGCAAAGACGACCGCGTGTTGTGCCATAAATAAGCAAGGACTCCGTATCTATTTGCATAATACATTCCATCAATATCCTGTTTTAAAAACAATCAAATGCATCGTAATTCAATTAAAACTTGAGAATCCTACCTGATTCAGAATGATCGACCATGGTTGCATACTCATGATCCAATTTAATCGACCTGGCAAGTGGCATTCCAGTATACTTTAAAGCACTACCTTGCGGTTTAACATATTCAACCCTAAAATGAAAAGTTGATTTATTGATACTCAGATCAATATCTCAATCAGAAAAGCAAAGCATTAGATACGGTGAATAGTATACCTGTTGATATGAATCTGACCATTTGTAGCAGCAGATACAATACTATGTCGATTTTCACAAAATGAAATTGCCTTGACTCTACCACCTGCATTTCAAAGTTTATAAAAAAATAGACACAATTAAACTCGGCTAAATATAAAAAACCATAAGCCATGTTGTCTACAACTACCTGTTCCAGCATAGGTAACACGAGCACGGTTGGCAACATTTGTATGTAGTCGATTGGTGTCCCATAGTTTGACAGTTCCATCATCTGAACACGTTGCAAAAAAATTATGGTCTGGAGCAACAGCAATGCCATTTACTTGTAATGTGTGTTCTGGAAAATGAGCGACCAATATACCCTTTGGCTTCCATCCTTTAAATTCAGACTGTGTGGCTGCACCAGTATAAGTTCGTTTAAGGCGGGGATCGACAGTAGCTGTGCGACTTGCAAGTGTTACTCTAGTGCCAAGTTCTATTACACATCAGATATATATTGATCACAAGTTTATGTCAATAGAGAATCAAAGCGGATCAAAGTATAAATGACATTGGATATACCTGGTAGTGACGGAGGAAATAATTCTCTGGTCTTTTTTTCAAGAACTTTACGAATATACTTTTCTTGGCCATCGGCAGCTAGTATCAGTGATAACACATGTATTAGCATTATTAACGGATATTCTACTCAAATCATCGCAATCAACTGGATGATTACCAGTAGCAGATGTCAAACTCTCAGTAATTTTTCCACGGCCAGAAATTCGTTTCGACAATCTATCTGCTCCTCCAGGGATAGTTGTAGGGTCTGCAGTAAGATCATAATTGCCAATACTACTAGTTTTGGATTGTCGTCTTGGATTTCCAGGCAAGCCAGTGTTTGATCGAGGCCGTGGAATGATTTTACGTAGTGACACTCCTCCCTCGACATCTACAGATGCCAAAGAGGATGCAATATCTTCCGATTCTACAGAAAATGTGCTGTCTTGAGCATTGGATCCTGCAGTGATGACACTAAAACGACTTCCTCGTCGCCCATCCCCAACACCGATGGCTGACCCAGTATTAGAGCTTGGCTGTATATATGAAATAGGTCAGAAAACCTCGTTTAGATGCAACATATCAATACACAAGAATACCTTGCGAGGCGGCTGACTGTGGATCTGATATTGAGAAATAGGAGGGGTCAAAAAAACAGTATGAAGTGTTACGTCATAATCTCTAAGAGCAATGCGTCCAAAGTCCGTCAAAGGCAGCGCGTTCATAGACAAGGTCGTTTTTCTATACAGGTGATTCCAATTGTAATACAAAACCATGTAAGTTGCGCCAATATATCACCATCAAAAGAATTTCTGCTATCAGTAGATAATATTGATACATACCGTTGGCGAGTGGCAGTAGATTTGGCAATGAAGTACTTTAACGCAAATAGCTTCTCTTTATCTTCATCACTCATGCCCATGTCTTTAAGCCTGACAAGTAATTCGTTGCGATCATTGCTGTGGGAGTCTGTGTTTTGATTGCTGGAATTCAAACCAGTAGGTCGCGTTTCAGGATTTGATCGAGACGCAAATAAGATAGCTTGTTCATAAAGACTTCGTGGAAGCTAAAAAATTAAAACATTAGTGAGTTTCAAGCACTACTCAGTAGACAGATAATTACAGATGCACATACTGGGCTCCTTATACTCTCCAGCAGTGAAATTTGACTAAAATTAAATGTTTTGTAGCGCAAAAACGGCTTGACCATAGGATAAAGCACACAGCGAATATCAATTGGCGGAAGAATACGAACGGTTGATGATAAAAATGCGACAACACCTAGACCATCAGTATGTAAGCTGAATCGCCATAAAATACACTTGAATCGTGTAAAATAAAGCAAGTACTATCAAATTTAAAGCTCACCATAGCGAATCCAGCGATTTGGGTGGCAGACCAGCGGTAACACAGTGACACATAGTTCTTTAATTTTTATCTTACTTATAAGACCAAGTTCAGCCAGAGATGTCAACGAGCCAAGTACTTTTTCTACAACAAACTCTTCCGAGTCTATTCAATATTCAAAATATACAGCACAGTGAATATACACAATTCAATCAAAAGTGCAGCAAGCTACAATATGCATCAGTTAATTTAAGCTTACCAGTCAGAGCTTGCACCATTAATGGTAAAATATACTCATCAAGACTACGAATTCCAACAAAAGTACCGACACCAACTATAGTTTCATAAAAAGCACTGTAATAAACACACTGTTAGATATGAGTCGCGATAAGCATGCCAGCCAACACAACTAGTGCTAATGTATCAAACAATATTAATCTAACTACCTTCTTAAAGACCAATCTGGATCATTTAGATATGTAATCATGTGTAACAATAAAACATCATTGGCCTTTTGTCTTCCAAAAAAAATGCACAGACGAGGCATCTCAGCCAATAAAGAACGCTTGACGATTGACTGGGGATCAACCAAGAGCGTTTCTACGTCTTCTTGGATAATATCCTGTAAATACCGCTGATTGGCATCATAGCCCATCTACCATGATCATGATATAATCATCATCCACCCAATCCAAATAAATCAGTATATAACATATCTGATATGCATTCAAGTAATGCATACCTGATACATATTGCTGTCCATATTCAAATCACAGTTGCTTTCGGTTTTTAGTATTTGTGAGAGCTCTAAAAACTGAAGTGAAATCTCAGCTACAGATGCAATGGGTATGTTAATTTGATAGTGTCCACCAAATTATTTAAATTTTTAGTAATCGCCATATAGTCATTCAGCTATTACCTATTGATGATATGCATTGAGCGTATGCTGCACGAGCCAATACGTTTGAATCTGTAGCAAACTTTCGAAGGCCTGGAAGTATATACTCTGGAAATATATTAGCATCTGAGGGAGTAATGGATTTAACAGTGAGAAGCTAATTTAACCAGTAAATTATTATTCAGCCGTTAGTATGTCAATTGGCAAAAATATTAAATTTCAAACATCTTGGATATACCAGTTGTGTCAACGTAGTCAATGCATTAATGCGAACAGTGGGGTTTTCATCCGTCAACAGTACGAAAATGTATGGCACGACCCTGTCTAATTTGTGCTCATCGGAAACTTGTATTCCCAATGCTAGCAATAGATCGAGTCCCCTTAGTCGAGAAGTAGAATACAATGTATTTCGGATTGCTGCACATACAATCGCAATAAAAATCAAACTCGTATCTTCTGAAAGCGAACTTTTTCCAATAAAAAGTGAGTTTGAAGTAAAATTTGGTATGTGTACATGAACAGGAAGAAGTGACTAAAACTCTAGAATTAGTAGTGTGTCGAAAAGATCATCAAATGCAGTTGAATCTAGTTAGAGCTGGCATAAAAATACCTTTATGGTTTCCCCTTCCAACCCTATATCTGTAAACTTTTCCAAAACGGTATCCTTATTATCTGCAGGATTCGAGACATTGTTCAAAGATTCAGTCGATTTGTGATGGTTGGGAATCTGCAGTGCATCTGCAATACGTTCAAAATCCTGATACACTCTGTCTATTTTTGCGTCTGCATCTGCAACTATCGCATTGGAACTATTTGCCAAAAATACAAAGTACTGTGCCATATTGGATGCTGAGTATGGATCTGATAGTGATGCAAGGTATGGATGAAAAAAAGAACAAAAATAGTCTGGAAAAGCTTGGTTTCTCCTAGACATACAAGGAGTTAGTTTGACAGATTAAAATCTGAATGTGCCATCCAAGTATACTATGGTGTTTCAAATTACCATTTTGAAATATACTCGCGCATGGATAATCGCTCATTTGGATCTATTTGAATCATGTGCTTTACCAATTCACGTATCGGAACATCAGAAATGGTATCTAATAGTACACTAGGGTCGTATGCTTTTTTCCGATATTGCAACAACTGTGATAATGTAAATAATGGAGTGCCATCCAGGATAAGCTCAGAAATAGTACAACCAACTGAAAATATGTCCATTTCAGCTGTCAACCTTGCGTTTTGATCTTGGGCAATAGGGTCACCAGACTCGTAGAATCGTTCAGGAGCCAAGTAGCATGCTCGTCGACTGGATGTATCAAAAAAAAATGTAAAATCGGCAGGATTATCCTGATTGATTCCATAATGGAATGTTAGCATGCTTGCAGCCACAATATATAGTCGAGGCAATTTGTTGATACCCATTACCTCGGGTAGATAAGCCGGCTTGAATGAGCTGAAATCAGCAACATAAACCCAATTCCAGCTTGTAACAAAAATGTTTTCGGTCTTGATATCTCCATGAAAAATCTATATTCAAAACTGTGAGTTTCTTTTGGAATATTAAAAATTAGCTTAAAACCAAAGTGGGTTATCCAGCGTTTTGGCACCTGTTTTGAATGAGCTTCAGCTACACCAGACAAAATCTGAAATATGATCCATCTCTTTTCCAAAGCTGTGAGTAATGGACGATTACTGTGATGGCACCAATCCAGATGAAATGATGAGTATGATTGCAACAAGGCTAGAAACAACCGAAATACAACATCCTGGTTTGCAATACTGACCTGATTCGATCATACAGATTGCTGGCAATATACTGACGGATCATGTATCCAGCACGATCAGACTCGCTGATAATTTGGTATGGTAAGATATTCGGAATATCTTGCAAAGCATCTCGCTCCACTTGAATGATACAAAACAGGATATTGGCCATTAGAATGCAGTACAACCACATGAAATTAAGCACTTGACGATGACTGATCACATTCGCATTTACCAACATACATTGAAGAGTTTTGACATATTTTTTGAGAGAAAGACTAGGCTCTGGCTTGATAAATATTTTAACGACCACAAGACCTTCTGGATGTCTACATCTAATAGTTTTGAGAAATCTGGAACTTCCTAGACTGTGATTTGGTAGCAAATGGTTTAATCGTGCAAGTCAGCATAATGAAATCGATTTCCAGTTCAAGATGATGGCATAGGATCATCGCTCAAACACCGACTGCAGGACTCGAGCAATCCGGCATTCACCTTTTCTCGTATAAAACATCCGGCAACTCGCCAACATAGCTGTCGATTCCAGCAAGGGTAGCTCGTGGTCTGGCATTAGACACCAAATTGCCCATTTACAAGTCTGATGGCAAGTTGAATGAATGCTAAATATTCAAACTTGCAATCTGAAGCACTTGCTCGAATCATCTTGATTATTGGCTCTGAATGTCTGCATCGGGCCATTCATCTAAACAGTCGCTTCCTTTAGTGTGTATTCCTTCTACTAGCTTGCGAAGCAAGCAGAAACCTCTAGTTGAGCCCATACATGAAACTGCCATTCGGACAAACGGTCGAGTCCTCATTCAGCACACTGAGAGAGCGAGACTAGCAAGGTCTGTTCATGCATGCATTTGCTCACTCCCACTCTATCCAAACTAGCACACATATTCTAGCAATACTCTTTATTAATGAATTATATATAGACAAACCAACAAGGACCCATCAAGGCGATCTGAACTGCGACATCATACATTTCAAGGGCATAGATATTTTGTAGATAGAAATATCAATGGTTTAAACAGCTGCAGGTAAATGGTTTTATAGGCTAACCAACCCATTCAGATGTATGCGATACAACGACAACTGTCTAGCGTCATCAAACTTCATTTTAATTGGATTCTAAATGCATTTATTCTCCTCAATCAGTCCACAAGAGAATATCAACAAATCCAAAGATCGCCATCCTAGTAATACCTCGTTACCTACTATATTGGGATCAGCATCAGATACTAGACATTGTTCTGCTACCAAAACCATACAACATTCTCTTATTGCTTCAAAAAAAACATATACAACTGGTCCATTTCGCTACATTCGGCATATTCAAAAAGCCAATACGGAAAGTAGTGTTCAGCATTGTTTACATCCGTGCATAGATTTAACTCTCGATAGCAATGATCTCAGTAAGGATCAAACCATATTACCCATAGCTGAATCTTCTGTCAGTACGCTGCACAAATGTTTCAAGCCATCACATAGTCAAACTCAGCATATTTACGATTCCCTGCACGAAAACAGTTGGTGTACGCTTCATTGTCTGGACTCGTATCAGGTAATTTATGTGTTCCATGTCCTGTTACTTTTAAGCTCGCGCATGTTTAATGATTGCATGGCTCAGCAGTATCAGATTGAAAAGACTGATGAAACTACCAGCTAACACGGTTATTATATTACTAGAGCCCGATAAAAGCTAAACTAGAGCTAATTCGCCTTTTAGCTGGTTCAGGTCAACAATCCACTTTAGACTCGTTCCATTCAGATATACCAGCCAGCTCTACTCAATTCAAATAAATCATTCATTTTTATAATATTAGGAACTTGATAGTGGACATCTGCATATTAAAAAGTCAAACTGCCAAACCCAACGATTGAATATTCTTCGAGGCTATAGTAGTTCAAGACTAATGTTTAAAAGTAACAATGAGCAGTAAATCATTATCTACGTAGACTCGAAGTCCGCTGTGATTTTGATTTACTGGAAATGTTGTCGCCAGAATGGAACTCTGGGAGCGAAACATTCGTCGAGTTCATATTTGCCAAGGCACTACTGCTAAACGAGAGCCTTCTAGAGCGTGGCATTGAAAGAAAGTTTCCGTCTTGTCCTTGACCGCCATCTCCTATTCTATATTGAAGTAAACTTTTAAACCTGCGTGACTCTTCCGGAGTGACCTTTTCTATATCAGTTGCGTCAAGCGTCGATCCAAGAGATGTATCCAAAAGATCCAAAAACTGTTTTTCCATCACTTTGTCAACCTTGACATCAGTTCCTAGCATTTTGCGAAGTTTGTTGAGTCGTATCAATTTTGAACGTTTGCTCTGGTCGTCTTCTAAAAAGTCTGCAGACGTTCCAGAGATAATAGATGTTGCAGGATCTGCTGTCTCTGGACTGGTTTCAGTCGGATTGATATGAAATAATCTTGCGTCGCTACTGACTGCTCGATACAGACTACCCGATCGACTGGGAAACGTATCGTCAAAGGGTTTAACACATGGTAAAGCACTATTTTGTTGGCTTGACCTAATACCAGGCTCACTATGTACGTCTGAACACTCGCTCACCGAGTGCGAGTTTGATACTAATTGAATTCGCGTAAGTTGAAATTAGTATCATTAATACCAGCATAAATCGAATTCAACTGGCATGATAAAAGCTTTAAATACAAATCTTACCCTGATGATCATCGACGGTTGTCTTGGCAATATATTGCGTGTCGTCTGCGACAGATGGGTAAGATAAAATTGCCTGAGCAGGAACAGTAGCACCCAACAGTCTTTCCAATTTATCAGAAGTCTTTTTAAATTGCTTTTTTTCTGCCAAAGTCAAAGGCCGAGCTTGAGGTGGGGATCGAGGTGCAGAAGATTGTGCCTCTATCACATCAGTTTCGTTGATGCGATGACCCAAAACTTGTGAAAGCTTGTCATAGCGAAGTTTATTGACCATTCTTGCAGAATCAACTGTCTCAGTACTAGAAGTTACATCCATATCAAGCACGCTAGAATTCTCTTCAAACTTGTATAGTTCAAAATCAATTAAACACGAATTCAAATCCAAAGCGTCCAAATTAAGATGGACTTCAAAGTTGTCGACAGGTTGGACTGTATCAGAAGGTGTACTTCCAACAAAGTCGAGTAAATCAATAGTTTTACCCTTACTAGCTACTAATGGAGTTGTGACCTGTTCAGAAACTGTCTGAGCATCCAATACCTCACCCAACATAGTGCGCAGTTTTCGTGCACGACGATTCAGTGCTCGTTTTTCAGCTCGAGTAAGCTCGTTTTGATTGCTTAGTGGAGGCTGATGTTCTTCCGATACAGGATAATTTGTATTGTCGTTTTCTTCATCATCAGAGTCATTACCGCTCTCATCACCTTCCTCTCCAGCAAGAGTGTTGATTTGAATTTGCCTTTTCATATGGCGTTTGGGAAGTCTTGACTCACCAAAAAACTCTGTTAGCTTTTCAGCCTTTTTGCGTTTTGTAAGATCGACTTGGTGGTTTTCTGGATCGATTGTACATGTAATTTTTGAAATCCCATCATCGCTTGCAGTACCATTTGTAGTTGAACCCATTGATAATTTCCGACTCTTGACATGTCGATGGCTATTGTGCATAGCATCAGTAGTGCAACTATGGTGACCAAAAGAATCGGTTTGAACAGTTTGCTGAAGCATATGCTCGTCGGTTGGTCGTTGACCAAAAAACTTTGTTAGCTTCTTTTCCTTTTGTTTGCGCTTTTGGCGATCTGCCCATGCATTACGATTGGTGGTGTTGAAATACCCACGAATGATTGAACTAACTAGTGGAAAGTATCGACCAATAATTCCGCCAAGTACACTTTGTCGAAAAAACATGGACGAAATAGACGGAAACTTTCCGTTTCCAAATGTATCAAGCGCCATTTGAGCTTTATCAGATGTAGGATCACTCAGTATATTGACGATTTCAGCAATCTGATCAAATTTTTGATCATCTGAAAACATGGTATCATAACTCCAAAGTACACGACTTTGAATATACGTGTAGCGGTCTAGATGATTGAATATTATATACCAAATGCATGGGAATAAAGCAAAGTCGATTAATATGTATTCCATAGTCAACATTGCTTTACATTCAAACTAAAATACATAGCAAAACATTCAATTGGTGGAGTAGGATGAGAATATTGAGTTGCTTACCGCTAAGCTTAAATTCTAAAAACTTTTCAAACATGGGAGCCTTTTCGTATCGAGCATAGGCGTGACCTTTGATCATAGTGTAAGCGTGATCTTGAACCTCATCAAACATGGTGATCTCTGGGCACTCTGGAGGGGGCCACGGAATATCCTTGCGAACATCGGCAGAAATATTGAGATTCAGAGGAGCAATTTCTGGAGAAATGTATGTGAGATAAAGATACTGTGCAAACGTACGTCGAATAGCAGGATCCTGAATTGTTTTATAAATTTCGGCTTCGATCCAAAATAAAGAGTTCTCGATCGAGTACTCTTGTAGACAAAACTCGTTAAAAAATTGCATAGATACAATATTATGCAATACGGAATGCAGGCGGTCATCCATTGTTGACGATCGAATAGTATTGCTGCGTGTCAAAGAGCCTGGGCTCATCTCTGTAGTAGTCTCTGGTTTGGTTTGGGTGTATTTGATGTCAATAAGAGCAAAAACCGAATCGGCAACAATCCCACTTTTGTTGAAGATGGCCTCTTCCTCATGTGTCAACTGTACTGCTTTATTGGCATCTTCGTCACTTTCCTCATCCTGTCCATACGCAACTAAATATAGCCATTGTTTATCAAGATATAAATAAAGCGAATTGATTGGGAGTGGTAAATAGTAGCACAAGTCGCCCAGACAATAGCCAGAATCAATGGATTTTCAGTAAATAAAGGTTGACAATTGCAAAAAAGCAATACTTTGTATGCCAACAGCCACTCCAAACATCTTGCTTGGTTGAAATAGTCGACTAATGCATCAATAAATTACATACCTTCTTCGGAAGTTACAGCAGTTACAGAATCATTGAATGCAAGAACATCGCCAACCTTGGCAGTGAATTTAAGACCTAGATTGCCAGAATCATAAAGCTGCGTTATTTGAATAAGTCTGGCTTGGCCCTTGCTGTCAGCAATACATCCAAGCAAATCCGTATCAAAAAGTAAATGATGCTTTTCATCCATTAGGTATCGAACAGCATACTCTGCCTCGACTTGTCGAGCAATATATTCGATTGTTTGAGTACGGTCTACGACCAAAGGAATCATTTTGCCATTGCTAAAGTGCACCTGGATACGAATGAATTGATTAATATGCTCCGTAGTCCGTTGTTTGCACTTTAGCAGTGACATGGATCGTTTTGATTTGCGGTGTTGGCGATATTGGACCAAACGTTGGGATATAGAAGCACTGAGTGAGTTGGATAACGAAAGGTCATTTGACGAAGTTAATATTGGGTTGTTTAAACTCTCTTCCAGGTCTGAGGCGTTGCTGATAAAATGGCAGTGTTTGACCTCTGCAACTGACTGTTCTGCCATCTGAAAAACTGTACTATAAAGCAGTCAAAACGAATATATTCGTATAAATACGAGTATAGGTTGATTAGGATACGTCAAATTACAGCCGTATTCACGTAAAATGGAACACTTTTGTACCTTGCAGTACTTTAATTTGCTTTGGAATAAACAATGGCTATATATTTGCTGCGCTTTTCTACTGAAAATTACCATTCTCAATTTTATCTGAATTGTACGTCATACAAACTCATTTTCATCAAGTAGTTTATGCAGCGTTTAAGGATTAATAGTACAGAACAGTGTAATGACGCTCCATCTCGCGACACTTCTGTTTGTTGAACGATTGACATGATTAATCAAGTAAATGTGTAGCTCTGTGAAATGGCATGTCCAAAATCAAATGGACATTAGCAAATATCTTTGAATGCTATTATCCAGACAATCCTGAAATGTCAAAGCATTTAGAACTCCCTTAATTAATGCCAAAATACAACGGTCATCATATGATACACAAAATCAAGCTATACTTTTTAAACTAGGATTTTCTTTTTTAGCGTGTCAGTTGTCCATTTTTGACATAGCCATATATTGTACAATCACCAGATTCATACATTCAATACAGATGTTGAATTCGATTGTTCTGATGATACCAATCAAAGTCATCTTTGTTGTATTTTAAAACTTGAATACGCTTGTGCTTTAGTTGAAAACAGAGATTACACATTTCTGAAATGCAACAGCCATTTACATGCCAATCACCAGAAAACCAGTCGACCAGAGTTTAAAAGACAGTGTTATTCAGTAAGATTAGCTGTCTATTTTACACTTTGACTCTTCTATTTAGTGGCCTATGTGGATACAGCCGTAAGCAGACAGTTTTTGGTTTGCTTCGATGCTTTGCACCAAAACCTGAGGGCAGGCTTGTTGGACTTGGTCGGAATTATACATGAACAATTCAGGCTACGCAGTTTGCTGGTGCATAGGCTCAAAATGAACGACTTTGAGCTTGTAGATAGTGGAGACCTAGACCTGGAGGATGAGTATCGCAACTCTACATTTGAAAAGGCCAATTCAACCTCTTTGCAGCCAATGTTCTACAACGTCATGTTTGCTGGGTTGTGGTGAGATATCTTGACTGATTTATCAAATGTGATAATCATCAAGTGTGCTGCAATATATCTGCTACCAAAACAGTATAATAAAGCTTCATGTGCATCACAGATCCACCTTTTGGCTCGACTAAAATCTAAACTATTGCCATGGTTGAAAACTAACGGCTGATTCTCCAATTGGTTGAAATTGCAGGTTTGCCTTTTCTACAGCTCTATCACTCTACAACAAGCAATTGTTGGGACATGATCACTACAACTTTAATTATCCGCTATTTGTTGTGTCGATCCATTCATTCTGCCAATTCGCGCTATCATCAACCTTGATCTGCTCGTTTCCACAGCAATTTCAACCTACAAAAACACCATCCATGCACGACTATTTCAGTAGAGTGGTTCCAACAGCTGTATGCACAGCTCTAGGTTAGTTTTATTATATTTAAACTGTCCGAGACACGACCGAGACTATTTGGACTATCGGCTTGATTTTGTCGATACAATCATATTTCTAATGTCTGGATTTACCTATGTCTGAAATAGATATTTCGCTCAGCAATGCATCGTTGCATTACATTAGCTTGAGCTTTTATACCATGATCAAATCTAGCACTCCAGTTTGGGTTCTTGTGTTTGCATTCATGTTTGGTCTTGAAAAACCAAATTGGCGATTGGTTCTAGTTATTCTAGTTATCTGCTCTGGGGTTGTTTTTACTGTGGCAGGAGAGATTCGGTTTTCTATGATTGGGTTTTTATTGATCTTGGGTGCATCTGTTATGTCAGGGTTACGATGGTCGTTGACTCAAATATTGCTTCAAACAGCAGATATGGGTATGAACAATCCAGTCGTGACTCTCCGGTATTTGGGTCCGATTGGGGCTACACTTTTGGGAACTGCATCTTGTTTTTCTGAACTTTTTGGATCAGGCGGGATTTTGCAATCTGAGTTTTTCATAAGCATTGAAACTGGACTACAAACTGTTGCCATTCTTCTTGTTGGTGCCATACTTGCCTTTTGTAGTAAGTTTAAGACTGGTTTATTCCTGCCTTTTGTGAATATCTTTGAACAGTTGCCGAGTATGCTTTATTCTCTAGTATTGATAGCCTTGTTAATCTTTGTAGTGACACTGGCCGAGTACTATCTAATTCGTAATACATCTGTTGTCACACTTTCTGTAATAGTAAGTTGTTTGTGTACTAAAATTCATATTATAATAAGTTTGATTTAGTATACGTGTTTGAAAGTACTACTAAATTCAAATCTTTTCGTGGATCGTCATTGTATAGGGTATATCAAAAGAAGTTTGTATAATTTCACTCTCAATACTAGTGTTTGGGGACCTTATTACACCAATGGCGTTTTTGGGTATTATCATTACCATTGGTGGTATTGCTGCATTCCACCGACTAAAAACTCACGGCCATACGTATTTGCCTACAAACACAACTGAGCCTGTGACTGACAATCACAGTTTGACAACACAGCGCTCTGACTAGACTGTTAGTTAATGAATATATTTAACCTTTAAATTACAACATGATTTATTTGTGATTGAACATCTGGATTGGTTCAACCGGGCTGCATCAAGTTTCAATTTAGTTTGAGAAAAATAATCTGCTGAAAACCCACATCTTTACAGTCGTATTCACAAATGGAACACTAAATAAGTCAAAGTACATAATAACAGTCACGTTTGATTGACGCTCATCTTACTGAGCAGCATTGTGTCATTTAAACTCTTAGTTTACTGGTCTTTTTTCTCCATGCTCATTCTTGTACAAAAATACAGAACCAATGTTTACATCCCTGTTCCAATATACTGCACATCTTGGACATCTTTTGAACCTGCAAACCAAACGACTAAAGTAAACATTGGGTGATCATGCAAACAATCGTTGTATCCTGAAATGTGTGATCTTTGGTTTCTTAAACTAGAGCGCAAACGTATCTGATATTAAGATACAACAGATATTATTTAATGGCATGATCGCGCCAGATATTTGCTTGTTGTAATGACAACGTTCTTGATAACAAAGATGGCTTTAACTGCAGGATAAATACAAGTGTTTCATTTTGCGTGAATGCATCTTTGAATTCAAAGACCAAAGTGAATTACAAATTTGGCAATCATCCCAACACCTCCAAACAGCAGTATTGATATATCGTATTCAGGCCTTCTCTCCTGTAGACCATGGTCAAAGTACTGACATTTACAACACTACTGGAACACAGCTGGACTGATGTGACCAAAGCCATTTGGCAAAAATATCCAAATCCATTTGCATCGCATGTTCAATCAGCCGATATTATTGAACAGCGTATTGACCCAGAAACAGGTAGCTTATAAAGTTGAAGTGACTGTGAGGCCTGCTTCAAAAAATGATGTATAGGCAGTTGGAGAGAACACTGCATTGTACTTGTGGCCACATGCCTGTTGAGCCGTCTAACCAAGGCTGTTTTCATTCATTTGTAAAACTAATCAATATCGTCTCTTTGTCCATCGTTTGCTAGGCATATTACATACTACTCGTCTTTTTTTGAAAAAAGGAAACCTGCCAAAATGGGGCCATCATGTAAGTATACTAACGATGCTTTACAATACCTGATATTTAATAATGCGCAAATTGGCTGGCAGCCTTTTCAATTTAGATCATTTGTTCATACAATAAACTAACTCCACTTTTGACTGAAAACTCACTCGGCATACAGTTGATGAATGCACCAGAGGCTTTTATTTTAGAAAAATCTGCAGTTGATCCAGTCAACAAAACAATGACCACTGTCACACGGAATTTGTCCCACGTTAAACTCATGTTTGTAGAGGAAACTCAAACCGTTAGACCAGATCCAAATAACCCAAAATGGACTCAAATGATGACAGATGCGAGAATCATTTCAAATACTGCATTGATCCCGTTTAGAGCCAGAATTGAGAAATTTGGTTTAAATCGGTTCAAGGCAAATGCAATGAATGTAAGTTTTGATCGCCTGCATGTTTTTTGAATTACTTGCCAAGTTTTTATGAGTATTTGAACAGTTCTAATTTGTTTTTGAATCTGTACGTTATAGAGCACAAAGGGATTAATACACGTTATTGAGCAAATCACACAAAACAAGCCAATTCTTTAAGCTTCCTGAATCATTTTATTTTCTTGTTAGACTTGAATATAATTCAACCCTAGAATGCTATTTGAGACACTTTATTTCGCAACTTACATGATCGAAAATCGAGTGAATGCCTCTTATTCATGGTATATCCAGAATCCCAATATGCTTTATTGTCAATTTTCTATAAAAAAAACTATTTACATCTACTTGTTTATTACAGCTTTTACTATTACTAAACATGGGCTTGCTGTGATATTGTGAATGTGACATTGAACTGTCCTTGTGTATTAATTTAAAAGGCTTATTTTACTACTATGGTTGATCTGATCACCATTTATATTTGGATATTTGTAATGATGATCACGCATAGAATAATTCAAAGATACATTCACGCAAAATGAAACACTTGTATTTATCCTGCAGTCAAAGCCATCTTTGTTATCAAGAACGTTGGCATTACAACAAGCAAATATCTGGCGCGATCATGTCATTAAATAATATCTGCTGTATCTTAATATCAGATACGTTTGCGCTCTAGTTTAAGAAACCAAAGATCACACATTTCAGGATACAACGATTGTTTGCATGATCACCCAATGTTTACTTTAGTCGTTTGGTTTGCAGGTTCAAAAGATGTCCAAGATGTGCAGTATATTGGAACAGGGATGTGAACATTGGTTCTGTATTTTTGTACAAGAATGAGCATGGAGAAAAAAGACCAGTAAACTAAGAGTTTAAATGACACAATGCTGCTCAGTAAGATGAGCGTCAATCAAACGTGACTGTTATTATGTACTTTGACTTATTTAGTGTTCCATTTGTGAATACGACTTTGAAAAGGAAAAAATAAATCAAATGGTTTAAACTAAAGTTCAGCTGTTTTTGGATGAAAGAAGCAGCATTACAAGATTGTATTATTTGTTCAACACGACGACATTGATTTTGGTATTCGAGATTTTGCTTGATATATTTAATGGTCAAGGATAGTCAGCAACGCCCAACCTCGTCAATATCCTTTTGTGATGCACCAGTCAAAGGCACCGTTCGCAAACCCGCTCTTGGAATTATCCAAGACCATTCCACCAACACAAAAAGTCGAGCTCAGATACGAACAAGAAATGTCGAGCTTAAGCCACTGGATCCTCAAGCTGCATTGGCTGTACAGCCATGGAGTATCGTGCGCACTAATATTGCAAACCAACTTGCAACCAAAAACATAATCAGTCCAATGGATCTGACAAATATTATGCTTCATATTCAAACATCACCGAAACAGAAACCATCAGCAAAGTTTTTGGCGGCATCTTCTAGCAAAGCTTCCTATCCACAGCACTCTACATCAGTAGCAAACACGTCCTCCATCACCAGCGAATCTGAAATGGGGCCAATTAAGCTCGAACCGACATCGCAAGCCCAACAAGGTGCCGTGCCAGCAATGTCCATAACTATACCGCATGGATTTCTTCCTCTCCGTACGCTTGCTCATGCTCGTTCAACCATCCAATCTGTAATTTACATTCCCAACTCATCCATGTTTGTTTCGTTGGATGCGAGCCATATTAATCTGTGGAAAGGAGGTGTTCGTATCAATAAATTCTCTACTCAACCTGTTGACAAAAATAATGGAACTAGACAATGTAATACTCTTTCAAGATCATCTGGAAATACTCCACTTCCTGGGATCGTCGCTATTTCAAAATGGGTGTATCTGGACAAACTAAGGATCTTTGTTATTGCAAATACAAAGTTGCAGTTGAAGGTGATATTTCCGTGTTAAAACACTGTCAAGTTTTTGATATATTTGGTAATGAAAGTATGACTCTAAAAATTATTGTAAAACCTAGATTTTAGATGCACATTTTGAAGAACTATGCAGCATTTCAAATCCAAAGCCTGTTCTCAGGTATGCCATAAAATTCCATGCAATGAACAAAAACGAATGTAGATTCATACTAATTCTGCTAAAAGTATTGAATACATTCCGTCAAAGAACGAAATTATATGTGGCGAAATTGGGAGTATCAGGGTAATGAGTTTGCTTGACTATATCCATTAAAACTACACTCAACATAAGCTTACCAATATTTTTTGACTGGTTCATACGGTTTTCAATATAAAACAGATTTGGAAAATAGAAAAATCTAGGTATATTTACTTTATTATAATTAAAATGACCCGAATGATCTGAGACTAAACCTTTGTACTGTTTGTATTTAGTTTGATCCACAAAGAGCTCTTTATTTTATCAAATCCACGAGCTATTATACGCAATTTAGAGGAAGAATGGGTCACGTTTATATATTATGAAAGATTGCTGGATCGATTTTTTGCCGTTTGTGACACTAGTTTATATGTAAGTCAAATTTCATTTTAAGCTTGAAATTGTGTACGGGTTTTTACACCATTGTATCTTGCTAGGTTTACGATTACGAATCTGGTGACCGTATCGACAGTTTTCATAATATTCACGAGCTTGCAATCACTTGTATTGTGTTTTATGAGCCATTCGAATATATCATAACTGGAGGAAAGGATGGAAGTAGTAAGTGAATCAACTCATTTATGGAAACAATATACTTGGATTGCTTTTAATTCACACTAAAAATCTAATACTTTGCATCACAATCCAGTCAAGATATGGAATGCTCGAAAATATCTCATGTTTGATTTTCACGAGCATTTTAATGCCATCACTGGATTGTTGCTAGTAGAGAAAGGATGCGAAGCTAGTCCAGGATCTGTACCGGTTTTGTTATCATCAAGTCTTGACGCAACAATTCGAATGTGGAATTTTGAAACTGGACAAAGCCTATACAGGTATTTTTAGACATGATTAAAAGCAGTGCGACACTCTATAATAGTTGATGGTTGGAAATTGCTTACCACGGAATATGTTTATAAAAATATAGATTAGACACGAATTTACCCTGTCTTGGAATTGCATTTATAAAAAGCAATCATTTTTATCACTATACAAAAGCAGATATTCAGTTGTGGAATATCAATCGGTATCAACTCACATTTGCTTTTTTCAGGTAAGCGATTCAGCTTTTGTACTTGTGTTTGAAACCAGTTTTCAACTGATATAATGCTATATAAAATTACAGATCAACACCATTTATTATTAAAAGAGTAACGCATCCGACTAAGCCAGCAAGAATTCTTACTGCAGTTGCAGATGGGAGTTTAAAAATGATTTCTCCAGTGTCGGGCATTGTAATTGGAACTGGATTTCCCATTCACAAGGATACTCAGACCAAAGACGTTGCATGGAACATGAACTCTGGTATGGCAGTGATGTACTTTTAAGCTTTTCAAATAGCATAGATTATATGTAATTAATTGCTTTTTAATCAGAAAATTTGTATAGCTTCAACACAAATGGTGATATTGTGGTATATAGTTGTAATGCCAATCCATTCAAGATTTTTGACGTTTGGGAATTATCAAGTTAGTATTTTATGCGCTGTAGTTTGGTGCATTGATACTTTTGTCTGTACATTTTATTAAATAATCTGGTGTTGATCTATTACACCACTAGAATTGGTCAATCGCGAAAAAATTGAATGTATTTGTGGACTTGATTTTTACAATCATATCATGGGAATCTCGGCAGGAGCAGATATTAGAATTGTACCAAAATCGAAAAAAATTCCAGCGTTTTTTCTTGTTGCTGGAACTGAGAGTGGACAAATCATTAATCTGAATCTGGATCAACGTGGAAAACAAGAGTTGCTATGTCAGGTGAATTAAATTGATTGCTAAAAGACTTTTAAGATGCTTTGGATATACAGATTATCTGACCAGGCGAGCTAAATTGATGTAGGCGCATTCTGCTCGAATAACTATGCTTAATTTTGATCCCAAAGATCTTGTTCTGGTTTCTGGAGCTCAAGGTATATAGCCTCGGTTGTGCTGATATTATGTGTTTTAATTTTCAATTATATGGAACCTTTGTATTAACAATAGACTGAATTATAGATTACATTATAAAAGTATGGGCAGTGACTAGTGTGGATAATCGCTCGCCATTTGGCGGAAGTATATTATCAGCAATGCAATCACAAAATGTACCAAGCCAGACAATTTCTCTGTCATCCATTGCCGTAATATCTATTAACGGGTTTGAAGTGCCATCCAAAATCATTTCCCTGTCCATGCAAGAGCCAAAAATGGCCGTGCCTTTTAATGGAGGAATAGTAATCTCTAGCTATTCTACAGATCATACTGTTACTCCTGGTAAAGTAGATCAAGAACAGGGTGGACATGTTTGTGCAATTGCGTCTGCGTACGATTTTGGATTGTGGGCATCGGCTAACAAAGACGGCACTGTCAAGATTTGGGATGCAGACAACACGATTGTTAGGTACAACCCAATTCAGTCATGATATTATCCACCATATTTTTATGATGCTGCCTAGTCAGTTTAAAAGTGCTTTGAAAAAGTAAAACAAAGCCCATGAATTGGTAATTGATCGTATATCTATACAAAATATTCTCATAGGGAAATACAATTTGGAGAACCCATTACATGTCTTTGTTTTGCAAACGAACGAAACGACCTTCTTGTTGGAGTTGCCGATCAGATTAGTATAGTTCGAGTTCAAGACTGTAGGTTTATTTTCATGCCATTCAAGATTAACAAAACATGACTAATTGTTGCAGATTTCAATCTATTTAGATATGACGTATCCTATGTTGAAACAACTTGTTACACGTGCATACATGGACGACGAGTCTGAAATTCCAGTTTTATTTGATCCCAATCTCGATTTTTGGGAGTATCGGTATGAGCAAGAGCTGAAGCAATCAAAAAAAGTAGAAGATTGGCATATGCAAAAGTAAGTTTTTTGATGCATTACAAGTGTCTATTTTATACAAACGACGCTTTTATTGATTTGATTTGATATCCAGAGAAGAGGTTCGAGATGCAGCCAATTCAGAGGATCAACTGTCTTATTTGCTTCAGCTTCCAAAGCAACGACGAACAAATATCGTTGGAAGATACAATAAACGTGTGTTTCTTGCGAGAGAAACCACTGCCTTTTTTCGTAGTATTCGATTGCATCCCAAACAGACTCTTGGACAACAACTAGAACCTTCAGTCACATCACATGGATCAACTGAAGTACTAAGTGGCGCGACTAGTGAACCATACTTGGCAGAGTATATCCAGCCTACTTCTCCAACTACAATAAAAGTAAATCCTCGTGCTTTGATGGACAATGACTAAATCAATGCTACAGCTTATTAACTAAAAAGTTGTATTTAAAATAGGAAATTGTAATCCCAGAACCACAGGCTGTAATTTCAGAGTCACAAACTGTAAGCTCAGAACAACAAACTGTAGTCCCAGATCCACAGACTGTAAGCTCCGAGCCACAGATTGTAGATTCAGAAGATAATATTTTAAACAAAAAGCAACAAGAAAGTCAATCAAGTACAGAGCCAATAAAATCTTCCGAGGCTGATCTTTCAGATTTAGTTTTGTCACCAACATCTCTTGAATCTCAAAAAGAGAATACTGCAGCTGTAACTACACCTTTACTAAAGCCAGTTAATCGAACCTTGATTCATCAACGAATGCTACGAGCACACATTGCTTTACCAAACAGTACTATTATTGGTGAAATTCAGCCAGTAAAACAAATGCGAAATAGACAATCTCGACAAGAGACTAATTATAAAGAAGTTGGCGATGACAATTTTTTCAATAATCGGGTGAAATTTGAAGCGTCAGCATTCTACAATGAAGATTCCAAAATAGCATCAAGAAAAATGTCAGTCAAAGCGGCAATTGAAGTTGCACGTCGATCTCGACCACATCGGCCATCGGTATTTTCATCACACTTTGATAATCATCAAATTGATTTGGAAGATGATAACGATGATGCGTCATTTCAAGCTTTACAAGAAGAGATGTTGGTAGAAATTGATAATATAGATGAGCAAGTAAGTAGCCGGAAAGCGCATACTTCTGGAGCAAAGTCTAAAAAGTCTAAAAAGTCGAGCCACAAGAAAGGCAAGAATGATCATAGTAAAGGAAAATCCAAATCTAAAGCTATCACTGTGCCAAGCCCAGAAGAAATATTGGCAGAGCCAATCCAATCCATAGTGACACCTATAGATAGCACAGATTTGGAGGTGGATGCTCCTAGTGCAGAATCTATGCCTCAGCCAGTAACATCGGTATCTATGTTGACTCACGCGGTACACAAAAGTGAAGAAAAACCTCAAAGCATGCCCGAGAAACCATCTAAAAATGTAACACATTCAGAAAAAGGATCTTTATCAGGTGTGAGTTCTATCAATTTTTCAGACATCATAAGACACAGACGACCATCCAGTCATATAGAGTTCCACCCATTAAACCCACACGTGGTAAACATTGCGCACCAGCCATGTGCAGATAACCTTTATTCCACTCCTCACGACTCCCAAAGCATCAATGTACAGCGAAATTCTGAATTAATTAAACCTCATAGAAACAGTAGTGCAACTCAGGTTAAACCTCCAGTTTTGTCTGATAATCTTCAAGATTTATTAGTCGAACTACAAGATGTAAAGCTGCCACTCCCAACTTCAACTCCAGCTCCAGATCTTTACTCTAATCTAAAAGGTGCTTTTCAAAAATTTCGAAAACAGGCCGAGGAAAATGTTCCAGAAGAAGATGAAGAAGAGCCGGCAGATTTTGTATGGAAAATGTTTCGAGATCAGAAAAACTCGAATGACGTTGCCAATCCAACAAGCCCAGTCAATGCCCAATCGCAGGAAGAAGTGGTTAGCAAGGTGAAAAAAATAATGTTTCGTGACTGACTGAAACTCACCATTCATTTTATTCACAATTGATTACTTTATCTTTTAGCCACTTGAGCTAACTGAAATAGCTTCTGGATTGACGAATATTCTAAAAAATGGTCCAGTTGAAGATCAAATTCAATCATCAAAAGCCCTTATGTCGTTATTTCAAACTTTTGGAATGGATTTCAAAGATCCAGTAAGCTACTTTATACTGCCGCAAATTGATCAGTTGAATCATGAAGACCCTCGAGTACGAATCGCCATGTGCAAAAACATTTCGAAATTTCACATGCATCAAAGCACAATCCTTCCTAGTTTAATCTATAGCTTGGATGACTCTTCTCCAGATGTTGTGTACGTTTATTAATGTTGATGTTTAATCCATTGAACGGATCAAGTAAAATTCTAACATTTTTGGGCTTTGGCGGGATGGTGTGCTTTAAATAGTAATGCGGCAATTCATGGTCTTGGTCAACTTGGCATCACAAATACGACCATGCTTCAAAATGCAATGGTTCGTCTTGGAATGCTCAAAGAAGATTTTGACAAAACCGGTATTGACGTGATCGAGGTTGGTTTCATTATAATAGCTTGCCATTTTCAAATTTTAATGCATGGTATTACTTTGATTATAACTGTATACTTGATGTTTACCAGAGGCATAAAATTAAATCGGCACTGGATCATATTCAAAAAAGTCAAATAGCAAATGCAGAGGTTGATAAGTGGGTCAGCTCTATATACAAGAATCCAAGTTATTTCAAGCGAACTGATAGTTACTGCGAGCATTTGGCCGGCAAGTTTTTTCCTCCAGATGCAAATAATTTTGGTATGTCTACCAAGCCATTGGATATACGTCAGTTGGACAGCATACCCATTCGAAATCAACCAAAGGGTCCTGCATTATCTGAGTCGTCGAATACGCATACATATTTAAATGGATGGGACGTGGATAGTAATATTAATATGCAAATTTTACACAGTCGTTCAAAACCTATAGTAAACAAGGTTGATCCTCGCACCAAAGCAAACACCTACCGCCCACCATTGCCACGAGAATCGCGATATACATTTAATGTGCTAAATAAGCCAAGTAATTCTATAGCTAAAACTGATTTGTTTTACTCGTCCAGGAATACAGATAGACTAGCTCGTAAGTGTACAGAATCTAGAACCATGGCATCAACTGTGATTGTCAATGCTCGAGCCATCACAGCAGGATACACATTTGAATCACAGCCAGTGACAAAAGTCGGAAAGTTTGCAACTCCGTCGGATTTAGTATGGATGCGTCCTAATACAACTGGAAGTATTTTTAAAAAAGGATATAAAACACCCACTTTTAATTTGTGTCCAAAGACTGCCGATGCATCAGGGCTTGCCAAGGATTATTTCCCACCACTTTAAATAAACCATGTTTTTGTAAATAACCGCTGTCTATCAGTTATTCAAGGCAAAGATCATAGCCAATATATTTTACGCTTTACTTTTTGTATTAATCAATGCTAATATCTGCTGGACAACGCTGGGAACTATAAAATGATCAATGCTCGACATTATTAATAAAGTTGGTGACACAGTTGTAGGAATGACAACTCATTTGGTGAATCGAGAGATGAACAATTCCAAGAAAAAACTCATTCTGCTGCTCGTTTAAAAGACCGTGTACGATTGGCTGCAACGTCCTATTATACACGAGTCTGGGTTGTATGTGGAACCTTGTATCTTATTTTTGATGGCGACGCGAACTTGCAGTCTCAAGACTGCAATTCCCAAAACCTTTCTCAAACTCCAAAAGAACGCTGGATTTAGTGGTGGAAATCGCAGAAGCAACAATCAAACCCAATCACAAAAGTGTGATTGAATGAAATTTGCGTGAGTACTTCCAATACATGATATACACTGATGGTGATGGTTGACAATTTCCCATTTTATTCTCTCCGTTCTCATCATTTTTGTCGATAACCATGAGTGATTCAAATTCACAATTTTAACACGAATTATTCCATGAGACTGACTGTTTATTATACTTTGACTCTTACTTGGTGGTCCATTTTGCGTGAATACAGCGGTAAACCCAGTAGCATTGCATTTATATAGCCAAAGCAAAAACAAGCATGGTACCTAAGAAATCAAAAAATGCTACGAAAAGTGGAGCTAAAAAAGGCAAGTCTCAAAAAGTAGGCAAGGGAGAACCAAAGAAAGATACCAAATCAAAAACAGAGGATCCATCTTCAAAAGAAGCTGATAATTTACTCCAGCGCCGAAAAGACCTTCGAGTGCAATATCTCTCTTTTAGCGAAAAATATGCAACAGATCCAATACCAGGTGTGCTGAAGCGAATAGACGAGGCTATTGAAAAAAACAGTGATATTGCACAACTCATTATCAATATAAACTGTGTGCGACCAAATGATATTGCTGCAATTCGATCAACCTTTCGAAAGTATACTCCGCTGATTGGAATGTGTTTTTGGCGAACCAAATTTCATGCTTTGGCACTTCCCATATTGGTAACCCATACTGAATTGCATTGATCATTGCAAGATTTTACAAATAGTTTGATCATATTGTATTTTGTGACATGCTATAGCTGACAATCAAATTTTGTTTTTGATGTAATCATGTATTAAATAGGTTGATGTATTTTTGATGAAACAAACGTTAGTTTCATTGCAGCTAATTGGAAATGGGCTGGGAGAGTTGCATGCAATCACATTGGCAAAATTATGTAGAGAATCGAATAAACTAAAAATCCTAATGGTCGATCACAACTATTTTGGCGGAAAAGGGTGTGCTCAAATCATTGATGCACTTTCTGAAAATAGTACAGGGGCTTTTCAGAAACTATCGATGCGGTACTGTCAGATGGATGAAAGCGCATCGCCAGCGCTCGAAAAGCTAATTTCGCACCATTTGACACTACGGTAGGCAAGGCTTTATCTTTGTGATGATAGTTTTAAATTTTACGCATCATTGACTCCAACAATCATCATTTGTGTTTACAGAGTTTTGGATATAGGCGGGAATCAACTTCGAGATCAAGGACTGTTACCCATTTCCAGAGCCCTACTTTGCACAAAAACCTTGATGACATTAGGGCTTGCATTCAACGAAATTTCCGACACTCTTGTGCAAAGTAATTTGCCTTTTGCAGACCTATGCAAAAGTATTGGATCCAGCACTTTAACATTGGTCGATCTAAGTGGCAATTTTTTTGGAGATCATGGTATGGATAAAATTTTCGACATGCAGCAAATTCGACGAGCGCAGTGGCAGGCAGGAAAAGCACCACCGCTAAAGGTGTTGGTGCCAGAACGATCAAATAGTGCCGTTTTTGACGCAATATGGAAACTCAATGCTGGCCCAAATGATTTGCGCAAAAACCGACGCAAATAATCTCAGGATGCATAGATAACAGCCATTTGAAAATTGTATAATTTCATTCAAGTATCTACTAGTAGTTTATTAATATATGTTTGCTCATATTGGAGTTTCTTCAAAGATAAATTACATTTTTAGTTTTGATAGTCCAACGTATTGCAAAATTTACAATATATAGACCCAACTATAGCGCAACGTAATATACTTGCAACTAGTAGTTTTATCGAGCAGTCAAATTGGCTACACGTGATGAGATAGAGCTAGTATGTTTCGTCATTAAAGGCTTTATTCGCAAGTCAATTTTGCTTTTTAGTGATCTTTACTGAACTTTAACTAAAAGCTAGATGACCGCCCGAACTCAGCAGAATCTGGAGACGGTACATTTTTAAACATGCGCTACTATTTTTAAATAAAATATTTTTGGCTAACAACTGCATTATCTATCAATAGGCCGATGTGTTGACCACTAAGGATGAGCATGTCCAAGTGATTCCCCAACCTAGCTCAAACACGAAGGTAGTTCGCCCAAAACGTAACCCATCCCCCACAAAGGCTGCTCCTCATAAAAACGTGTCTAATAAAAAAATAAGCAGAAAGGCTACATCGGACGGCAAGATACCTATCAAACAACTTTTCCCTATAAATTCTAATGAAACATCTGGAAATTTCAAAAAGACTAGTAAGTCGCCATTGAAGTTGAAAGTTTCTGCAAGCAAGACAAATAGCAAGTCGCGTCGCAAGTCTAGCTCGAATGCCCAAACTAGCCATGTAGCAGCTGTTATTGTTCCTAAAGCAAGCAAAACCCGTGCTTCAAAAAAAATTGCCCGGCCTATTGCTCATAACCGACCAGATATGGCAAGTAGTGATATATCTACATTTGATACATACATGGTATTGTGTATTTGACTAATATGTTTGCATAGATTGCGACTTCTCATGCTAAAAATAATAACGAAAAGGGAATGTTCGAGATACTTGCCTCTTGGATTTCTAGCACATTTGGTTTGAATTAACTAAATAAAATGATATTCAGCAAGTCAAATTCAAATCTATTATGTTCGTAATATTGAACCATTGATATATAACCAATTCTTAGTTTCACACTTGGTTTATAAACCATAGCTTGATTTTGTGTATCATATGATGACCGTTGTATTTTGGCATTAATTAAGGGAGCTCCAAATGCTTTGACATTTCAGGATTGTCTGGATAATAGCATTGAAAGATATTTGCTAATGTCCATTTGATTTTGGACATGCCATTTCACAGAGCTACACATTTACTTGATTAATCATGTCAATCGTTCAACAAATGGCAGTGTCGCGAGATGGAGCGTCATTACACTGTTCTGTACTATTAATCCTTAAACGCTGCATAAACTACTTGATGAAAATGAGTTTGTATGACGTACAATTCAGATAAAATTGAGAATGGTAATTTTCAGTAGAAAAGCGCAGCAAATATATAGCCATTGTTTATTCCAAAGCAAATTAAAGTACTGCAAGGTACAAAAGTGTTCCATTTTACGTGAATACGGCTGTAAACCACTGCTGATCAACCACACTCATTGAATAAATCAGTCAGTATTCCATTTACGTGAATATTTCTCGCGCTTGTATTCATTGCAGGCTTTATAGGTGACACAGGACGTAAACAAGATTGAATATTGGACCGTTTATCCATATCCCAACATGACATGCTAATTGGTGATCTCATACCGAATTGTAGTTGTTTTTGTGCCGGGCGAATAATCTCAATGGACAGCAAAGAATCAGATTGTGTTGAAGACTTTTTTGCATCATATTTTTGTATTTGGTATGCTGATTTTACTTGTTTTACCTGTGCCCATGGTAATGCGGAGGACAGCTGAGATACATTTTTCTGTTTTTCAAAAGGTAAACTGGCAGATGAATCTTTGTAGGTTGAATTATCATGAGTTGAATCTATATTCTTTTTTCCTTTTTGATCTGATGAATGGAAAGCTAAAGGTTTAATTAATTTTGCAGGAGATGATTTTGGTCGAACCGCTGATGTCGAGATTGGTCCATTTTTAGCACTCAAAGCCTTTTCTAGCTTCTGCTGACGCAATGCAACTTGAATGCCATATCTATTGGATCCGGCCGACCGAGTCTTTCTATATGACTGCCAATGAACTCTCTCATGATTTTCTGCTTGCTGATTTTTAAAAAAAAGTTTATTATGTCGCTTGCCAGATCTTGGGCGAGCTCGCATGCCGTCATCGTTGATATCGTATTCGCTCCAAGGTGCAGGTGAGGGTTGAAAATCATTTCTTGAAAATGCCGTCATGTCGTTTTTTTCAGATACTATTGATTGTCGACCAATACTGAGACGTGATTGAGATCGCACGTCTGGCGGTGAAACTGTACTTTCTGTTTCGCTTAAAACAGCTATTGAAATACCCATGGGATCGTAGTATATAGAATCAGACGTATCCAAAGTTAAATTATCCCCTGTGTCTACTAGTTTATGTGTCCAAATTAAATCAGTTACCGATCCATGACTTGCATATTTTTTTGAAGTTACTGCTGGTTTGTGGCAATCAAATTGTTGATTCAAGTATACAACTGAGCTTTGCTGTAAATTTTCATCAAGTGCAGTGGATGCTTGAACCTTGCTGGTTTGGAAAAGTGTATTATTATCAATTCTATCTAGATCCAAATAAGGGTATCCATATCCATTCATGTGTGTGTTTTCAGCATAGTCAAATTCGCAATCTTGAAACAAGCTACTCGTGGGACGATCGAGGTTTGTTGCTGTACTGTCGTTGAAATTTGCTGAAGTTTGATCTGGAAAGGGTATTGGTTTTTTGCTAAACATATCCATAGAAGTCAAAACGGATCGCATCCATGGAACATGTTTCACATTACATTTAAAATGTTCTTTAGAGTGTTGATTGTGGCCATTTTTATGACTCGAAATAAAGCATTCTTTGGCAGAAACCTGACCTCTTCTGTACTGTGCAATAATGGATTTTACTTTATGATGTTGGTTATCTAAAAACTCGTGCGACTTTTTTTTTGGACCCGAGTCCTGAAGTGGCAGCCTGGTAGTATCAGCAAACTCCACTTTAAACATTTTGGATGGGTCGCGACTAGATGCTGATCGCGTAGCACTCGAAATGGATCGGCCTGTACCTATATAGCTTTGATAAGTGGTGGGAAAAGAGGACTGTGGATATTGGGTATATTTTTCTTTCGAATGAGAATCCTGACAGGTATCAGACAATACTGCATATGGAACTTTTATAGTGGGCTGATCTTCTATGCACACAATTGAGTCGGTAAACGATGGTAGCTTAATGCAAGCACTCTTATCATCTGACACGGAAGGACAATATGTGATATCAAAACTCTGCTGGTGTTGTAGCTGCGCAGCAGGTGCAGATTTGGGCCGTAATTTGTTTCGATTGAGCAATTTAAAATCAGTGCTGAAAGAATCTATGGATTGAGTAAGCAGCTGTTGAGAAGAGCATACTTTATCCGTGCCAGTCAATGATTTTTCCAAGGTTTTGGTATGTCCAGATCTGGGTCGTAATAAAGGACATCTATGTGAAATAAGCTTTGCAGACGTTAGATGGTCAGCCATATTTTCAATGCATGATATGACACTCTCGTCATCAGACAGAGCTCCATAATCTTCATGTTTGAGTGATGCACTACTTTCCACAACGGCAACAGTCGACTCGGGAGTGTAGGCAGCCAAGAAGTGTAACGGAGTACTTGACAATCGATGCAGATTGGATTGAATAGGCAATGCAGTCGAGATGCTTTTGGTTTCGTGAGTATCGTATCTGAATGCACTCTTTTGAGATGCACCATGTTCAGATTGTGAGTCTAATGATAATGCTGAGCGCGGAGGTTTACTGACCGAACATGTGTGGCTGGATATCGAAGCAACAGTTTTCTTTGATATGGTCATCGAGATAACTTTCCAGAAAGTTGGCAGTCTTGTTTACAAATAGAAACAATTAAATCGAGTTTTTGACATGAGTTAATATCTCGAGCAGCCCTGTAATATCAAGTACTTTTATACGCATTTCTGAGATCTCAAATGCAATGTGCTCGAGATAAAATCATTCAAGAATTTTATCCAAAGTTGAGCATTCATTCGGCATTATGGGTGCTGCAGAGTCGTCTATTTCCGCCAATTACCGGCTGTTCACCCCTGATGGAAATCCTACTACTGTCAATGCTCAGTATGGTGCAGGCTCAGGCACTCAAAGATTATCTGATAATGACCACGAAGCAACCTCAAACTCGTCTACTTTGGCAACTGCTTTATTATCGAGGTCACTCTTACTGAAAGGTGTTCATAAAACCAGTGGGGCCGTAGTATCTATTTTTCAAATGCAGTTATCGAAATCCTCACAACCAGGCATGACAGAATCTAATTCATCTAATAGGAGTGGTGGTGGTCAAGCCAATGGTCAGGATGCAACCAGGCAAGGTGCACCTGGAAAACCCACTGGTAGTACCGTGCTGCCAGATGGCATCAATGTGAGTCTATAGACTACTATATATGCATTGATCTGCCCACATTGAAGCACACTGTTCACTTTCAGCCTTTAATGGTTTTTATACATTTGTAACAAATCTCATCCAAGGCCTGCGATTGTAACTCATTTAAACTTGGCAAATCATTATAGAAATTAAAAACCATCCGACATCCAGGAATCATCAAATTTATCACTGCCGAGTCTAAAGGCAGCTCAGTATTAATTGTCACCGAATTTGTCTTAAAGATTGCTGATGTTTTGCCTACAATGTCTGAAGAGGAAATTTGCTTAGGCATCTACAATATTCTGGTAAGTTTTACACCTAGCATTCAAATATACTATTGTCAAGTCCAGTGGTTTAATTGTTGTATGCTTTTCAAAACTGTGAATTTAAGAAAACCATCGAGTTTCTGCACCACTCGGGGATCTCTCACAACAGTCTTGGGATCGATTCAATATATTTGACAGGAGGTAGTGTATTATTAAACTGGTTTAAATTTAGAATTTTACTTGATGTATATTGATCCCATATTGATTAAAACAATTTTAGATCGTCGATGGGTTATTGGAAATATGGAGTTTGTTAGAAACATTGACCAAATGACGCCAGAGTTTATTGCTTCATTAAATTCCATTCTACCACAAAATCAAGCTGGTTTGGACAACCCTACTCTTTGCCATGTAGGTTTTGTGCATTATTATTTGTACTTTATGCATATTTAAATCCAGGTGGCTGCATAGTGTATCATCGTCGTAACAGTGTTTTGTGATATATAGAAAGATACTTTAGTGTTTTCCCGAGATTGCGTTGCAATGGGCTACCTCATATCAGATTTAATTAAATCATATATACAGCATGATGCTTCTACATTGGTAGAACATAGATTTCCTTGGGATAAACTAGAGGAATCAGCAGCACATTTACGAAGTAATAGCACCACAAGTCAACTATCCATCAAAAAAGTTTTAGATACTCCTTTTTTTAAAGACAGCATGCTAATTGAAATCGTGGAGCGATTTCTTAAAGATATTCGTGCTATTCACCCAGAGAACAAGGCAAAAATGTTTAGTGGGCTGTATGCTCAGCTTCACTGTCTTTCACAAGGCACTGTCAACGACTTTTTGCTACCCAAACTACTCAATCATGAGCTTTTTGTTGAGCCAGGTGCCGCAAACTTTTTTATGGAACTACTTACTCCAACAACAAGCTTTTCATTAGGTTTGTCAGGTATGGAGTCTCTTTCAGTCATTACCAAAGAAGCTTTTTCAGCCCACATTGTTCCATTCATTCACAAAACATTTACAGTTCGGCAGTATGAAACACGAATTTTATTGCTTAAAATGCTAGACCGATATATTGATTTTGTCTGCGATGTAGATGAGCTTATTTTAAAAAATACTATCATTCCCGAGCTGATTATTGGGATGAGCGATGCAGACGATTTGATTTACTTGGAATCTGTTTGTGGACTTGCAAAGTGTATTCCACGATACTATCAATCGATTACCGAGCGTAAACGCCACGTTGATATGGATGTATCTTCTGCTACACCGAACGACTCGTCAGAAAAGCATTCTCAACGAGGAAATCGTAGTCTTTCATTGCAATCAGCCCGATCTAATACAGCAAATGTAGATTCGCTTGGTTCAAACGAAGAAGGGAGATTGCATTTTCCTGCTTCACAAAAGACTACTTCTTTTCCGAGATCCGAATCTGTTGATATGGACGGTTCTCCAGAATTTTCCATGCAATACTTGGTGGAAGATATGCTCATTCCTCACACACTGCGAATATGTATATATGAGAATACAGATGTCAAAGATCTATGGTGTCTTTTAGATCATTTATCCAATGTCTGGAAACGCTTGATTGTTTTTTCTGAAAAAAACAAGGCAAGTTTGAAGTATTGACATTATTATATTGCTATTATCAAAATGTCTAATGTTTTAAAATCTGTATATAGTATAATACTCCTGATATCTCATCGATTATTCGAAGTTTGTTCAAATGCCTTCATTTAATTATGCGAATTCTTCCAGTAGACCAAAAAATCGATTACTTTTGTAACCGGTTGTGTGGTGGTCTTGATTCTGTCAACGATACTTCTGCTTCGGCTATTTTATGGATTCCAAAGCTAATTGAACTTTCGATCCCTTTTCTCAGGGATGACAATCGTGATGTGCGTCGTCATGTGTCTTTGACAGTGATGAAACTACTCACTATTATCTCAACTGCATTTGAACGAGCACCTACTATTTCTCGAAAGCGTGAGCAAACAAGTCTGACCACTAGACTACTGAGCGTGTATGGTCAAAATACGCGTGTATCATTGGCATTCCCAAAATCTGGACCACGTCAACTGGTTCATCCAGGCAATCATCACAATACATCAATGTTGGTCAAAGACCAACCTGAAGCTACTCACCAGACTTTCTCTACTTTGCCGTATTCAGCAAGTAGTCACCATGAGGAACTGCAAGCTGATTACAGCGCAATGCCAGAGGTCGAGCCCGCCAAGCTTAATGGCAATGATTTAACACGGGATCTTCTTGGAAAAGTAATGGTTGCAACATCGTTGGACGAAACTTTGAATCCCTCATCCGAAACTTCTGCTTTGGCAGAAAACACTTTTAAAAGCGAAGATGGTTGGAACTCAGATTGGGGAGAAGAGTTGGATAATGGATTATCAGCTACTTCTAACCCAGTGACTGAGGACATACAAATTCAATTGACTGAAGGCATGCAAGCTCAATCGACTGAAAAAGCAACACCTTTTGTAAACAGCAATGATGTAGGCTTTCCTATTGCATCTGTCACAAATGAATCCAACCCAAAGCTGCTTAGTGTCAAACCTAATTTAGATATCCCTATTGCAGCGGATAACTCTCAATCTAGCATGAGTACCAGCATTGCTTCACCAGTGCTGTCAGCGATATCTACTAACTCTATACACGCATTGCCTTGCGATACCATGCAAACAAATGAGTCTGCTACAAATGTTTCTCGTGGTAAATTTTTCAAACGAGACCAAATTAAACAGAAGCGCCAGGAGAAACTAGCAGAAAACATTTATCGCCAATCCACCTCACCCACTTTGAATGTCCAACCAAACCCATTGGATCAAGTAGGAAAATCTCTTTTTTCCAGTACCGCATCTAAAGCAGCAACAGTTTATGTTCCTGTTGTGGTAGAAAAGCCAGTCGAGGTAGATTATTTCAAAGACATGGCTCCTGTACATGTTCGTAAACAAAGCATCCTTGCTGCTGCTGCTGCTACTGTTTTTCCAATGGCAAAACGTACATCAGACTCTGCACATTCAGATTCAGTCAGTCAGTCTAATTTTCCAAGCGATCCTGTACCCAGCAATCGTATGGCATTTCATGGATCAAATGCAGATTTTAATGTGAGTTTGTAGCGCATTGTAATTTGATTTTATATTCGGGCGATGTGTTACTCATTAAAGTATTTAAACTTTCTTTAGGAACCGTCACTTGGATGGGGTGAAGAATTTGACGAGGATATTGATTTGAATGATATTCGACTTTAATGGTGTCTTTCATTATGAACTTGTCAAATATATGCATGATATTTCTCACTCTTGAACGGATTCAAAGTAATGTATATGGATAAATAGGTGGGTTTTAGAATGTGTATTCAAGACATGTCAGTGCATGTACACATTATTTTTGCAGTTTATAACGTGGGCAAGCGCAAAGTGTTTATTTGCCGCCACATTCACACAAAATGGACCACTAAAAAGTATGCAAACAGTTGTATTCCTGAAATGTGCAATCCTGTTTTCTTGAGCTAGAGCGTGAGCGTATCTGTGTGAGTTTAGAATACAATATGGGTTTGAAAAATGAAAACATGCAAACATGTAAACTCGGTATCTGGATTGCAGTGGATGGGTCTGATGGTTGCACAATGTATGGCTATGCCAAAAAATAATCTCATTTCAAAACTATAGTTTGATTGTATTATACGATGAACATTGTATCTATTGAAAAACTGATCATTTCAATCAGAGTAGCCAATTTCTAGTAGGGGTGCATGACGACTATTCACCATTGTATATTCCAAAACAATCACTGCGAGATAAATACGAGTGTTATTTACGCGAACACGGTTTTAACTCGACTCTTGTCAAAATGGACGCATCGATTCATACACCTATGAGTGCAGCTATGCATATAGAAGCAGATTCTTATACAGACCAAATCACTAAACCATCACAGACTAGTCCTGAAATTCGTGCAGAAGCCTCGACTTTTTTGCAAGATCCACCTCAATCTCAGCCATCCCATTCAACTCTGCCATTGGCAGATTCACTTACTCAACACGTATTAATGGCCCATACCACTCAGTACAAGCCTACTGTTTCAAACAAAGCTGACCTGTCAAACCCCATAGCCATTGCCAAATGGAAAGAGCTAGAGGAAATCTTTCATGTGTTTGATACAGATGGATCAGGAACAATAGAGCCAGCAGAAATGCGAATATTAATGTGGACTCTTGGGTTAGAATCTGAAATAGTAAATTTAGACAGCATGATTGCAAATCAACTGAGCGTGAGCAGAGAAAAGGCTGCAAAGGTCTCCTTGTCGCTCCATCAGTTTATAGATCTCATGACCCAACAGATGGTATGGTTGCATAACCCTTCAAGTAGAATTTTGAATGTTGATTGCAGTTCAAATATGCAGACGTTGGATTAACTCGATAAACTAAATAGTAATATTTGCATGCAATCCTTTTTCAACATTGATAACCACGCAATTAGAAACCACAAGATACACCAGAGAATTTCATCAATGCGTTTCGGTTGTTTGATCCTGAAGGGAAAGGACAGATAGGGGTCAAGGAATTGCGACAAGCATCTCGAGATATTAATGAGCCAATGACTGATGAAGATATACTGTTGATTGTGAATAGGCTGGATAAAGATGGCGATGGTGAAATTGGAATAGAAGATTGGATGGTGGCAATGGCGAATGGACACGGTTTACTTTCAAAAAGCTCGGATGTGAAATAGCATGTTTTATTTAGACGAGTAGTGTATAGAGCGCATTGGATAATGCCGTTGCTCTGGATGAAAATAGTCTAAAACCTACTCAAAAGAATACCACTTTACAAATTATAGTACTCGATACTTTATTTTTTCAATAAATTTTTAGCCATCGTTTTTAACTAATAGCCGACTGTTTCGATACCCTCTAGTTTGATTTCTAAAGAATGCTAGAAAGCCAAAATGCAGCGATTGGGGTGCTTTTCAATTCTACCAACGGAATGTTTATTCACTGATAATGATGGGAAACTTTGGTAATCAAACGAGTTTCATATTAACTTACGCTCCTACAGAGATACTGCAATGTTGAGTTGAAATACTGCAATTTTAATATTCTTCACGCCCCAAAAGCGTAGTTGTAGCTTTGGTATATTAGAAAGCTGCTCCAGCTGTTTCGACAAATAGTATTGACGTGAATTTGTGGGCAGAAACTTTTTTTTTCTTTTTGGATTTGACAAATTGAATTCGATTTACTTTTCTGCCAAACTCTTTGCTATTATATTAAACGATGCGTTTGGAAAAGTGCTACTTTTGTTCCACCACATGCTATCCTGGCCATGGTGTCATGTTTGTTAGAAACGACTCAAAGACATTCCGTTTTGTAAGTCATTTCACAACCTATCGACTATTTACAAAATCTGATGTTGAATACAAGTAGATGCAGCATGAATGCCTATCCGGTTCTAGTGCAGCCCTATTCAGTCTTGAACATATGTTATTCAATACCTACAGAGCATGGACTGGACTAGAATGCACTTGACAGCTTGTTTGTGATTGCATTCTAAAACCCTTCAATTCATATTTATTTTTACAAACATTTAGTGCAGTTCAAAATGTCACAAAAACTTCAAAATGAAGCGTAACCCACGAAAGGTCAAATGGACCAAGGCATTCAGACGGGCAGCTGGAAAGGAAATGACTGTGGTGAGTATGTGACTTCAACTTATGATCGGGTTTTTCAGTGCTAATGCATGTGCATACAACTTTATATATTCACATTGGTTCAGGATTCTACTCTCGAGTTTGAAAAGAGGAGAAATATTCCTGTTCGTTATGATCGTGAGCTTATGGCCACTACCATCAAGGCTATGAAGCGAGTTCAGCAAATCAAGTCTAAGCGAGAAAGAGTCTTCTTCAAGCAAAGGTGGGCATTTATGATCTGAGCTACGATACACATGCTTTATTTTTACCTACTGACACTTGTTTAATCCATTTTCTATCATCTCTAATAGAATGACAGGAAAGAAGGAGCGTGAGATGGCAGAAAGCTTGAAATCACTGCACCAAAACATTGAGCTTGTAGATGCACCAGAGCTCAAGCAAAAGCTGATGGAACATAAATTAGCCGAAACCCCCATCCAAAAAGATATGGAGATTGCTTAATCTTGACAATTGTTGTATCAAAGATATAGCAAAAAGCTGACAGCAATCTTACCAAGGACGTGATCAGATTGAACCAAGCTCTTTAATGTTAAGAATGAAAAACACTGAATTCATAAAGAGTTTATTATGCAATATGAGCCAAGTAAAAACTACGATATATCACTGCTGGTTAGTATTTTATATAGCAATAGTACTAGATTCCCCAAACACCTGGATCTTCATTATTCCGTATTCGCTTTTTAAGCATGGAACGGCAGTGGTCTTTTAAATCTACATTAGTTCGACTATGTAGCACAGGATACTCGTCCAGGATTTTTCGCCATTGCCGCTGATACTTTTCCATTCCTTTATAAAGCGCATCCGATTCTTCAGCAGTCCATGCCATTTTTTGTCGACGTATCTTTTTTAATTTTGACTCATCTATAATGTGATATTCCGGGTTTTGCATATATTTGTGGTTAGATTATGGGGTGAATTTTCTGCATAGCTTAGCAACACAAGGATCAATAATAAAAGCGTTGGCACATTATAATAGTTTATCAGATGCACCTACCCTCTAAAACGTCAACATCGGGTGGATATAAAGTTACTGGTAAAAAGCGTATGTGATGATGTTCTGAATTTAATTGCTCAGAAGGTGGTTTAATTTGTCTTTTTGGAGACTTTGTCGAATCCGAGACTCTTTTGGGCGACTTTGAAGCAGATTTGGACGGTAATTGACCCAATTTTACTCGGTGGTTCGATTGGTGAATTGGAGGCGATCGCAACACGGCCCGGGATTTCTTGCTTATATTTAAATTGCTCTCAATACATGTTAGTGGATCTTTTACAGCGTCTGTAAATGCTACATGTGCATTTTTAATCGATTCCGTGATTTTCTCGCAGCAAATTGATGATGGCTCGGCTGGTAGATATCGAAGTGGTCCTTCATAAAATTCTGGAATGGCATCTTTTTCAATTGGACGCATTACCTGTAGTATCACACTTCTAAGTGTTTCCTCGATTAAATTGAATGGAGCAAGTGATTCTGATAGCAATGCTTTGTTGAGAGCGTATGCAGACTAAATCAAATAAATTTTGTGAGAAATTTGACCAGTTAAAGTATCACAAACAGTGCATAGATGAACCATAGTATATAGCAACATACCATTGTTTTTAGCTTTTCCATACGAGCTTCATAGTTGTGGATCTGAGAAGTTGACATTTCCGCCAATTCATTTGGATGAATCTCGAAAGCTTCGTCAAGTATATTGAATGATTCGTATTTTTTAAACAAAGTTCTGGGTTCTGCTGATGAAATATCGGCTTTTGGCCCAGCAGACATTCGCGAGAAAAAAATCTATTGAACACATTGCAAAAATAGTTTAAAATTAGGTGATTGATTCAAAAAGTTGACGATTGAATCCATATGGTACCAACCTGAAAGTGAATATAGCTCATGAGCAATCCAAACAAATCCCCTCTTTTTTCTGCGAGTTTGAAACCAGGACTGATCAACAACTTTAGTAATTTGACAAGTTTGGATGCAAGTTTAGTGAAATGACGATGACGCTGAGTAAAAGTGAACTCATGGCCCTTGTCATTGAACTGGTTACGAAGCATAATAACTTCATCAACATTCAGCAGACTCTGAGCCACTACCAGATGTTTGGCAATGGAATGCGGCATGTCGCTTAGTTCGAGTAATGCATGTTTACGCCATACATCTAAGTGTAACATTTAAAAGATAAGCGATTGAATTTACTCGTAAACCACAAAAAGCAGCAACTCACTGTGGGTGAAAGCCTCGACTGCATTGGCCTTTGCAGTAGCAATATAAGTGGGCAGTTCATCATTCAACAGGTTTACGTCGACGACTTCACCTTGTGGAGTGTGCAACTCAAGCCATCGACCATCGTAAAGCTTTGCAAGTAAATAGTTGAATGAATCGAGATCGATGCTGTTGACGATCTCAGGATACACACTTATCTGATAGGAAGGGTTTGCCTTGACAGGAGTCACCATCACAAAAGCTTCTGCAGCTTTGGAAGTGGATCGTCTTGAAAGTGGGGTCACATCATCAGAAGCCAGATTCCTGTACTGGATGGATTTAGAAGATGATGAGCCAGAATGAGGCTCATCCGAGTCTCGTCTCGGGTTGGAATGAGACACTTTGGACTTGATACGATGACTGTGCTGCTTGGTAGGAGTCCGAACAGAGTTGTTGAAACTACAGTACTTGGCAGGAATGTCATCCTCTTTATAGTCCCAAGACAGATGAGTAGTCGGCAGCTGTTCTGGCTTCAAGTCACTATCCTCAGCATGCTCAACCGTCACCTCGTGGGCAGGACTCTCCTGGTCAAGTGTGGACTCGACACACAAGTCATCAGTCTGATCTTGAACTGAATGTGCAATCAACTGTCCAGGAACTTGGTCCAACTCATACCCTCCATCGCCCATCTGCTGTTGCTCATCAAAACTGCTCATGCTGGGTCTGCTGTTAGGAATGGATTTTGGGTGTGTGTCTATAGATCTCTGTGAACTACTCCGAGTAGTCACTCTGGACTTGACTGGCGATGCATCGTCATGTCGAGTCTTTTGTTGCTTCTGAAGTATGTTTGAGCGAGGACTGTCGACATCACTCTGCTGCTCGACTGATTCAATAATAGGTCTGGGTGTCTTGTTATCAATCAAGACTCTATGTCTTGTGTTGTGACCAATGACCTCTTCTTGCTCACTGTCACTGACTAGATCCAGTGTCTGATACGTAGGAATGGGCGATGCTTTGGATGGAGTGTTCTTGTAAGCGAGCGACTCTAGACTCGAGGGTTGGCCAGTAGCTGCTGTCAAGTCTGAACTATTCTTGGCTGTAGCGTTTCTTTTTCTATTGGGACTGCTATGGGCTGCAGTGGCCTTTCGCTTATGCTTAACCCTAGCCATATCCGTGTTTTTGAAGTTAGGGTTTGGAATATCAATTATCATCGATTTCTATCAACACATCCACTACTTGCTACTGCCCATCCTGCTATATAATCAATTTGTTCATTCATACTATTTTGGATCGTCCTTTGAATAAATTCCCAATTCCATTGTCTGGCACGGACTGCACTGCACCACTGCCGTGTCCGTTAACTCCATTTTTGGCTCGTTTTGTGGTGCTAATAGATTTATCCCGCTTACCACCTTTACTATCTGGTAGATTTACCCTGCCGTTGCGCTGGTTCTCTTCACCATCTGCTTCCATAATCTTATCCTACAATCATTTGAGGTGCATTTAGTTTATCATCTGTCGTTCTTGACAAAAATCTGGTATTATTTCTTACCTTGGCTCGAATTTGGAATGCCATGTTACGTTTACCTGCATTTCTTCCCACTCCATTATGAATAACATCCTGTGCAGTTTCATCTAGTTGAGATTCGCTAAATGATCGCTTGACTAAAAATCGCTCTGCTGATGCAAACCTTAATTGTCGTTGCTATATCGGCACAAATGATTTAATTACGTTCAATCAAGATCAGTTAATGATGTCTGACTTTAATATGCGTTGAAATAGTCAATTACAAACCAAGCATCCAATTATGTTTACCTTGGAAAAGCTATCATTATAGAATACGTTTTGACTTTGAGATCGAGTGTTTTCAACAGCTTTGTATTGCTGTACTTTACGTTGCATCATTTTTGTAAATGACACCGACGTCGTTTGTTCCTCCAGGATTGACAATTCACGATAGACAGTTTGGCCAGAGTTGATCGATTGGACACTATCAAGATTATGCCCACTACGACTTGTCAAATGGCTGATCCCGTTACTCAGACTTGGAGCAATAACTTTTGTTGGAGGTTTTATAGACAGTTTTACTGGCATCAAGTCAGGGCTGTCCGAATCATCCTCGGAGGAAATTTGACGTCGGGTATTTTTTCGTGGCATGTCTATGGTTATTTCATCCTGGTAGTTTTTTATGACATGTTAAAATTCCTCGATGAGATGGGTGAGCAAACAAACTGATCAAAACAATACAATAGTTGAATATATCTTGAGTTTAAACTTTAAAACAATGGTTTACCTCGCTTCCAATACGATCTATCTGCTGCTCTTGCTCTTCAACATTGGAATCACTATGTGTGCCTTTCTCTGCAATGACTCTCAAATGGAGTTTTGCAGCCGATCCACGAGAAAACCCTTTGATTCGAACAACATTATTCTCAAGCATAGTCTCAGGCTCAGAATCAGAAGACATGATCCCACCCACATCATTCATATCAGTTGAGAAACATTTTGCAAACGATGCAGTTTTTGGATCCTGTGCTAATCAATTATTCAAAAATAAAAGTGTCGGTAACAGCTTGCAAACCAATAGATATTTAAAGCAACAACAAAAGTACACAACTCACCCAGTTTTTCAAGACTGACTAAATCATCATTATCATTTCCATTCGTTTTAGACTTGAATTGATCGCGGATTCGACGCAGCAGCTCCTCGTTTTCTTCATCACTATCGTGCATATCTAAACCTTTTCCAGTAGGATCGTTACGCCGTCCTCGCTTGCGCAAATTACCACTCGTGACATCATTAAGAAGTGCCTCGAATTCAGATTTATCTTTTTCAAGCAGTTGCTTTCTGTATTAAACATGCGGTAAAAAGTGAATCGACAAGAAATTATAATCTCGACTCTAAACTAGCCGTGAAGACATCAGTTGTAATTCAATTTAGGTTTGACGACTTACAAGTGTAAATTGGCAATTGCTTCCTGCTGCATATCTTCAATGTCAGAATCCCCAAGCATATCCTGTTCATACTGATCTATATCGGGATCATCCTCGCCATCTACACCACCCACATGCATAAACTCATCATCCTCAACCTCGGCCTCGGTTTCAACAAACTTGGACGACTTTTTGATTGATACAAATGGTTGGATCTTGGGTAGCAACGCGTTAACTTGGCTTATTGTTTCGACAGATGCACTTGCGTTGCTAGTTGTATCGTCAGCCTCATTATCGGATGTATCATCCGATTTTTCGCTATTACTCTCATCATTTTCAGTGTCACTAGATTCAGTTCTGGTTTGAGCCTCCTCATCTGAAAAAAAGGCTGTAGAGTCCTTTTCTCTTGATGTTTTTTCAGATTCCAAAGCTTGCGCTTGCATCTTTGAAATTTCAAGAAGTGACTGTAACTGTGCATCGCGTGTAGTTTCATCTTGAGGCTCGAAATTGCCTGATAAAAGCGCCATGAAATCAGCATCCTCATTCAAGATATCATCTGCTTGTCCAAACTTGACTGCCTCATCAGCAGAAGTTACAGATTTTACAGAGTCTGGCATACTTTCCAATAAAGATCGTGAATGCAATGGAGTCTGTGGTGGCGGCATTACTCTTGAAGCTTTCTTGAGACTTTCGGTTGTATCAGTACTTGGAAACGATCCAGATAAGAATGGGAGAACTTCCAAGATTCCTGAAACCTCGGGAGTTCCGCTTAACAAATCTTTCCGAACTGGTACTTGTGTAGTAATATGCCTTTTTTCAATATGCTCGGATGGTTGTGTAGATTCAAATAAATTGTCTTTTAACATAGTATCTACAAATGGCTGACAAATAGAATGATTCTCGGCGGTAGCAACATTCTGGTAACAATTGCTGTCGCTTACTTCAACATCAGACATGGAATCGTCAAGATCAAGCAGCAATTGATGTGTATCGACAAACATGGATGGATCCTCTTCGTCATCTGTGCCATATTCTACGGCATTCTCGTCATTTGGCATGTCAGTTTGATTACTCTTGTCAACCTCCCATAGTCCTAGTTCCTTGGCAACAGCATCTGATGCATCACGATCGGATAATAAAATCTCCATAGAATCACTCTGCAATGCATTATCGTGAACTTTTTTGATAGCCAGGCAGTTTGCCAATGCTTTGGTGTCGCTTTTTCGAGTCGATTGGTTAGAGAAACTATATGACGAATTAAAACGAGTGCTTGTATTGATATCCTTGTTGGAACCAGTCTCTGATTCTGAACCAACAACGTTATTGTTTACATCATTGCTATCTTGGACAGGCTCCGTATCTGTAACATTTTCAGCACTTTTGTCAAGTTGTTTGGCTTGAGCAACGGCTGTACGTAGTAGCCTCAACTTTTCACGCTTCAATCGCTTTTCATCCAACTGTCGCTGTCGCTGCTCCATCTCCACTTCACGTCGCAAACGTATTTGTTCTTCAGCAAGTCGCATGAGCTTTATATTCTGTTGCTTCTTTGAGATGGGCTTTACCCCATTTGGTCTAATGCGACTAGGAGATGTAGGTGCTGATTTATCATCATTGTCATTGTAAGTAAACTGTTGAGAATCTTTACGAAAACCAGGCGACTCGAACGCAACAATTTCAAGCTCGCACTCGTCTGAATCACCCAAGTTTACTGTTGATTTTCCTGCGGCGTTTAAAGTAATGGACTTTGAGGTCATGCCTAAGGATGGAAATATACCAAGGCGAGCATAAGGTTCTTGCTCTTTGGAAATAATTCGGTCAACTTTTACTGATATCTGCGGTAATATGAGCGATTCTGTTGGAATATTTGTAGAGATGGCCACAGCTGGTGGATCTACAATGAGCGTGTTGGTTGACTGGATTGAATCATTTGTACTAGCCAAAACATTGTTGTGGATACTAGACAAGGTGTTGATTGAAAGCTTTGGTGAAGTGGTTGTTATAGCTTCATCATGAACAACTTTGGGTATAGGATTTGAATTCCTATTGATTCCTCTTGCTGCCAGGAATGAGTCCAGGTTGTGTGTGCTCTTGCGGATTTCCACTTCATTCTGTCGCTCTCGAAGCAATCGCTGAGTTTCTTTTCGCAGTTCAAGAAGAGCCTTTTTAGAGAGTTTCTTGACTTTTTTCGGTGGTTTGGAATGTGCATACACGTTGCCGTCCGAATCCTCGTCAGAAGAATCTGCAATGGCAGTGTCGCTGTCTTGATTACTCTCATTACCAGCAGCAATGGAAGTGGGTTTGGAATCATTCACAATAGATTCTTTAAAAGAAAGAATATCGGTAGTTGGTATAATGCTCTGTGATTCCTTGTGCTCAGATATCTGATTAGCATCGTCGTCCGAATCCGATAATTGGTATTGTCTGGGCTTGGACACTACTTGGAATGGAGTGGTAGCGGAATGGCTAGAGTTGGACAGTAGCTTCTCCACTACATCGTCTTCGCTTGAATCGGATGTCTGCTCTAATGCAGCTCTGCGAGACTTCATTCTCTGCAGCAACTGTTTTAATTCATCAGGCTCTTCATCGGACACCTGCATGTCCAACTTTAATTATATTTGACTAAATCGATGAAATTGAATTATTATTCGCATAAAAATAGAATACTAAATCAAAGCAGTGAACAGCCAGTTCCATCAAATGATTGACACCAGTTTATTGGACAACATTGTGGTTTTAAACTCTCCGGTTTTTCTCTTGGTGACTAGCATGTATGGCTACATTCCTGAAATGCGCACTCTTTGAACTAGAACACAAACATATTTGAAGATATGAATTTGTATAGAATTAAGAACAGTCGAGTCAAATATCTGGATTGCAATAGACAATTTTGACAATTGTGCAATGTGTAGTTATACCAAAAAAGTGATAGTTTAACTGTATTATACATGAATGTGGTGTTGACTAAAGAATCAAGAATGTCAATTTCTAGTAGAAAAGCGTAACAAACATTAACCATTGGTTATTCCAAAGCAAAATAAAGTCACTGCAAGATGAACAAGCGTATCCTTTGGTTTGAAAGTTATTTCATTATTGGTATCGGCCTATGGCTGTATAATCAAAATATAGTAGCCTAGTTGAATCAACTGTCGAGTCAAACTATCAAGATAGTTTATAGTCTGAAACAGAAAGAGTATTGTCTGTAGACATGGAAACGAGTGACGATCGCTCAAATCCTTCAAAAAATCTAGCTACAATCACCCGATTATCTATATATTCATGTTTGCAAAACCAAATCATTAAAAGTATCAGTCAAGCAAATATACAATCAGTTTACTGTGAAATTGAGTAACCTTGAGATACCAACATCAAAAAAAGCTGAATTCAAAACTAAACTTACCATGAATGCGTAGAGTCTGAGTAGGTGAATTGACCTGGGAATATCGCAAGTCCCAAATATTAATACCATTGTTGGCGCTCTGGCCAAGAGAAACCATGTATCCATTAGGGTGGATAGATGCATGTGCATATTTTGACTGTATTTGCCTTTCTGTTTTCATCGAGGTTGACTGTATCGACGTGCTGTCCGCACTACTCATCGCACTTGATAAACTCAGACTAAATTTCATAGACCGTAGATCTAGTACTTTGATCTGACTATCATAGTCCATAAACCCAAGTAACAGCATATTTGGCTGTCCAGGAATACCTATTATATCTCGGATCTAAAGCCAATCAAAATATAAAAGATAAGTAAATCCATATCAAAAATGGTTGTACACCCTCAATTCAAAACTATTCTGATAAACCAACTTACACCCGAGAATTGCTTGTTGGAGCAAAGTGTGCTGCAATTGGCACCTAATGACCAGCCAACCAACCGATGATCCAATCCACCAGAATATATAACATCTTGAGAAGGATGGGGGTAAACTGAGAGAATATTGCTTGTATGCAAATTATGAAGATTGCGATAGATGATGTTGTTGTATTTTCGTTCCTTTCCGGTAAACTGATTTTCAAACGACCACAGAAACTAGAGCCAGTCCAAAAATACAAAGTTAGTGTTTCAAATATACAATAAAAGCAGGAAATTACAAATATCCAGATCTAACCAGGTATAGTCCATCACTTACTATTCGTTTATCAGCGCCTGCCGAAACCCATCTTGTCTGATTTCCAATAGGCGACATGGGAGATATGGTGGATATGGACTTGTCGTGTGGCATCTCTTTGAGATGCTGTATTTTAAAATCCAAAGAGCCTGAATCATGCACACTTTGCTTAGAAATGCGGCAATTATATACTAGTGCGATTTGATGATTGATACGATTGTTTGCTCGGGACGATGAGAGTTGTGGGCTTGAAGCAACCGCCAAAGTATTAGGACTGATCCAGCACTAAAAATTATAAAACATATATCAATTGCTTGAGCAGTTGTATATGTTGATAAAAGTTTGAGATGAATACGTGACTGGCATTTACCATATCTTCAGCCCATCCATTGCGCATTATTGCGCCTTCGATAGTGTAAATATTCTGTCTTGTTTTGATATTCCACCATTGTATGCAACTATATCATTAAAATAGTTAGCACACAATAATCAATGGATATACTTGATCAAGAAAACAACACAGTACATCTTACCCAGATAAAGTTGAAGTGACTGCAATTTCAGAGAGTGTTTCGGGATTTTCAGGAGGAAGAAGCAGAGTCCGTGGCTTACGATCAAATTTTCCTAAGCTATGAGAATTGATCTCAGTCATAAGCTCAGCGCTACTATTCCTTTTGATCATCCATTCAGTATTTAGTTCAGCAGATGCCTTTTGTTTTTTTGAATTTACGGGAAATTGAATTTCTTGAATGGCATCAGGTTTAGCATCACGATCCATTGAAGAACTTGCGTGCGATTGCTGCAGTTGTTCAAACAGTTCGTTATGACGAAAAGTTGAACGATCCTCTGAGCTTTTAGTGCAACTAGTTATAGACTTTGATCGCTGAGGAATTATAGCAATACAATTATCTTGCACATCGCTCTCAACCATTGGTCTAATCGAAGAGATAGTAGATGATTCGGCTTCCTCGATTTCTTGAAACAATGCTTCATGTTGTACATGCGATAGTTTTTCTAGGCGTGATGTTGTATTATCAAAACTTTGTATATATGCAGATAAAGGAGAAACTGTTACAGGAAGCAATGCAGCAGTTAAAGAAGTCCTGATATGAGGTGATTGTGTTGACACTATCTTGTCAGTAGGAATAGTGGCTATTGCCTGTGAGTAGGCAGAATCAACCCCGCTGGAAGTATTTTGCTTTTCTAAAGATAGTCTTTCAATTGCCTGTGATAATTTTGTAATGGTTCGAGTAGATTGTCTTATCTAGATATAAAATCATTAGAAACAGCCAAATCCAGTCAGTATTGAACAATGTTATAATTAAATTATCGAGTTCATTCTCAACCCAGAACAGACGGCCGCTATCTACCTTTTTAGTAAACTTTGATAATCGAAAACTTTCTAATTTTAGCAATGCATTCAACTCGCCAATGGGTTTTTCGGACAAATCAACCTCACTGTCGCTTGAAAAATCATCACTTTTCGAGTACAAGTGCTTGACAGAGACCTGTGATTGAGTTGGATGGCTAAAACCATTTAAATTAGATGCTTCTAAATGATCAGAGTATGGTGAGTTCAATGTTTGATGTCCAGATATGGCATTATCTACTATTAAATCAGTACGAGTTCGCTTGTGATGCTCTGGTGCCATTCCCAACAACAATAAGAAAATTCATGAACTGAAACATCTGATGAAAATAATCCTGAGGGTGTGTTTGAGATAACATTTCACGACCATATTCATGTAATGGAACACTGAATAAGTTGGAATCTATGATAGACAGTCAATCTCGTAATGATCCGCATTTATCTTACTGGAATTCACTGTTTCATCTGAACTTATTGATAAGGTTTATTAATATTTGCTTATTTTTGTACAACTGACTGAATGTTTAATACAGCACTTGTTCAATCTTCAACTATTACAATATTGACATGTACAACTGACTGAATGTTGAACTAGAACTTATTTGATCAAAAATACAAGTTTTAATGTCATGATTATGCCAGACATTCCTGTATAAAATCAACATTTTTAATAACATTACAAACCAAATGTTTCATTTTATGTAAATATGACTGGAAACATACTGCCAATATTCAACTTGGAAATGAACAAGCTTGATCGTGCCACCAATGATCATCTTGACTAGACTTTTTAACAACTTGTTGAAATTGGCACATTGTGGTGTTGGACTAGTTTGCCCACTACGACTTATCCACCGTTTCTGCTGCATTCAGTGCTGCCTTAGACAACTTTGACAGTCTAAGCTTCTATTACTACTGATTCTAGATTGATTTTTTACAAGTTTACCCGGACCGCTAGACTTTAAAATAACAAGGCGTTGCAAGGATGTCGCTGGTTTTATTCGACACTCCTGCAATATTGGATATATCGCAGTCACTTGCATGCACTGCTGCCATTGCCATCATCGCATTAGCTGGAAATACAGCTGCACATTCTCCAGATGCAGAGCCAGCTTCCAATCCAAGTCCTGCTCCACTCTTTGACGATGCTGCCATATCCGGGACCAACAAAACCCACCTTGCAGACCATCCAAGTCTTTACAATTCACATGCTCCACATCAACTCCCATCTGCTGAGCAAGTTATTATACGAGAACAATACCGACTTGGCCGTCCATTGACCCCGCAGGAAAAGGCCGAGATTGGAAAAACGCTGATTTTTCTCAAGGAGCACCAAGGGCACGAAACACAACATGCAGAGATGGCTTTGATCGTCATTGGCAGCCTGTTTCTGTCCCAGATCGGCATCTTTATTTGGAAAAAATACAATGCCTCATCATTCAATATTGCTACTCTGCTGGGGTTATGGCTGGTACCAATGACGATGGGCGCCTATGCTGGAAACTATCGCTTTGTTGTTGTGTGGGCTATGTTTTCCATCTTCAACTCGTACATTGTGAAACTGGCTTTGGAGTTTCCAATGAAGTCGTCTACACCCAAACTGGTATATAAATGGTACGCGTGGGTCTACAATGTCGCATATGTTACAGGAGCAATAGGATACTGTATCACCATGATTGCGATCTTCCATATTTCTGCCATCCTTGGTATCACTACTTTACAAGGAGAAGGTGTTGTTTTCGAGGTAAATGGCATACATGTTTACACATCTATTTGACAATCTATGGTTGTTGAACTTTACTAACTGCCTAAGTGCCTCTAAACCATTGATTTATACTCATGCTTTGGTACAATCACAACACCTTTTGGATAGACGGGTGTATTGATCCTGTTTTATGGACTGTATTTTGGCACTCTTGGTCGAGACTTTGTAGATCGCTTGTCAGATCGTATGGCTGTGACAATGGGATACTATTCTAGGACTGGGTTTCCTCGTAAGCATCTAAGAGACCACATGTGTGCCATTTGTGGTGACTCGACTTCCAAAGGTACAGAACCTACCCATACACTCAATTGCAGCCACACGTATCATGAGCAGTGTATTCGGTAAGCATATTGCTGCATACTAGTGTATATTTTACAACATAACCCAATCGTCCACTCATTCAAATTTAATCTTTAGAGGATGGACCATCATTGGGAAAAAGGATATTTGCCCCTATTGCAAAGAAAAGGTGGATCTAAATGCCTTTAAAAAAAATCCATGGGATACAACGCAAGCAATGTATCTTAGTCTGCTTGACGCATTGCGGTACCTTTTGGTGTGGAACCCTATTGTTTTTATAATCGTGCATGTGTTATTCAATATCTTTGGTTTGAAATAAACACAATTTAGGCTAGCTTGGTAATTGAAAACTCATAATTCAGATGTTATATCGACTAGTGCTGCAATTTATTATTGGTTGTCTCGACAAGAAGGCTTGTGGTCAAGACGGTGGCATATACTCTGCAACAGCGTGTGCTAAAGCATCTATTCCTCGAGATGGGTTATCCTGTTGCACAATTGTATTGGCACAAGTCTTGAGGACTAACTTTTGCCAGATTTCGTTCATCATTTTCAGTTTTTGATCTGATTCAACTCCTTGATCGATAAGGTATCGCACATCTACATATCAAATGGAATATCGTATGACTGTTTGAGCTGATTGGTGCAATATTTTATTTAAAAACGAGCACCTACAGTTTCGAGCTCCTTGCTGTTCAACAGGCTTGATACTAGTCGCTGCTCTGTATGTATCTTGCTTGATGATTTCACAGAGGTCTCCTATTGTAGCAAACGTGAATTGGTACAAAACTCGATACCACAGCTTCATTGATACCACTAGCAAGCTTACCAAACTGAATTCTGGCAGATTCGCGCTCAATCTTTGTCACGGGCACATTACACAGCGTTTTTATCGAGTCAGAAAGCAGTGATATCATGTATGATCGAAATACAGACATTGTAACAATAGGGTTCTGACAATCAATATCGATAGACACAAGCGACTTGACGCTTGCCAATGGAAGCAACTAAATACAACAACGCACATTCACTGTCTGAATACTATAATTATATAATTCAAACAAAACGAACCTGCTTTAATTGTGAGATTCCAGTGGGTCCAAATACTAAACTAGTCAGTGCTGTAAAATCCTTCAATTTTTTCAAAAGCAATTCCAGTTGGATAGGTAGCAGCATGTGAAACTCTGCTGATGTAATCATATCCAAGTTTAGTCGATCAAGCGCTGCTACCCCATCTCCATACCTGTGTGTTTTAATGCATATGATTAATTAAAACTACTTGCGACAGAATTATTTACAATTTGCTGTGAAAACACCATAACCACATACTGATAAAATTCAAACCTAATATTACATTTTGAGATTGCTATTATCCAGTTCAACGTATCCGTGCTTTTTGTCATTAGATTCGTCTAAATTTTCAAATGTGGGGATCAGTAAAGCAGACTACTGCAACAACAGAAAATCAGATAATTGGCAAGATCCAAAATCCAAAGCATTCAAAAGCAATGCTATACATTTTAACCTAGAGGTTTGATGACGGCATGAATTTGATCCTGTTTGATGTTTGGCAGAGTCGGAAATAGCCAAAGAGTCCAATCTATTTTGATCCCACATTGACTTGATGTGTGCAATACATTTGGTCCTATATGCCAAGCATCATATTTAATCAAAATCAATCTTTACCGTTAAAACCATAGAGTTTGGTATTTGGAAGCATAAACTCACCGCTCCTCGACCTGACTTGTTTTGCGATCAACCTCGCGCTTCCGTTCAGCGTCCTTTTTGGCAATTTTCAAAGCAGACCGTCGTTCTTCGTCAAGCACTCGACGTCCGTCAAGAAGTTTTAATGCTTTGCATCTATTAATAATACAAATGCGGTATTTGTTCAGCTCGGTTACTGCATTTTGTTCCATGGTGAGCTCCGTCAAATTGGGGATATCAAACACGGCAGAAACATTATTCAATGTACTGATTTTGTTATCGCTCAGCATAAGTCGTCGAAGATGTTCCAAGTGACTGTTTGTATCTATATATTTAATCTAATACATCACAAAATAGATGACAGGATTTACACCCGTTAATACGGCTAGTTTATAAACTATACAGCAATGATTTATGAATCCCTTTATCGAAAAGGAATATAGCCAAACATACAAATAAAAAGAACCAAGCAAAATTCCTAAAGCGCATACTTTGTTTTTTTTTAGATTTAATTCGCCAATTGTAACAAGCTCAGTCAAAGTTGGAATACGTTCAATCAAATTGTCTTCGAGATTTAGCACACGGAGTGAAGACAACTTTCCGATATTTTCTAGCCAAGCAGTTACCGCATAAAGTGTTGATTTTCAAGTCAGCACTAAAAAGTTGCAAGCATGTTTACACTCACAAGTATTGGAATAGCTTACCAATCGTTGTGATTTGATTACTATGAAGATCAAGAAGATCTAGTTTAACTAGCTCATCTAGATTTTCAATAAGACGAATCCGATTACGACCAAGCATTAGCACCCGCAAGTTAACTAGACATTCTAAACCACATATTTTCTAACATTGATGAATATGAGCATACTAGTCTATGTATTATAATGCACGTTGCAGATAGATTGCCAAATAATATCATGTATACATGAAATACTCACCTCTATGTGATTATTGTATAAATCTAAAAAAACAAGATTGATCAAGTTGTGTAGATTTTCGATACGAGAAATGAAATTATCCTGGTAGTTTAATGATTGAAGTTGCTCTTCGCCTGAAAGCAACAGGCATACCTATAGTTGAACCAAATTTAAGAGTTCAAATTTGTATATTCGTCAATACATGTTCATGATATAGAATGGCAAACCAGACGTTTTCATAAACTCAAACCAATTTAGGTATATTGCAAGTAACTTGCATATAGGTTTTTTCGGTTTAGATTCAGACTTTCAGGATTCGCCTCGCGCTCTCGTTGTGTTCGGACTGCATTCAACTGCTTCCCATCAAACAGCGATTGGGTGGAAGCTGAGCCGGTATGCATTTGCTTGAGCGATCCCTTGGGGTTCACATTGGTCCAAATGGCTGAATTCTATAGTGTGATCTAAATAGTTAACTTCTGGTTTAACCCATGAATAAACTTGCGCTTTATAGTAAACCGTTGCGTCTGGTTCAAAAATACAGCAAGTCGCTGGTATATTCGACTTACAGATGGATAGTTGAATGGAGTTGATCCTTGAAATTCAATGTCAATTCGTCCAACACTGTCTTTAAGTGGTACTGTTTGAAAACACTGCTGCGTAATAAATGCATTGCCACCACTTGAACCATCCTAGAATATTCACTATTAGCCAATTATGAATTTATGGTAAATTGAGCATTACCTATTCACTCCCATCACGTCAAACTCTAGTGCTTTACTATCAATACCTTTGCAAAAGGAGCTTCAGATCCAAATGATGTTGATGCAGAACTGGGTGTAGACGCTCTGGCAGATGCAATTGGCGAAGCATTCCATGCAACTACACGATGAATTAGTCTCATGATAACCGTGCACTTGATACCGAGTAGTTTTATAAAATCGTACCTGGTGTCGAACTGGATATATATTGGCTATTCAATGTACCTATCCGCTACCAAAAACATTTGCCAGTTTGAAATGTTAATAAGTCGCACTTTGAGTAACCGTTTTTAACTTTGGTAAAATGAACCTACCTCATTTTGTGGGGGCTGAGTTGTACTGAGATCAATACTAGCGTTTTTTGTGCTTGAGGGCTCTGTTATATCTGTGCTGCTTCGTGTACTCCTGTGGTCATTGGATGGAAACGCTCAATAAATTAATAAAACCGCAACAGTATTTTAAAAATAGCCTGGGATATCCACATTATAAAGTACATGTGAACAGCAAATATAGACACAATGCATCTTCAAGAGGCTGATTCTACCAACATACGCTATTGACGAGGCAGATAAAGCCCAGCGCGACGAGTTGGCCAAGGCACCAACCTCCAATAATGCTCTAGTGCGCTGCAAGCGTTTAAGTGCTTGTGCGGTACTAATCACTGGGACGCCAGCTGCATACTCTCCTGATACAGAGGCACGCTTTGCACCCGATGAAGGTCGAGATGATTTTTTAGTAAGTGGAGTAGACTTGAGCATATCGAGTACCAAAAAACAAAGCGAGGATAATATTCAATTTTTATTCTATAAAATTTCGAGTACAACGCTATACAGTCAAATATGAAAGACAGAAAATGTCCGCGCAAAAGGCCAACATATCCAAACACAATAATCTTTGCCAGTAATGGCAGAGAATGTGATCAGGCAAAGTAGATTATCTCTACACTGCTGGGCTGCGCTAGTGGGTGTCTATTATTCGCATGGATTGACACTCTACACCAACGTTGAAAGTACGGATTGGTTGAGTAACATGCCAGGCGGGATGATTTCTTGAGCAGATATCAGATATGGATAAAGGGTAAGAAATCAGCAGTGTGATGTGCATACAACTCCGTTTACAGCCGTATTTACATAAAATGCAACATCAAGTGTCAAAGTACAGGTGTTTTGGAACAAGGATGGAGAATATATATTAAAATCAACTTGCAATAGACGAGTGCAAACATCCAACCATTGTATATTCCAAAGCAAAACAAAGTCACTGCGAGATGAACCAGTGTTGCATTTTACGCAACTACCGTTTAGAACGGCATATTATGCACATCATGCATCCGATCAAATCCCAATCCACAAGAATAATTCGTTACAGGATAAAAGGTACACAACACACTACAACAGGATAAAACTTTGAACAATGTAGAGTTGAATTGACAATAGTTGAATCCAATATCTGGATTACAGTAAATGAATCTGGTTTCAAACTTGGAGATCAATATAATGTGGGATTATGCAAAAAAGAAAAAAAAGTTTCAGATCAAAACTAGTTTGATTGTGTGGGAATCATATGACGGATGCTATGTTTGGAAGAGTTGGGATATCTACTGAATAACTAGTCAGTTTGCAGTAGGAAGGTGTAACAAACACTTGGCCATTGCTCACTCTGAAGCAAAGAAAAGTGATTTGCTTTAGATGAATATAGCTGTAAAAAAACAAAGTCACGTTTTTAAATTTCAAATTACCAGATCTATATATATTTTAATAATTGGTCAACTCACCAATATATAAGCAGCCTAAACACAACTAAACTGCATTTATTATAAATGCAATTCAGTTTGCAGCAGACTCTCAATAACCACAGTATATATGACATGCTGATCTAGTCTGTTCAAGCAGGAGTTGGCTTGTGAGTTTAAATACACGTGATTTCATTTTTGCTGTCATGAATTGGGACGACCTGCAAGCACACTTGTCAATAATTAGACTGACCATCAGCACAGTAACCGTCTAACCCTTGCTCAATGTTGCGCGTGCGGGTACAGCTAGGAGATGAATATCGGAGGTTTTATATCACTCGCGGATTGGCAACACGAAAGAACCTCGAGTCTAAAGTAAGTTGTGCTGCAGACTTAGTATTGGCAGCAACCATGAACTGTATGACCTGGTTGTTTCAAATGAGTGAGCCTGGTCTGGATACAAGACAAGAGGATAACAGTCCTAGTCTAATTCAAACGCTAACTTGAGGGTATCGCGAATCAACCTTATTCCATGGTGGTTGATGCGTGAGATATTTGATATGGACATATGGCTTTAAGGGTGCAGTAACTAGCCTAGCCAACTGAAATGAATCTATTATTTGACTATTTTTCCAACACCAAAACAACAGGCAAGATGGCTGTTTGACCTGGAGGACGACGAACCATATGTAGTTGAAGTACAAAGTCACAACACTAGACGACAACAGTCTATATTGTCAGAGCGAGCGGCCGGAGGAAGTAAGTACTCAGGGCTATGCTAGCGATGGCAATTTGTAGCATGCAGAACCAGTTTTGTCTAACAACATCTTTTAGTGGTATCTCATGCTTGTGTAGCACAGGGAAGCGAAGGGCAGCAAGAGCTGCCTGATGATCAGGATCATATCTGCCTTAAACTTGCTCCTTATCAAAACATATCCAATCGAGTGGAGCCAGCCAAGACATCAACACAACAGACCTTTCAAGCAGAAAATGTCCAACAGCGACTGCTGCAAGAAAAGGCACAACAACAGCAACTCATGATGGATGTACTGTGCGATCTGACACACTTTGTTTGCACACGCAATGGCGAAGGTGTGCGATCGTGGATGTCAGAACAAAAGAAGCTTTTATCTGAAAACTCGACAGATGTACCATGTGTTGATTCTGTGGATGCTGCAACAGACATATCCCCCACTCTTTTTGATCAGTTATCAGAGCCATAATAAAATGTTTGGGATTTATATAATGACTCGATGATTTAGAGGACAATACTGTCCAGTAAATCTGGCGTGAGTTATTTCATGCCAGATTGGCTAGTTACCATGCACTTTGACACCCTTATTTAGTACTCGATTTATGCGAGTACGGTTGAATCAAGGACCGTTCAAATAAGTTTACTGAAAATAGGGTTGATTCTGACGGGTTGCGCCAAATTTGCCTATTGTGATACTATTAAATGCTTCACAAGCTGTTTTGAGCAGACCTATGCGGCAATGTAAAGAACAGGGCCCGGAATAAAGTAGATGATGCATTTCAAGCGATTGCAACTCGACAAGCTAAACCAATGCAGACAGGTTTAAGCATTTGAGAGCTAATAAAGCCAAGGGTTGGTTTGTTTAAATACAAGCTATTTTTAAAACAAATTTCAACTTGACTAGGATTTGGCTTGTGGTTGTTTCATACCAATTTTATTCAAAATTGGTCGACTATTCATTTGGAATCTATTGCACAACTATTCTGGGGTCGACTTCCCGCTTGCGTGTGCTGATAAGCGGTCCTGTGAACCCAACTTTTTGATATTGATTGAACAAGCCATATACTGAGCAATCTCATTCTATCAAAGCATTTACCAAATTTCAATGGCAATGCAGCAGCTTCAACCAGGCCTAGAAAACCCGGAATGCAAACATATACAGCAACTTACTCATTCGCTGCAAATGGTAGAGAGCAACAATTGTATATTAGAGCATTCGCAAAACCACCAACACCCATCCAGTCAGCCTGCCTTTTCTCCATCAATGCAGCAACTCTCTCATTTCCCACATACTTCTCCGTCGCCTGTCCGTACCGCCTTCAGCTTGCATTACAACTCTGATCAGAGCAATAGCGAGTCTTCCATTACCTCACCATTAGCCTATCCGCTATGTAATGGCGGGTCTCCGATTAAAGAAACTCAACATTTGACACAATTGCTTACTCCAACACACACAATCGGCGCTACTCAAGTTGGTGTTGCCACCGTGACATCGTCGCAGCAACCTTACACCTCAATTCAACCTCAACTCATACAACCCCAACAGCATCGCTACCACAATCAAGTACTGCAGCATCGCTATCACCAGCAATCACAACAACCGCTTCATTCAACTCTTCCTGCCGAAATGGTTCCACATCGACAGCTAACCATGTCGGGATCCATAAATCAAAACAACAGTCTTCCTCCCGACATGATGATTTGGACGAGAGAATCATTTGTGCACTTGCTCATGGACTATTCTAAAATGACTCTCTTTAGAGAATTTGTACAGCAGAATGAAACGGTAAACACATCATTGGCATCACCTGCTTGAGACTGACCTATGTGCTGGGTGAACTAGCTCAAAACTTGGGTTTTGATTCAACATGCATTCCATGTTGCATTCTTGGCCTTTTTCATATTCCTTTGCAGTTGTGTGTGCTTGAACCCTATTGTGCCAATTTCCATGTGTTGTGGCTTTACTTGCCGTTTTATACGGCAGTAATCATCCAGCACCAATTACAATCGATCATTAAACCACTCTTTTGTAATATCTACATCCTTGTATGCTAGCTAGCTATTCATCTAGCTACAGGTCGCGATATACTTTAACCTCAGTCCATGCTTATTTGTCCTCATGTATTGCAAAAAACAGTTGACTAACATTGTTTATTTTAACCTTTCCTAATCAATCCTTTGCCCTCTTGAATATACGATTTTTTCATTCTCTACTTTTTGGTAATAGAAACAATCGGCTGCACGATCCATCTTTCTTTTTTTAGACGGCTTTTGGAAATTACAAGATGTATTTGATGATATCGCAAAGAATCCAAAAGCAAATATTTCTGGTCCTAATCCCAGTCATGCCGTACCTCGGCTACTTCATCCAGTCATTCGCGACTTTATCAAAAAATCACATTCTAAACGACGAAATAGCAAAGTCACTATGGCCAATACTGATACGCTTTCCAACTTGATAACTGTGCCAACATGGTTGGCCACACAATTACTTCGTTTCTATGCCACATTCATTGTACCAGGAGCTTCAGAAGACATCTTATGCATATCCATTAGAGCACGAGAGCTTATTGCAAAATCTCTTTTAGATCTTGGCGGCGATCGTGGTATTTCAACTACTGCGTTTAATCCTGCCACACAAGAGGTGCTTGAGCTCTTGTACACTATTTGGTATCCCGTATTTTTGTCGTCAATTGGCGTTAGCATCCCCGAGTCGGTCATGCTTAAAGAATATCCAAACCCTGACGCCAAGTATGACAATTACAGTGGAGGGCCTGCTAGCAACACGGATAGTAATGCATATCTATCTAATAAATTCACACATAACATCTCTGCAGAATCTTCCAGCGCTACCGCCCACTCAGAGACGACCAACTATCATACACGCTCAGCATCATCTGGATCTTCTATAAACAACACAAGTTCCACTGGGTCACATATGAATACCGCTAATTTGAACAGCAGCACGTCATCAGTATCCAACACTGCTAACCCTGCAACATCTAAAACTGCCACAAAGCTTTCTGGATTGTTTTCCAAGCTTGTGATCAAAAAACAAACCAAGGAGGAAAATATACAAGAGATCAAATTTAATCGCGAGTCCTTGATCCGTTTGTTTCACCACCCAGTGTATTACCATGATTTTGCTCTTTTTGTGCAATCGATGCATTGTGGCGAGAATCTAATGTTTTACGAAGCTTTTTTGAAGCTGGAAAGTCGAATCATGGCCAGTAAGCAGTATGAACTGGGCTCTAATTATAATGAATACTCTCACTCGCACAAATTGAGTGACACACCCGCTATGCCCACCAAGCATACTGCCACTCATTCGACTGTGTCCAATTCATCAGCCTCTGAAGCAACTGCTTCAAATTCTACTTCATCGAATTCGAATTGTACGACGCCAACACAGGCGTATTCTTATCACAGTGGACCAACGATGGTATATGAGTATGCACCATGTTTAGATCGATTTTTGAAACATGGTGGGTCCATGTCTTCTCAAGCACAAGAAGATACAACGATGCACTCACACCCACCAAATACTGTGCCAGTTCTCCTTGTTCCACTGATTCTTCTTTTTCATGCAATGTTTATTGCACCTGGATCCCCCAACGAAGTTAATCTTACTCATTCGATGCGAAAGTCTATCACGACTGAACTCGAGAAAGGTCGTGGTTTGAAGATTCCTACCACGATATTTGACGGGGCGATTGATCATGTCTTGGCATTGCTTTATGATAATTCATTCAAGCTTTATCTGAGACATAAAGAGAAAAAGGAAGCATGATGTGATGCTTTTAGCTCTTATTTAGAATGGTGCTTCAACTATTGTTTTTACCTTTCTGTTTCAAACAGAATAAATATTCCCTTTTCATATTTGAACGAAATGTCAAAAAATGGTTAGATTTAGTTTCAATCGGAGAAAATATTAATCCATTTTGCTTGCAGGAGATCTTTTTGCTGTCCAAATCAAACATTTGGACTCGACAGTGGTGATGGATCAACAATCAGACGTGAAACACCCATACGTGGGTATGAAGGGGTGTAGAGATGGTCTTACTGAGATCACAAGTCCAATTCTTGCATATTGAACAGCTTGTAGCGATCTCATCTCAGTGGCAAGTTACTCAAAATGTCAACATGGTAGATGCATCGAGTTTGTCTGGTTAAATGGAGATGGGCATGGGCATGGGAATAAAATACAAACAACGTAGACATACTATCAAAGATGTTGAAAGCACATTTGAAAAATGCTTATTCAATGAGACTGCTGATGAAAAGTATTTCACCCTACACCTTGCTCAATACGATGCTTTAGAAAGTTTATCATGGCAGGATTGATCCAACACAACTCTGCAGCGTGACCCATGTCACCGCATAAACCACTGGCGGTTTAGAGATCTAAGCAAGAATCAGATTTTTTGGTGTGCGATCCAAGGCTTGCTATTCAAATGTTCAAGAGTTGGTTGCTCAACAATGCAACATCAACATGAGAGTGGCGAACTTTGTCACGAGAAGTGACCAACATGACAGGTGCTAGAAAGTTGCAGTTTAAAAGAACATGGTTAGTATAGACTTTGCTGATGAAGCGTTAGAATGTCTTGCACAAAGCATGGGCTAGAAAGAATGAATTCATGAGTGTGATGGAGATGCATGTTCAGTCAACAAGCCCAAAGTTGAGGCCAAATAATTTGAAACGGGCTGACCCGTGTGCGTAGGACAATAAATTATGGGTTTGCCTGATTCTCGACATTATAATTTTATTGGAATCCATTCAGCACCAACTATATCACACTCGCTCGAATACAATCTTTTTAGAAATAGTAAGCCAGTATTCAGCCTAATGCAGTCTGAACTCAAGGCTGCTACCTCTACTATTCCTGCAGCACCATTAACTGCGTCACAGAAAAAACGACTACGCCAGAAAAAGAAGCGTCAGCAACAAAAGGAACTTCGTCATGAGCAAAAACTACTTGAGCTACAACACTCACCGGATGTCAATGGGTCTAAACTAACGGATCAATCAGCTCGAGAATTTCATGAACCATCATTTCAATCCAAATGCAGTACTGTTTCTGCTGTTAAACCATCCGTGGCCCATACAGTAGCAACACATAGAGGCTTGAATGGGGAAAAACTACTCAATGGAACTGCCAAACCATCTACTGCAATGACCAACACAAGCGATGACCAACCAATATCATCTCTGAACACTACTGAATCTACTATTGAGTTGACAGAGTCTATTTCAACTATATTGGCAAAGAAATCTGATTCGACTGATACGCTGTTTAACCCTGCATGCATGCAAACACCCCTCAGCCAAGCGACTGATGTTGCAGTCATTGATAATGGTGATTGCCAGTCTACGAAGGCATTGAATCTCCTGACTGAATCAACAACAGCATGCACATTGAATATCAATGAACCTGCAACGATTAACATTGATTGTGATAATGAAACTGTAATCAGCCGTACAAGTGGCCCTCAACCACGCCCTGTGCTCGGCAATATTATTGGTGTTGCTATGAATTCAGGTTTTGAGCCAACTCCCTCCGTCCTGATGCAGCCTTTGGACAACAGCATTGGCCATTGCTCTTTGACTGCCCCTTTATCAAAACAACCCAAAAACTGCATGGATCAATCCTTCCTTGCTTCTCATACCACTGCAGCGATAGGTTCCCACTTGCAAGATCCTTCTGCTCCTGCAACATTGGAACCATCAATTCCTACCAAGACTTTTAACGGTATACACGAGGGAATGGTGCTGTCCATTGATCCGTACTGTACGCATGCAGACCATCCCACGTCGATGCTATCTTCATTGCATGCCGATTCATCTACTACTCCAATACTCAGATCCAATGCAGATGCACCACTTCCTCGCCTTATATCTAGTACTGCAGTCGCAAGAAGAATGACAGCTGATACTGCATCCATCAATACTACTAATACATCAACTTCAAGTGATGACAATATCACAGCTGTTCGACCAATGCATTCGCTAAGTGCATTTGGACTAAAATCAGCTCACTCCTCATCAACACTATTTGACAATCCGATTGCATTGGGTCAGTCTAATCCAAAACAAAATGGTACAGGAGCGCCGTGGTCACAATTGGCTCAATACAACAGCACCGACTTGAATGATCAACATCAATTGGAATCAGAGCAACTATTTCATACATTAGCAGAGTCTAAACAGATGGCGGCACAGGATAGTCAGGACACTTTGGATTTACAAGATCCAGCATCATATCCAACCCCACCAGTTCCTTCGTTGCATATTCCCAGTCAGACCTCGTTGGAAGATATGGAGACTGTAAAAGATTGTACAGAAACTCGAGCCTCAGTGGCATATCCTCTTGGTACTGAATCTACAGAGCCATTACACCCATCCAATATTCCCTTGCCTGCATCTGCAGGTACTATTACACCCATTGTGGTGGCCGCTCCTATGATTAATAGCGTATCATCTACTTCAACCGATGCTCTTTCCAAAACAGCGTATCGGTCACCATTGCTTACTGGAGAAGGCTTATTATCAGCTCCATCTCAGTGCGCTTATTCTTTACAGCACAATAAGGATACCAGTTCTTTTTACAATATCCATTCGGATGGTATAGGGAATGGCAGTGATGTGGGTGAAGCATCGTCACTTGTAGGAAATGTTGACGAGTCGACTACTCATCAATACATGCATCCATACCAACAAGGATCTACCTCGACCAATTCCGCCAGTATGCATCTATTGATGCTTTCAACTCCATCATCACACACTTCCAACGGTGCACCAGCAAGTCTTTCACTACCTTTTGCATCCGACTTTGAATCGGCGCGTGGAGCATCCCAGTCCGAGTCACATAACGAATCGTTGTTTTCATCTCATAGTAGCAGTAAGCGTAGCGCAGTTTTGAAGCGATTAAGAACTGGTGTATCGACACTCTTTGGTCACACTGGTGCTACCAGTCCTTCATCCATCTCTCCTGTATCGCATAACGAGAGTTTCCAACACGACACTGGTCCAGCTGCTTCACTTGTATCCACTCTACCAGTGAATTTAATTGAGTCCTCGACAACTGATCAAGAACCTAAACATACCAATGAAGCTACACCAGCTCATGGTATGTTCAAAAAGACCCTACGCAACACAGCATCGTTTGCAAAGATATCCGCGTTTCTGTTTAAAAAAGATTCCAAAGAAAACGGTGCGAATGGACGGACGTTTTATAAAGCATCTACAGCAGTGGCATCTTCTACTCCATCGCTTGGATCATCAGCTAATAACAACACTGCATCATTCTCACAAGGTCGCAGTGTCAAAGGAATCAGTAGTAAGCTAATTCGTCGCACTCAGTCACAGCTGTTTCAACGGTTTGGACATAAACAGCAGCCTGGATACGATAATATTCACCAGCACCACATTCACTTTGGCAATCTCAGACAGCAACCACCAGCCGCACCCTCCAAAGACAAGCACGAGTCGGTCCAGACTGCTGCTCGAACATCTCCTAAGCGAGATACCGCTATTGCGCTTCACAATGCTTGCTCTTCATCTCCATCTATACCGCTATCTTCTATTCGTGGCCCTTCAAACGAAACTTCTCTGTCCGATGTCAGTCTTTTCAAGACGGCCACTGTTATTTCCACTTCTTCTACCAACGGTGTAGTGGGCTCAAGCTCCAACTCTGGAGTTTCCTCTGCGTCCAACTCTCCTCATAATAGATCACTATCGGGCCATTCTTCAGGATCCACCAAATACAAAACCAGCTATTCCTCAAACTCGATTCGTTTATCAGCTGCAGAGGTATCTCCCCATGATTTTAACAAAATTCGTTTGATTGGAAAGGGCGATGTGGGCAGAGTGTATTTGGTTCAGAAAAAGGACGATAATAGTCTATATGCCATGAAGGTGCTTTCTAAAAAGGAAATGATCAAACGACAAAAAATTCGCCGGGTTCTTGCCGAGCAAGAGATTCTAGCCACTGCCAATCACCCCTTTATTGTCACTCTCTATCACTCGTTCCAGAGCGACGATCATTTGTACTTTGTCACTGAATACTGCTCTGGAGGCGAGTTTTTTAGGGCTTTGCAGAGTCGTCCTGGAAAATGTCTGTCTGAATCTGACGCTCGCTTCTATGCCGCTGAAGTCATTTGTGCGTTGGAATTTTTGCATCTAATGGGCTACATCTATAGAGATTTGAAACCAGAGAATATTCTACTACACCATACTGGCCACATCATGCTGGCTGATTTTGATTTGTCTAAACCTTCTAGATCCACTGGTACTCCCAACATTGTGCGATCGACTTCTACTCCATTTGGCTTATCAAATGCTGGCAACACAGTTGTTGACACCAAATCCTGTACAGGATCATTTAGAACCAACTCATTTGTTGGCACCGAAGAATACATTGCACCAGAGGTGATTCGTGCCAATGGTCACACAAGCAATGTTGACTGGTGGACGCTGGGTATTTTGATATACGAGATGTTGTATGGCACTACTCCTTTTAAAGGCCCCAATCGTCATATTACGTTTAGCAATGTTCTTCACATGGACGTTCTTTTTCCCGAGCATCCACTTAATCATATTTCTTTTCCGTGTAAAAGTCTGATTCGTAAACTCTTGGTCAAGGACGAGCTCAAGCGACTTGGATCTCGTGCTGGCGCAGCAGATGTCAAGGCTCACTCGTTTTTCAAACCTGTCAAATGGGCATTGTTGCGCAACCTTACTCCGCCCATTGTTCCATCTACCCGTGATCCGATGGATCCCAAATTATTTAGAACCATTAGGGAAAGCAAGAGTTTTGATTTGAACAAGGAAAATTTGATTGACTATGTCTTGTCGCAAAGCGATGCCAATCCGTTTAGAAATTTTGAATCGGTAACACTACATCACACATGAGCCATTCAATCAAATTGAAAACTTGATTGAATCGCAACTATTTTACCTTTTTTTTTGGAAGGCTTTACTTTTTAATAAATTACAGTCGTATTCACATAAATGAAACCATTGAAGGTATCGGTATAATAACCAGCCGACTTTACTGGACATTGTTTAAACTCGGATTGTCTTTTGATAATCAACATGGAAGCAACCCTTGCATTCCTACTAAAACTGATGGATTCTTGAATGAGCACAATATTCACGATTCTTTATTTTGGAATAGATTGTCATTCGAGACAGTATTTCACTCTACATAAATATGAGTTTAAATGGGCGTTTGATAAATGAAGCCATTACCCTTATCAAAAAGCAGGATATATTCATTTTGAAAACATCAAACGTAGTCCATATAATTAAGAACAAGATGGATTCGCCAATTACGGATTTTAAAAGGTCCAAAGGCGGTGTCATGATAGAATGCATGGCTCAAGGTTTTCCTGAATGACTGTCAGTAGTGTGATTCAACGGATATGCTCTAATGGGTTCATTCTGTTGTAAAGCAATCACATGTGGTTCTTGATGCAAGTAAGGTGGCGACTGGGTAGCTGTGCTCATTTCATTTACCTCGACCACATGTGAAGGAGTTTTCAAAGCGTCTATTGGTACTGAAGAAGTCAATGATGATGATGCATTTAAATCTGATACAGCCGAATGATCTGCTGCATTATCAGCGCAAGTAGATAAAGGTAGTGGTCCTTGCCCATTGGCATTGTTATGCGTAGATCCATTTGCTTTGGGTACTTCGTAAGGTGGAGTGTAAACGGGAACAGGATCAAAGACAGAGTCCATTTCGTATACGGGTGCTGGTTGAGGTTGCATTTGTCTAAATAGTTGTGGTGACTGTACGCCCGACAGTACTGGATTTTTCCACAACATATATGCGTATAAAAACTCGATATAGATACAATAAACCTAATCAAATTGAAAGGGTATCCGTACCAATACATGGGATTAAAATCACCAAGGCAGATCGTTGAAGCATTTTCCAAATCAAACTTACACAAGTGAGTGAAAATAGCACCACGAACAAGGTCGTTAGTTTTAACTGGTGTGTTACTGAGTTTTCACAGGCCTCTAGCATCTGTGGGTTTATGGAGATGCATTGATTAATACTGGACTGTTTGTGAGCAAACGATCCAATGACACTCTTGATTCCAAATCCGATCCGTGTAACTACAATGTATCCATAGTTGAATGAGTAAATTGGTTCAACGTTTAAAAAGGCATCAGTTTAAAGCGACACGACAATTCCTTACCAGTGATGCCGAAAAACAGACATGAAAAAGGGATTGCCCACCGAGCTTCGTTCTAAAAACAATACATTCCATTAAATTGAAGTAAGCGATTAAAATGCTGCAAACATAGTGAAAGGCCGCAATAAAGCAATAAAAGCTAGAAAACAAAGCAAGTGCAAAAATCGAACAGTATCGATTCCTAGTATGCACGGCTGTCTGCAAACCCCAGACATCACATGTAATACAGTAGAAACCAGACTTACAGTGTATGCTGCCCATAGACCCAAGAGCGAAACGAGAACAATAAGGTTGTTGAGTATAAAAAAGTTGAATGGTAGCAACAGGGACATTGCCTGCAGTGATAAAAGGGTCGTAAACTAGATACACATGAGAATGGATTGCGGAGTAGCGAGCGGCCATAATATTCAATGTGATTGAATCATGCAATTCAAAAGTGGATTTTAGCAGTTTGAAGTTGATGGTAAATGACAACTGTTAGCAAGATTTCGCAGTCAAGTCAGAGCATTAATGCACTGGCAGTGTTGATCATGAATAGTCTGGTTTCCATTGACGTCCAGTGTTTTCAATCAGACACAATGAGCAAGCTATACACAAAGCATGTGGGTTGATATTACCAAGTTAATGCAGTTGATGAATGCAGTGGCAGTCCGTAGGTCAGCACATCCACAACAGGTGAACCTCACGGATTGAAGCGACGACATTGAATGTTTAGCAAATTGGCTGGGTATTACTACTATGTGGGTAAGAAGTCAAAGGTTACGTGGGCTTTGAGCTGATGATCAATGTAAAATCACTTGAAATCCCTTTGCTGCGCATGACAACATTGCTTAGGTTAGGGCTGGCTGAGCCTTCAAGACAGGGTTTGACCAGATGGAAGTCAACCGTATCTAATAAGCCGGTTGCTTTGTAAATGGAATATTGTCCAGAATATGATGTGCATTTGGAAATCATGCATGATATTGTTTAGAAAGTCTTGACCAGTCTTGAACACTAACCATGAAGCACACAATCTATGGTTTGAGCTGTCGTGTTTAAACTACACTTTTGCTTTTGTTTGTGGCTATACGTTGTACGATGACTAAATTCATACATTGCAGTCCAGACATTTGAATAGTGTCAATAAAAGCCTACCATTAAACAACGATCTCACCAATTCAATGGCGCATCATTAAATGGTTGAGAATACATTGCATTTACAAATCATAGACTAACTCGGCTTATTCAAAACGAATCCATAATTAGCTTCAATAACAAAACAGTCCAATTTATTTAACAAAATATACCATTATTTAAACAATAAAACAAGCTATAATTTCACTGTAACGCCGCTCAGCAGGAACGTAGTGATACTCATGGATGGAAGAGAATAACTAAACGTCCCTTTGCTTGTTCCAACTGGATTCGCCACTTGTTTATGCAGCTCGTTTTGACCAACAGCTGTACGATACGCCAGCATGGGTGTATTGCTAGACACGCCAGCTAATTTTGATAAATCAAATGTGTGCATGTAGTTGATAGCGGGATCAGAATTAACAGCAACAATCGTGAGAACAGATTTGGCGGGATTCCAAGACACAACAACACATATTATGCAGGGATCAAGATCGCTTGAGCGGGACGAGGAAAGAATCACACTGCCTGGACGGATATGATTGCTGAATTGCATAAAGCCATAAAAGCCATTACTAGGAACTGGATCAAAAGTATTCGGATCAAGACCACCGCATTTAGGACATGTAGCTCGTGGAAGCACCAAGGTCCAATCGGGATTGTCATCTAAAACTTGCCAAAATACCCAAGCATTAACACGGGCAATGTTGATGTCAAGGATAATGTTGCTAGCCATGCCAATAATACCACTCGAAGTCTGTCCGAAACCTCCACATTCCGACATCCAAGTGCGAGTCACACTTTTCGGAACTGCCGCCCGCCATTGTTGTCGAGTAAGACTCCATGATTGGTCAGTCGAGTATCTGAAAATATAGAAACATAAATATTTTTAACCACGAGCTTTATAGCAAAGTCAGAGTATAGTTAGACTATCCACCATGATTTTGGCATACCCATATCCATGTACGTTTGCCTTGGCGCTCTCTCCATATCCGGTTCCTCCATTTAAATTCTACACTATTCAGTTAATATTCAACTCCCGTCGCGTATGCAATCTTGATATTTAAAAAAAACTTACAAAAAGCGACCAGTTGTAAGCGTACTCATCCGCAGTAGTGAGCTGTTGGTATGGTTCGCAATCATGCATTAGATTCAGTTTGAATTTATCAAAATCTTGCACCAGTTGTTTTATTCAACAATTGTATACATACCCCAACCTTTCCAGTGAGTCCACTGCTGTCTATGGCAGACCTTAGTATTGGGATAAAAGAGGCTTGCGTACGAGGTAAATACGTGCAGCCCTATCCATAAATTCAATTACATTGAGGTATCAGTTTAAAATGATACTATTCAGTGTATGTGCGTGCAAGTCTTACTTCTTGTTGAGAATTAGTTCTCGAGGCTTGCCACCACATCACATTGGGCTCATTAAATGGCTCAATTGAAGTAATATTGATTCCATCTTTATCACGAAGCGTCTTGACCACAATCGCAAGATATTCTGATTGATTGAAACACAAGTACAATCAGTATTGTTTAAAATACAGACAATCCAATAAATCAAAGCAGCAATTGAATGCAAAACTCAACTGGCAAAGTTGTTAAAATTGGCAGATGCCAAATTATCACCTCCATTGTAGTTTCCTCGCGATGTTCCAGAAATCGTCATCCACCAAGGAGCTAATTGCCACATCAATACAGGTTAAAAATCAAATGACATGCCATGAGCCATTTACACTCAACCCCCGCGTAGTGTATAGTCATATTACTTACGAGAGTTGGAAAAGGCTTCAACAATATTTACACCCATTTGCTGCGCCTGAATAGCGATTCGGCGTTGAGACATATCTGCATTCCAGTTCCAGACATTGGGAGAAGTTTGAAAGGCTGCAACCCCCTTGTGCTGCGTAAGAAGTGGATCGGCTGGTGTAGTGCCATCAGCAGCTGTGGGTGGAGACCCACCAATATTGTAACGAATAATATTGAGACCGAGACTGGGATATTTTGTACGAGAAAATATCAGATCCATAAGCGCCTGATGCTTACAGGTTGAAAGACGACCTGCAAACTGGGCCCACCAACCTAGCCTATTTTCATTGGAAAGTGATTAGCTATGCCAAACTAAATTAAAGTAGTTGATTGTGAGTCTAGTATAAAACTGTAATAGCTAAATACCAAGTTTGATTAGGCTGCAAGACCATAATCATCAGTTAATATATGCACGCGTTTGGGTCTACCATATAGCGGGCCAGTGATTCATACTCTTCAGATATTATAGAATACGACATCAGCCATCAAAACAGAATATATCAATCAACTCACGATGTCCCCCATCCTTCAAAAGATCGAGTCAGTGCTATCGGCATAACCTGCGTGTAATCTGTAGAGCTGACCGCCACAACGCCATGAGATGCAAGAGCAATACTGCCAACCACTTTTGCTATAACACTAATATGCATGATTTCTTTCTAACCAAGCCAGAATAGTTTGAAAAAATGCTCAGAGCAACCACTATTTATCTTTTTTGACGGGCCCATTCAGTCATTACAATAATAAAAATAGCTTAGAGTAATCTTGTAAATTATTGAAATGGCATACGATTCTATCAATCGCGTGCTTGTTTTAATTTTATAACGAACCATAATGGCAACGTTGTTATTATTATCAATGCAATTGTTTAAAGAATAATCAAACTGCTAAGCTTCATACCCCTGCTGATTCGGGTATTTGCCGCCTAAAGTATATCGTTTACATCCTCGCCATTACTAAAGTCCCAGATCATAACCTTCCGGTCCTATAAACAAAGCATGTGAGTATGTCATCATCCAGAATTCAAAAAAAGGAGTTTAAACACACCTGACTAGCACTAACAATCTTGGAAGGGTCAAGCTGCACGTGGAATACCCAGCTGGTGTGCGCATCTTTCAGATCTAGCATAAGGTCACCAGTCTTCATATTCCATACCTTGATGGACTGATCATATCCACCAGAGACAAGATGCTTGGTGTCAAAACATAGTGTTCGTACCAAGTCTTCGTGGCCAACCAGAGTGCGCAGACACTCTCCAGTTTCGGAATCCCAAATCTTGATGCTCTTGTCGTTGGATCCAGATGCAATTATTTTACCATCAAACTGAACACATGCAAGACCACGGGTATGGCCACTAAAGTCGCGAAGGCATACTCCAGTGTTGAGGTCCCACATTTTTACAAGACAGTCTCCTGAAGCGGAAACCAATCGGTTTTTGTGAATATGAATAGCATTAACAGCTGCATGATGGCCTTCCAAAGTAAGAGCAAGCTCGCCAGTGGATATAGTCCATACTCTAATCGTGTTATCTTTAGAACACGTATACAGTGTATTGCCCTCAAATCTCAAATCCAATACCGCTTGAGTGTGTCCAACCATCCTATGTCTAATCTCGCCAGTTTTTATGTCCCATACAATTAATGTGGTGTCAGAAGATCCAGACACAAGGATATCGTCGTCATAATATAAGCACAAGACAGATCCAGTGTGGCCAGTTAATGTTCTGTAGCATTTACGAGTATGAATGTCCCAAAAGCAAATGGTACGGTCTCGTGAGCCCGTAACAAGCTTTTCTGAATCATACTGTATGCAATAGACAGAATCGGTGTGGCCTGTTATTCCGTGTGGTTCGAGAGTGCCAGATGCCCAGTTATTTAGCAAGCGAACTTGCATTTGGTATAATGCTTTCCAGTCTCTAGCGATATAATACTTTTTGCGTTGTGTTTTGCTAAGACCAAAGCGGGAAATGTATTGTGCCTGCCAGACTTCATTGTCGTTGGCAACAAGATTCCATTTTTTGCAAGCAAGGGATGCGGCTCTTATATCAGTTACATGCTTCATGATACCAACAGCAAGCTCCACGGGAAGTTTAGAGATAAAGTCTATAGTGCGAATTGTATGTTTGAATTACGGAAAACGGGGGCCAATCCAAGTTGCAGATTTGAATACAAGTCAAGCAAGTGAAGGAAATAGTTAGCAAACGACTTCAGTACAAGATACCAAAGTAATGGTACATCATGTAGTCATTGAATTGAAGGTGGTGTCAAGCTATATCATGTAGTTGCAGCTATATCCACGTAAAATTCAGCACTAAACAAGGGTGTGGAGTGCATAATAAACCACCCGACTCATGGAATAATTGGCATCAATTTACTGGTCAGCATTGTGCCATATAAACTGGCAGAATTCGCTGGTTTTTTCCCTGACGATTGGATAAAAGCAACAATTGCATTCCTACGACATACAATCTTTGTTTCTTGAACTAAAGCGCGAACGTATCCAAGCTTACAACACAACAAAGTGGAGTTTGACAACAACAAAACAGCCAAACACAATCTCTGGATTACAATGTATAAACCCAGTTCCAAATTTGGTGATCGTACACTGTACAACTATGCCGAAAGTGGAAAAGGATAGGTTCAAACTATAGTTGTGAGCATTACACAACGAATGTTGTGCTTGAAGAGTTGGGAATATCTATCGAAAAGCAGTCAATTTCTAGTAGGAAAGCACAATGAGTATTAATCATTGTCTATTTCAAAGCAAAATGAAGGCAGTCCATGCAGGATAAATACATAGAATGTTACATTTTACGTGGATACAGCTGTGAATGTAACCCTAGTCAATTCGCCAACGATACGATTTATGCATCACTACGCTATAAACAATACATCCAAACAAAAACATACCAATGTGATCGGGCTCGTCAACGGCGAATGCAGAGTCAGTAGCGCTAGGAGGAGGTTGTTCATCCAAGTCCAATGTAGTATTAACATCTGAATTCGTATCATCAGAGTGGCTAGTATCTAAAGCGCATTCACTCGAACCAGTAGCGCGACTTGTAGTAGCAACATCTGAAGTGATGGGAGAAGGTTTTTTTCCGGATCGTTTAAATCCTTTCTTGAGCCATCTATTCGTCAAGCATAACCAGGATGTTAGTTTAAATAGAAATAAACTGGCATTCAGCAAAAGCATACATCCTATAAGAGCAATTGGATAGAAATGGCAAGACCCTTGCAGCAGAGTGTCTGGTTAACATGGCTGTTGAAAAACAGAAAGGGCAATTGGTGACTTTAAAAAGTCGATGGGTAAAGGAAAGTAGAGAGGCTAGAGAGATAGTGCGTAACCAAGTATCCGAGTGGGTAAGTGCAACATAAGCCATACATCAAACATACTTGTCTATGGGCATGGTTGGTCGAATAGTGAGTAAAGCGGGGCTAGATTAATGATGTAGTGACAGGAGCGGTCTATTCAGAAAATATCAATTTGACAGCAGAGGACAGACAAAGCACAGCGACTAGCTGTGGTAGTTATTAAGCGAGAAGCGTAATTGTCACTATAAATACGGAGCGTCGATTTAAAAAGACTGGGAAGCGATGGTTTCCTTTTCAATATTCAGCTATTTGTATAGGAATCATCTCTGCCACCCATCAGCAATCTGTCTTATAATTGTCCATCAGTGCGTTCTGGTGTCAGTCTGGTGGTGGTGGCGCATACTACAGTTGATGACAGACTGCAGCACGTCACTATCCAGTTACCAAACGACTTGCTCATCTAGCGAGCCATCAGTCTAGATACCAAAAACATTCAAGTGGTTGTTATTGACAAATGTGGTTTCCTCGCATCCCTTATTTGACAATCATTTTGGAAAGAATCAAATGGTCGCCGAGTATTTATTCAATAACTGCATCGGGCTGGGCATTGGGTGCAGCCTTTTTAAAGGCTTCCAGTTCAGCAAGACGCTCGTCAATCCCAGCAATGGTTGGGAATTGGGTCATATCGACTCCCCATCTACATAGTTTAAAATTTAGAGTCTAGACCGGAATACATTGCATCGTTGATCTCCACATACCTTTTGGCATTGAACACTTGAGGCACTAGACATGCATCAGCAAGAGTGATCTCATCACCAAAGCAGTACTTTCCAGCCGTCTTTTTAAGAACTGACTCAAGACCTAAGCGTTGCTCAACATAATACATTTAGATCATGGTTGAAATGCAGACTTTAAACAGATCCATATATACTATACCTTGGAAACCAGTAGTAATAAAATGCTTGGCCCAGGTATCCTTGTGAGCATCACCAGCATATCGAATCACACGCAGGTTTTGAACTGGATGAATGTCACAGCAGATGATGCTCATGACTCCACGAACCTGATCATGGTCAGATTACTCTAGGGCATATTCATTGATAGCAATACAATATTTATTTACCTTTGCACGAGCAAGGGGGTCTTTGGGTAGTAGTGGATGATCTGGATGAAGATCTTCAAGCAGCTCCATAATGGCAGGAGAATTCATAAAGAGCTCACCATCAATATCCAAGGTGGGAACCAGAGCAGTTGGATTGATGGCTAGATATTTCTCTTCTTTCTATTAAACAGAGATTGTCAGACTAACAAGTCTGCAGATTGATATACTTGGCAATAAACGAACCTGTTCACCCTTGAGCAGATTGACGGCCACTGTTTCAAAGGAGATTCCCTTGACGTTCAAGACAATGCGGATGCGCCAACTAGCACTACTGCGCCAGTAAGAATAGAGCTTGATGGTCATGTTTTGCTGATGGAGTGAGTTTTATTTCCACATTTTGTAGATTCCATTCGAGCTTATGCGCACATCCCATTTCAAAATGCAAGTTTTTGCAATTTCTGAATTCTTTGAAATCTTCAAGACGCGACCAAGCAAACAATTCAACGATGGATGTTGTCAAGGCCGTACAGGTGGTTTCTAAATCCTATCTGTTGTGATGAGTGTTGTGATATAGGCTGTTTGATGCTCTCTGTAAACCCATTATTTAAGTCTACATTGCTACTCATAGTCCTACTTAGGAAACTAGCCAGTTGAACCAACAACCCTTTGACGAATGCATATTAACTTGCTACTTTTTCAAATGCCATATGATAGGGCTATCTGACCAAGATGACCATGGAAGTATCTGGTATGAAGGTTCTTTTACTAGACAAGGAAACGGTATGAACAGTTGATTCTTTTTAGCTAGGCTGGCTATTCCCATTGCCAACCCAGCTGCTCTAGTTTCCAAATGAATGTGAAAACTCTGTCATTTACTCCACAAGCATCCTATTTACTGCCGTATTCACGTAACATGGATCTCTTGCACTCGACAAGTTTAACAAGACAATGTTGTCTAGTAAATTGGCACCTTTATTTGGTGTTTCATTTTGCATGAATGCGGCTGTAGTATGCTAGCTATAATCTAATTCCATGATCTATGCTTTATAGATGCCAATTATCTCTGTTGTTGTTACCCAGTCGCAGTTGCTTTCGCGTGAAATTTATCTCATTGATCGGATAGAGAACCGTACCAGGGAGAAGATGAAGCATCTTAAATGTGTCATGTTTCTGCGCTCATCTGCAAATTCCGTGCAGTGCTTGATTGAAGAACTTCGAGATCCATGTTATGGTGACTATTATTTATGTAAGTCGCACAGGTTTAATGGTATACCTAACTGCTGATTGGCTGTATCAGTAGTATTACATTCATTGTCAATCACTACATCATAACATATTCTAACCATATTGCAAACCCGTATCATTTCACCAACTTTGCTCGACTCTGATAGATTTCTCCAATTCGCTTCAAAAATCCGTGATTGAGCGACTGGCAGAAGCAGATACACACGAAGTGGTTCGTGAGGTTCAGGAATACTATGCCGACTTTTTAGCAATCAGCTCTGATTTTTTTTCTTTGAACGTCACTGGACCAGACTACTCGTTGTTTGTAGAAAACTCTTCGTCATGGGATCCCACTTCACTTTCTCGAACAACAGAAGGATTGGCATCTATTCTGCTGGCTCTGAAAAAAAAGCCTTTGATTAGATATGAGAGGAACTCGGCGCTTGCTCGAAAGCTTGCTGCTGAACTAACTTACACAATTCAAAACGAAGGGCCATTGTTTGATTTTCGTCGTCCAGATACCCCGCCTATTTTGCTCATTGTTGATAGAAGAAACGACCCAATAACTCCTTTACTATGCCAATGGACTTATCAAGCTCTTGTTCACGAGTTGCTAGGCATCACTAATGGTCGTGTAGATCTCACAGACGTTCCAGATATTCGTCCCGAAATGAGAGAAATTGTTCTTTCCCAAGAGCATGATCCTTTTTACAGCAAAAACATGTACCTCAATTTGGGAGATCTTGGCGCCAACATTAAAAACTATGTGGATGATTTTCAGCAAAAGCACAATTCAACCAAAAACATCGAGTCGATTTCTGACATGAAGAAATTTGTCGAGGATTATCCCGAGTTTCGTAAACTATCTGGAAATGTATCAAAGCATGTTACACTTGTCAGTGAGTTGACGAAACGGGTTGGTAGAAAGAAGTTGTTGGAAGCAAGTGAGTTGGAGCAAAGTTTAGCATGTACAGAAAATCATTCTGCAGATCTCAAGGTATGTCAGATCACTCATTTTGCAATTGCTGTATTTTAACAAGCTTTTCACATTTTGATATTGTGGATAATTCAGACGCTACAATCCATAATCAATGATGGCACAATCGAGGAAGATGTAAAACTGCGACTTGTTATGCTTTATGCGCTTAGGTATGAAAAGTTTCCCAATAATGCTCTTTCTACATTGACCAATCTATTGCGCAATAGTGGTGTGAGTGACAAAAAAATAATGGTAAGCGTCATGGTTAACTGCATGCATAGTTGGTTTATTCACACTGAACAAACTGTAACACCATGCACTCCTTGGCTGTTTATGGTATGGTATATTTTAGTGCATTCCTGGAATTCTACAGTTTGCTTGTAGCGACCAGCGACTGGAAGATTTACTTTCAAACAGCGATATTCTTTCTCGCACTAAAAACGTGTTTAAAGGACTAAAGGTGCACTGATTCGTATTACCTAATGATTGAACAGCTTGACTAGTTGCTGATTTCTTATCATGGGTTTTTGTAGGGAGTTGAAAATGTCTACACTCAACACACACCGCAGATTGTAAATACTCTCTCTGATGCCATCAAGGGAAAACTCAAAGACCAAAATTATCCTTTTCATGAAGGGTACACACGAGACAAGTAAGCATGTTTACTTTTGCTAAAAGTTTAAGCAGTCAGATTGATATGTTTCGATCATCGAGCTTTCCCAACAGCTTTGACTGAATGTGTTTTACTGGTGTTTTACTATAGACCTCAAGATATGATTGTGTTTTTTATTGGCGGTTCTACATACGCCGAAGCTCGTGAAATCGCAAAGTTGAATGCAGCTAATCCCGGCGTGCGCATTATTCTTGGTGGAACCAGTATCCATAACTCCAAAAGGTACGTAGCTATTTGACGGCACTGCTAGTATATAGACGATTGGATTACCAGGATACTAATGTTTTTAAATGTACCGTGTTTTTGATACAAACCTTGCTTATTTATTGTGACATTGTAGTTTTGTTGGTGAGGTGATGGACTCTGTCAACTCCTGGTCTGCTTCCGGTAAGGACACTGACAAAGATTCCCCGCCATTCCAAGGCACAAATGTACAGCGAACAGCTCGAGTGGTTTGAGTTGGTTGATCAGTTTTTCCTATTTATCCATTCACTCATTTCCGAGGCTCCATATTGTGGATTTTACTTTTTCAGTTTTTAAATATAATCTTGTGATGTTCACTTATTCTGACAATTTTCATTTCGAATATCTGTGATCTCCTATTTGGTTGGGCAGGTTCTTTTTAATTGTAGTGCTATCTTACCTGTAGTATTAGCACAGTGGTGTGATCAAACCAAAAACAAGGATATATTTTTAGAATCTTTTTACAGCCGTATTCACGTAAAATGGAACACTAAATAAGGATGTCAAAGTGCATAATAAATAGCCAGTCTCATGGACGTTGTGTCTACTGAAAATGTCAGTTTGTAATAAGGAAGCGCAATGAATATTTAAGCATTGTCTATTCTAAAGCAAAAGAGTTGCTACAAGATAGTGGTTCATTTTATGTGAATACGGTTGTGAATGCTGTTTTTTATTTTAACGTGCATCAGATGTTGTATCACAATGATTAAAAGTATATGGGATCAATGAAACGAGGTGTTTTGCTTGAGCAGTATATCCATCCATACTTTACAGAGTACGTGAATCTACTTGGCGGTGAATCTAAAACCTGCATCAATGAACATACTGAGAAGTCTAGCATGTGTTGATTTCACAAGTATTTGAATAAAACAAAATGAGTAAAACCGACTTCTAGTAGGCTGGATACAATTCCATTTGTATCGTTGTATAAAGGAGCACTCGAGTTGAAGACTTACTTGAGAAAGTCATCATTGTCCATTTTAGCTGCGCGATGCTCTGCCATTCCGGCTGCATCCAACACACCTAGAACTTGTGCTTTAACATCAAAATCCATTGGAATATCCTAGATTGCATATTACATGTGTATTAGACTAGAGTTGAAGCTATGCCAAAATTCAGTATCAGTTAAATCTATGCGTGTATATACCTTTCCGGTCAGTGAGCAGTATGTCTTGTAATTATGTTCAAGCATTTCCAAAACAGTCGACGTTTTGAAATTGGCAGCAACTGTCCGATTTTTTCGACCAAAAAGAATACGTAGTAAGCCATCCCACTCATCAAAATTGACTGGTGGTGGTGGGTTGTGCGGTTCGATTCTTACAACACTAAAAATGATTGAATTGTATTCAGTTGTAGATTTGAAAGCTAAATCTATTAAACCATTGCGTCTGCTTCAGAATGCAATTTACCTGGACTCAACCTTGGGTGGAGGACGAAAGTTGTTTTTGCCTACTTTCATCACATGGTCAACCTTTGCCAACAGCTGGACGTTGGCAGAAAGTCGACAATAAAGTGCGTCACCAGGTTTAGCAACCAATCGGAGTGCAAATTCTCTCTGGAACATGAGAATTGAGCACCTATATAAATTTAAGTCTAAAAGATTGACAACACATGCGGGTGCATAAAACAAACAATTACCTCCACAAAGGTCGATGCTGCAACAGTTTGAATGTCAACGAGGATGATATTTGGTAAGGCGTATTACTAATACAAATATCAAAATAAGGCAGATCGACTTTAAGGAAATCGCCCACAATGACCTCCAACTTTCTTTGCTCGGCACTATAGTTGAAATCAAAGTTAGTATTGGTTGAACTGATAGTGATGAATTTAGATGCGGACTGATTGGTTTGCTAAAATGCAACACTTACGTTCCACGCACTCGCTTGGTCAATTCAGCTGCTAAACGAGGATCCATTTCTACAACGATCGTCTAATAAACTATAGTTAATGCATAGTTTTACATGCCGAATCAACACATTGCTTATTATAGAGCCATGACAATCTGTATGTGCTACCTTTTTTGCTTTTTCTAAAATCTTTACAGTGACGTTGCCTGTACCTGGACCGACTTCTAATACAACATCTGTTGCTTTGATGCAAGCCTAAGTATCAATTAGAGCGATTTAGCAATCAGACATGCAGTTGGATTTATCAAATTGATTGCTTTACAAAAAAGTCCATTTGGAGACTGAAGCAAACGAAACATAAGGGCTATTGAATCAAGTACCTTGTCAACAATGCCATTAACAACCAAAGGATTTTTTAAAATATGCTGTCCAAGGCTTTTGTCAAACAACGGACCAGCAGTCTTGGATGCATTTAAATGCGATGTGCTGCGTTCTTCCTTTGGCATACTGGATTTTGAATTATTGGAGTTTTTTTTGTAAAAGTGATTCGCGTTTTCATTTACAGCCATATTCACGTAAAATGGAATATTTTTCTGTATTGATCTTGCAGTGGTTGTCTAGAATTTCTTGACGCACGAAGCCAGTCCAGACACTGAAGTGATTTACTGCAGGGTTTACAACTCCTTCAATCCATCTCCAAACACAACGATCATTGTATGATGTGCACATGATTAAACCATACTTTTAAACTGATTATTAGTTTCTGCTTATTGGGTAGAGCCATACATGGTAGATCACCAGATTGATTTTAATACAGATATTGGGTTCGACTGTTATCTACAGTTCTGTTGTATCCTGAATCTGATACATTCGCGCTTAGTTTAAAACAAAGATTGTAGGTCTTGGGAATGCAACTACACATGCCAATCAAGCACAAGACTGGCGGTTTATACTCTCATCCTTATTTAGCAATCATTTTACATGAATAAGACTATGAACCTATTGACAAACACAAGTGCATGCAATGACTTGCACAAATCCATTATTCACAAGATAAAATCAATACAAAAGTTATACAGTTTAATTTATAAATCCATAATTAAGCAAACGAACTCTTCATTACAATAGCGTCAATCTGCCGAATGAAATTCTGATTGGATATCATAGAAGATGTTTCAGGATCCCAGAATGGATCCAACTGCAAATCTACATATGCTGAGTGTATTTTACGAAATATCTAAATTTCATAGTAATGTATAGTATAGTTGTAAGTTTTGTTGAAACTCGAATTCATAAAACTGGGCAAATCAAACTAGCAGGCTGTCATAAGAAGCGAACTGATGTTTAACTGGGTCAAGACTTACTCCTTTAATATCCTGATCCTTGATTGCAGTATCTGCAACAGTCACCATCAATACAAACTTGATGCGAGTATTGGTCATGTATCCATACACTGACAAATCTTCCATAATATACAGCAAGCCTAGATACAAGTCAAAGTTTTTGGAACCAGGTGCAACTAGATACGTGTGTTCAACGGAAAGGTTATCATCAATGAATGTCAGACCATCAAGTTTGAATGCACAAACGTAGCAGATATTGACTCGAGCGCAAGATAAGCTCTTGGCATTGGAATCCATTTGATTCAATGCGACAAGGAACTATGCAGGACACCAGCAACAGTACCTTTTTCTTCCAGGACATCACAGGAAGTATGAGCAAGAAAATGATACTTGAGACTTGGCTGATTCGTGAAGTTGCGGATGTAGAGAGGATTGTTCTAGTATAACATGCTCATGGGTCAGCGAGTATAAGCCAGATGACAGCCATCAATACAACATACATTCTTTCCAATCACAGCAAGCCCAGTAATCTTTGGATTTGTTCCATTCATGTTGCTGTTTGCAGCCATAGTCCATCAATACTTTGTGCGTTTCTAACTCGAGATGAAATTTCGTTTGCTGTCGGATCGACACTTGACCACACATTGCTGATGTCACTTGAATCTGCTGCCATGAAGCTGGATTCGTGTAAATGCAACACTAAATAATATTAAACAGCCAGTCTCATCATTCACATTGACTGAAAACTGTGCTGAATCTCCAGACTCGCAATTGTTCTCTTGAACCAGAGCGCGAGCTATGAGATTCAGAATCCAAGAACAAGACTGAACCGTACGAGTCTTCTGGAACTGCAAACATTCATTCAGTTGTACAAGAACGAATACCAAGACTAGCACGACTCAAAGCACAATCTGTCCAGTCAATCTGGCGTGAATTATTTCATGAAATTGGTTGTTTATTATGGATTTGAGCACCTTTTTTTAATGTTGCATTTTATGTGAATACGACTATAATTCTGCAACTATATTGCCATTAGATCATGTCAGCTTCACATTCAAGCCCGTTAGATGTTTCTGCTGTTGCAGATTCTGTCAAGACTCCTATCAGTGCAGCAGATACTGCCATGCTCCAATTTTATAGAGATAGAGCATCACAGCTGTCCTGCGACATAGATATCGAAGGCTACTCAGTTTCTCCCATGAGTATTACTGCCAGAAGTGAAACTACAAACACATCGACTACTCACAGTCCTATTTTATCTCATCATGCATCTGTTGCTGACGACGTGCAGTCGATCAACACACCGCCCACAAGACTGGATCTGAACAGTCCATTGACGAATGATTCCGCCATTGATGCTGCTACTCCTGTTCTATCTAATACAGCAATAGCTGCCGTATCAATTCCGTACAAAACCAGAGTTTCTAATGTGCAGCCTAGTAGTCTTGATGGCATCACTTGCTATTGCAAACTTGTTTGTGAAGATAAACAAAGGCCCATGCTTCAGTGTATTGTCTGCAGCTGTTGGTTTCATCAAGGTAAATGGCAATCGGAATGCATTTATGCTTGACATTACATTATAGCTGACTTGCTAGCGTCCGTCTTATTTTATATAGCGTGTATAGAAACGATCCAAACATGGACATGTCACTCGCTTTTAGGAGATGATTACTATCAATTTACTTGCAAAACGTGTGGTAAAGGAAAAGAAGTGATCAAACGACTACAGCTATCCTGGCAAGTTTTTATTTTGATCCAAGTAAACTGATTCAAGCATAGTATCTAATATGAATCCAACTACGATTTTTTATTTACAGGGGCGATGTTGTTCATATTGTACTATTCAATCTAACTCAAACTGTAACAGCACGCCTTATTTCTAATGACGGTCGTAAATTTTACAACTGGAGATTGGATATTTGTAAATTCATTGATACCAATTGGGATTTATTTTGGCTCAAACCTCGACCCAACACTTGGAAAAATAGTGTTGCTAGCTGTCTGTCCACTTCTGCTCGATTTGTATCAGGTGTCAAGCATTTTGGCAGTGATCAAGGTTGGGAAAATTGCCAAGTTATGTGATGCAATGAACGACTAGCAGTTTGTTTTAAACTTGCACGGCTGTTGCCATTGATTATAGGATTCTGGGCACTGGCCGAGTCGAGTTTTCCTTCAGCATCCGAGCTATCACGAAAATCAAAAATATGTGCATACTTGGTAAATCCAGATGGCTTGTTGTTTGAAGAAGAGGGTGGAAAAAAGGAAAGGAAACGAAAAAAGGTGGAAACAAATCAGATGCCAGCAACTGTCATACAAGAGACATTTCCACTACAGGAGCTTCAGCAACTGCAATCTCAACCACCTGTTCAAAAATCGTCAAAGCCAAAAACAGGAACTACTCCAATGGTCAAAACCGAATCAAATTCAAATTGGGAAAGTGTTGCAGACAATGTTTCAATAAAGAAAGTCAAGCGACAGGCTCGACCAAAAAAGCAAATTGACGCAGACATGCAGGATGAAGATATTGACCCTGCTACAGCAATCAGTGAGTTTAACGTGCTGATTTACTATTGAAAATAGTACACTATCTAATGGCTAGAGCTGACACTGTTTTGTAGTGATATATCCTGATGTAGATAATCCTGCATCTGACGTTGTCATGAGTCATCAACCTACACATACCGCACCTCAAATCAAGTTTAGCGATGGAGGTCGCCAGGTTACCAACGAAAAGGTAATTTTCAATTATATATCCAGACAAAAATGGGTTTCATTGAACATGGAGCCATTCAAGCTTTCGTATCATTGATTTAACCAATTCACAAGTAGGGATATCGAATGGCTAAAGCATCACATGGTGTATGGAGCGGACACTGGTATTTTGAAATTAAAAAAGAAAATGCTGTCGGACACTGTCGAGTTGGGTGGTCTCAAATAAGTGGAGATCTGCAAGCTCCTTGTGGCTATGATCAATTCAGCTACTCCTATCGTGATAATCCAGGTGCTCTTTTTCATCAATCATGCCAGGCTAAAGATGCACCTAAAGCATATGCCGAAGGATTCGGTATGTTTATTGTTGCTTGTTGATGCATTATTATTGGACGGAGCGCCATTGATCAAAGTATACTTTTTGTCCGTGTAATTTATGCGGGATTGACTAATATTTGAAACCAGGCCAAGGAGATGTAATAGGAATGTCCATTTATTTTCCACCTGAAGAGTTGGCAGATGCTGGAAACACTCCTGATTCAATTGTCAGCTTTGTTGATCAGCCATTGCAAGATTTACAAAGTCTAAAAAAGGATAAACAATCGAATGAAAATGAATGTAGTCAAGGTTTTCAAGAAAAGACTGTCGATTTGGTGCTTCTACAAGGCCAAATAGCAGATTCCCAGTCCAAATCCCAACAGCAAGCACATCTGCAGCTAGAAGCAGAGATACCAATGCAAACCGATCATTCTACCCCGCAATCACACACATATACTTCCTCACCAACAAACACTGAAGAACTTAAAACGCCTCCGTCACAATTTCCGCCTATAAAACATTCAAAGGTTCATCCTGTGCTGCTTAGAAGATTATGGGATGCAGCCCGTATGCTACATTACATGCCCTTTCGCAGTAAACCACTAGAAGTTATACCCGGGACGGAAATTCAATTTTTCAAAAATGGCGTGCCTTTGGGTGTGGCATTTAAAAACCTTTATCAAGGTGATTTTAAAAGTTGCCATGTGCTGTATCTATTTCTGTACTGACATTTATGGGCGTTTGTTTTGTATACGTCTAGGAAAATATCATCCGGCTGTATCACTTTATGGAGGTGCATTAGTCAGGGTTAATTTTGGTCCAAATTTTGCTCATCCAGTTCCAAATGGTGCGCTGCCTTTTTTTCAAGTGAAAGGCCTACTATCATGGAACAAATTGCGTGATGCTAATCGTCGTAATCAATCTAAAGAGCACAGCGGAGAAACCATGAAAAAGCAAGCATCAAAACTAGAACGAAAAAATCAAAAACAGTTTAAATCACAAATGCTGAGCGCTAATAGCAGTGCCTATGCATTGAACATCCAAAGCAATAGTATAATTTTACCAGCAGTGAATGATGACGTTAAGCCTGACGAGAAAGATGCTGTATATACTGAGCCAGTTTTAACTGATTCTTTGATGGATTACTCATCAGTAAATCGCAATGCCATGGATCCATTTGATCTTGTTGATACTCTGGAGTATAGCGCAGGAAAAAGCACAACTGATCAGCATGATCATAAACTAGACTCATCATTGGAGTCACTATCGAGTTCAGACATAACTATGGATCATGCCGAGATTGTTTTTACAAATAATCTAGACGCGAATCACGGTGCTAATTCTACCATGGCATATTTTGTTACTCCTACTGTTGATTTGGTTAAACCCTCTGTTGATGTTACGATCAAGCAAGAGTCGATTATATCTGACACTGAAATGGCTGATGATTTGTCCGAGTATAATGCCACAAACGTTGATATGCAAGAATTTGCATCAGAAACAGTCGATAATGTAACGAATGACTGTTGATGACGGAAATGTCAAACTTGCTGATAATCTAATGGCGGTTATTTCTACAGTCGATGAAACATTATACTATTTTGAAATAGTTGGCTGTTATACCATACACACTAAATTGCATTGTGACATTTTGTGTAGTTATTGAGGTATGCTAAGCAATCACTTGTTTTGATCATTTCAAGCATGCCATATCTAGCGCATAGAGTAATTCTCTACAGTTTATTTAAATGTATTGATGATTTGCATCGTTTCAAAAAGCGTATTTAGACTGTTTGTTTCTTTCGTACATTTTAAGAATGTTTTCGGCAGCAAGAACCTTTGGAGTGCATTTCTTTTTCGGGGGTATTGGGATTAGAGGAGTTTGTGGTTTTGTAATATCTTCATTAGGAGCAAGTGGAGGATCTTCAATATACACTCCTGCTGTTTTTTTTCTTGATACTGGTTTCTGTTGGTTAATTTAAACATATCCATCAAATACAGTTAGCGGATATGTTTTATTCGCGATTTAAAACTACAAGGCTTGAATGTAGCACTTTTAAAGACTTACTTGAGAATGGCTTGATAAACCAGCTGGGCCAGCCAGTCTGAGCGAGTCTAATTGATTTTCACAAAAATGATTTCTTTGGATAGATGCCATTCCGTGACTTGACGCATCCAGTGATCCTCCATAGCCCCCCATTTCAAAAGCCTTGGCATTTTTTCGTCGGCGACGCAACTGTATCATTTTCCCTTTGGTTGTCTCTTTTTCAAGCGTTTTATCTACCTGCTCTAAAATACTAAGGATTTCTTGTGGTGTGCGAATTTCTTTACGCAAAGTGTGTAGGGTCTGGGAATGCTGTTTTATGGCTGCGGTATTTGTGACTTGTTTCTCGCCTGCGAGAATTAAACCGTGACTATTTGATGAGCTGTGAGTACGACAAAGTGGTGCAGTAATAGTAGATGATTGCACAAGCTCTGAACAAAGCTCGTGTGTATTTAAAATAGCTCCCTCTTGTTGCATAACTGGAATTCCAGCAATGTAAGACGTTCTATTTGCTACTCTTTGTCGATATCTGCGTGCCGAGTCAATAGATTGAAGTAATAGTACGCGTAAGCTATGAATTGTTGTAAACGATGGCCCAAAAAATCGTTGAACAAGACCATCAGGCAAGGCACTGTATCAAGAGAATAGTATATATTGAAATGTGCAGATCAGATTGTTAAAATAACTACTAGTTTTTAATTGTATCAAACGATTGTCAGCAGACTTGCCTTTGCTCAAGTAGATCGACTACGGCTAGATGATCTGGCTCTGATTCATTGTGTTCAATTACATACCTTAGTCTTTTAAGAGCAATCTATCCATCCCATCAAACCACGTCAGGTTTACAAACACCCAACAAAAACATACTTTTAGTTTAGTTTTTGAATCATACCTGTTCAATTCGATACCGATCCAAATTAGTCCGAGCAGTTTGTACCTTGATATAACTCAAAGGTATATATGTTAGTGGTTTTGGAAGCAATTCAACTGATTCGTCAGTTTTGGAGTGGCTCTGTCCATAAAAGTGTGTTCTTTCGCTTTTGCACGACTCGGTGGTTCCCAGCATGGTATACTGTTTATCGATCGATTTATCATTGTCTAGCCCAGACACAGAGCTTACATAACTCCGCCTTGACCCATTTTGAGTCGATGACGGTCTAAAATAATAAAGTATAAATTGAATTGTGGTTGAAATCTACGAGTCAAGATAGAATAAGCTTGATAAACTGATTTGGTATTTTACCTTGATCCGCGCTCAATACAAAATTCGTGTTCTGAGCCTTTGCGCATCATGAGAGAGGGGTTGCCAGGAATGCTTTCAAATTGCTGCATAATGTGTTCTAAAATTGAATACAGTTTTAAAATAGCATGAATAAATGCTGAACATGTAACATAGAATTCTAGAATCTAGCCCACCAAACGTGCGTCATTCTTACCTATATCCTGTTGGATTGAGATTCAGTTATTATAGCTCAGATGGTTAAACAACAGGGTATTGAACGGATGATTTCAAACTTGGGTTAAAATATGGCTTAAACGTTACCTGAACGGGTGTAGCTTGAATTCGAGCTATTCGAGATTTACTTGCTGATCCACATCGTGAAGTGAGTGTTGATCCTGAGCCTGACCGATGCAATCCGGTTTGTTCATCCCTACGTAAAATACCTGTTTTTGCAGGTTTAGGTTCGAATGAATCATGTACTACACTTTCGTCATTGGTATGGATTTTGAAATGGGGAGCAGATGACACGATTGTCAAGTCAGCATTGTGTTGAGTTGGGTGCAAATCATATGGAGTGTAAATCAATGTATCATGCTGTAATGGGACTTGAAAAGACACTTTACGATCTAGTTTATTATTCATGAACCATTGAAAATATCATGTTTAGTCGGGTTCAGACTCGGCATATAAATCAATAGTTTCAGTTGTCAGGTTTAGTTGGTGTTAATACAGAAAACAATGCATTACAGAAATAAGATCACTAGTAGTAATCAGTATTGTACTGCTGATGATTCAACTTTGTATAGATAAATACAATGTATATTAAACTGATACCTATTGCTGCGCGAAAGCCACCTGGATCCATACCACGATGTGAATGAAGTGGTTTGCAAGGAGCATAGTCGTGATGCCCGTTTGTTACTGGACGATACTTTTCAACCGACTCTGCATCGAAAAGGAGGGGTGATGGTGAGCGAGTAGATCTAGTAGTCTGTGCTGGTTTGACTTTTATCTTGGGGTGTATACTGGGAATGGTTGGTGAGAGCTGATTTGGAGCTGGTTTGGCTTTGAATGATTTTTCAGGTGGATGCGGTGGGGAATTTTGTGTATTGATTGAATTGGATTCTGGCATATATTCATCATGCTGAAAGGTTTGCAACTCTTTTGGAAACTCAGTGGCTGGGACTGCCAGACTATCTTGCAATATATCTGGAACAGATGCATTGAATGAAGGGTTAGTATCGCTTTGGGTATCTTCCATTCGCGTGCTGTTTATTGGATAACATTAGATTACGCGAATTTTTCAGCCGTATTCACGTAAAATGGAATACTTTCTTGTAGTGACTGTCATTTTTGCTTAGAAATAGGTAATGTTACGTTTTCCTACTACACATTGACTACTTTTTCAATAAACACAGGATTCATCATATGATACACCATCAAACTATGACTTTGAACTGAAATGGTTCATTTTCGGCATAATCATATATTGTACAATTTCCAGATACCGAGTTCAACTGCTGCCAAGAAAACTACAAAACTCATTCTTGTGTGTTCTAAAATCTGATATTTTGATGGAGATTGGCACCCATCGTTTCATGAGATTGGCTGTAATAAATACTGCCTTTAAACAGGTTAATAATGGCATAATCAAATATGCAATGTATCAATTACAGCCATTACGGTTCACTAAAATATGGATACAGGGATGAACAATTATATTTTTGTAAATGCATCTTGATTTGATTTAGGTTCATTTGAATTGACGAGCAAGATTTGAATGGTAAATAACGGAAATGTTGCAAATATAAAATCGGAGCAGTGATGATTGAAAGATCAAGTCAAAGATGGGATTGTAACAGGGTTGGATAAATGATCTGATACAGCAATGAATACAATGCGCAAAAGTCAGATAAAAACAGTATAGCGATTGAGGTGAAGATGGATGTAATTGAGAGCAATTAAGTATCATGAGAACAGATAAAGCAGAGTCTATAGTAACCATATGGGGGAATCAGATAAAAAGAGGTTATGCATAGCTCTTTCAAAATGTAGTATAGTATAGTAAAAGACATCAAACAGCACTGCCCACATCACTGATGTCATGGAATGATTTAGCGCTGAAGGTTGGTATGATCCTCGACAGCCTGAGAGGTTTGAGACAAACGTCTCCCCTTTTCAGCTTCGAGCTTATTGTACAGCAAGCTCATGGCTTTTCTGTTGGCTTCGTCAGTTCCAACAATGGTAATTTCGCGATCGTTGCGTCCGCTGACCTGTTCGGCAACGTGGAGTTTAGCACCAGAAAGACGACGAATCTGGGTGATGTGGGATCCACCTTTCCCCATAAGACACCCAATCATATCTGACTGTACAGTCATTACACACGTTCGAGTGTCAGGATTTTCGGTAGAGGAAGCGGGTGCTCCACCAAATGTAGATCCCGACATTGCACGAATACTATTTGATGAAACAGAGGAATTATTGCTAGAATGACGTCGGCCAATCGCTATATGTGAGAAATCACGAGGCTCACGGTACTCGCGCTGAGAACGGTCAGTAGAACCATTGGTCAAGCTATTACGACCTGTAGAACGAGAGGTAGAGATGATGGCGGATGAGGAAAAGGGAGAACTATCGTATCTAAGAGAGTTTTGGGGATCATAAGGGATGATTCCGGCAGCACGCTCATTGTCGCTTTTCATACACACACCAATGTGGTAAATGGCAATATGGCTGGACATTATAGCAAGTTTTAAATATAGTATCAACAGATGATATCAAAAAATAAATTGATAAAAGTACTGGTTGGTTAAAAACGAGAAATTCTGAGTAGTACCATTACAAAATGTAAAGCCAGTTTACTCTTATCAAAGCAAAAACTTACATGGCATCAACAAGACCATAGATTTCAACAACACGCTCAGTTGATTGAGGCATCATCTCTTTTGAGACAACAATTTTTGCACCCGAGGCTTCTTGAATCTCACGGATTTTTGCTCCGGCCTTACCAATGATGGATCCAATAAGCTGGTGAGCGACAAGAAGACGAATAGCGGTAGATTCTTCGGTACTATCCAAATTGCCGTTGCTGGTGATAGTCTGTGTGCTCTCAAGAAGGTTTTTGGCAATAAGTGCATATGCCTATTGGAGATGCAAGTTTATAAATTGCAAGGTTTCACGGTTCAATCATAGCTTGTATTAGTTACAAACCCTACTAGATCAGATTTCAAAGCAGTCAAATACTAGATATGATTTCAATACGATCCTGCAATTGGAAAGCAATGAAAGGATTTTCAAATAAGCAAAACAGTTTTTTGGCTTTAGTAGTATGGGGAATTGGATGCGCAGTCCATTTGGCTGTAGAATAAGATCGACCAACAAAAACAGTAATGGTGTAGCATTCCCCCCAACAGAATCCACCACTACTATGCATGACACGATCACACCAACCACAGGCGGGAAGCAACCCTAGAGTAGTACCAATCACATGATTCAAGGTCTGGGATCTTTCGTATAGTGCAAGACGACGTATATAGAAAGACGGATGTGTTTCTAAACGCATCGTCTTGTAGTATACAAGACTAGGGTTCAAATAAAATGCTAAACCAGCATACAAGTCGATCCGTTTCAACGAGGGCCATGCGTGTGTTTGACTACAACCAGAGGACTTCAAGATCCATCTTCAGTATAGATCATACTTGAATTAGTCGCCAGCAATAGGTTTGCGCCACAGTCCAGCACACTTTAGAATAAAATGAGCCAGACATCTGGGTCAAGTGGATCATTAAGCATCATTGCATATCTGGTGCTGATCAACCATTACATTGCACTACATGAATGTGTCAAAGTGTAGATGTTACCTTGGCGACATTGGGCAGTGGTCCAACAACAGTGAGGATTCGCTCCGAGACACTTGGAACCACTTTGCTAACGCCCACCTTGACCGAAGCGATCTGACGGACATTGGCGACACTGGCACCACCTTTGCCAATCACAACACCTGCTTCCTTTGTCGATACCAATGAGCGCAAGGTCATTTCAGGAACGGTTTCTGCAGCATCGGTCTCGTCCATGTCGGTATAGGCACCAGCTGAATCATGCGCAACAGGGTCTACAGTGACCAGTCCTGATACGGGCAGTGGGGATCCAGTAGTGGATGGAGCAGTTGCAATCATACCACTAGCGGGGACTGATTTAGATACAGTAGCTTTGCTATTCACAGACATGGTGGTCATGCTATGGATGATGGGTGATAGTTGGGACATTTGTTTATTGGATGGAGTGATGGTTGAAGTAGGAATAATGATTCGAGTTGGTTGTGAATGTCCAAAAAACATTTTTTTTTTGTCGGGTCTGAAACACTATCTTGCTGTCCAGCCTCGAATGGTTTTTTGCCAAAGCCTTTTGTTTGCTAGATCTGGTATTTACTACATGGTTGAAAATAGTTTATTCTATCCAGTTATACTACCTAACCTGTCCTTGGCTGCTTTTAAAATTTACAAAAACACACTATCCGATTCCATGCATCAACAAGTCGAATAAAATAAAACTTGTATTTATCTCGCAGCCATTGCTCTGGAATAAACAATGGCTAAATATTCGTTGTTTTCTACTACAGATTGATTGCACCGTCTCTAAAAGCTCGGTTGTATCCTAATATCAGATACGTTCGCGTTTTATCCAGAGATTATACATTTCAATACAATTGTTTTATGCCAATCACCCAATTTTTGTACAAAAATAATCATGAGAACCAGTAGGCTTTAACGAGTTTATACGACTCAATGCTGCCCAGTATATTAGCACCCATCATTTCATAAAACTGGCTGTTTATGTTGACACTCTTGTTTATTGGTTCATTTTACGTGAATACGACTGTAAACCAGTAGCTTTGAACGAATATTATTAGTGTATGAAAAATGCAAAATCAGGGAGCCGAGACAATCAAAAAATTGCCAAAAATGAAGTTTAATTTTCATCATCCAAAAGTCCATCATTGGTTACAGAAGCATCCACCAGCCTCTTTGAATCGCTTAGCAACAAGTCGTGTCTGATATGTCTTTGTGAACCGACTCATGTCTCCGTTATGGCAGTTGTAGTAACAGTTTAGAATGGGCCTGAGACATTGAGTAATCCATGTCTTGCATCCGCCAGAAACTAAAGATGACATGGACGAGCGACGCTCCAATACCCACTTGAGTATAGGCTCTTCCTCGACAACATTGATAAGAATTTCAATTTGTTCAGGAACTGTCACTGACGGGCTAGCAAACTTGACCATAGCAATCTTACGCTTTGGACAATCGTTTTTGAGTTTGGGCGTTGTCGTTGGGAGCGAGCGCTGTTGGTGCGGTGAATACAAGTGGGTCGGCATAGGGGAACCTCCTGGTCCCAGGTTGGATGGCAGTCTTGAATCGTGTGGTTGATGTATTGACCGTGGTTGTACAGAATTAGATGTGTTTGAAGTTGTTGATACAGCCGAGTCATGTCGTTGATAGCGATGCATGTTGTGATTCTGACTATACTGTGGATAGTTTGTAGTCGTTGGTGATTCCGAGATTTTTTGGAGATGATAATGGTTAGAGTTATGATTAGCATGATAGTTGGGGCCTGGATGGTTAGGACTAGATTCATATTCTTGTACAGGAGCATATATAGGAGACGAGCTAAAAGTCGATCTACAGATTGAAGATGATTGCTTGGAATGATTGGCTAAATCAGTGCCAGAAATTTGGTAGGCTGGATTGAACCTATTCGTCAACCCATTTTCTCTCATAGGCGTATCGGCATTAGGATGGTGCGATCCAACCGACTGCTGGGTAGAGTGGCCAACTGGAGTTCCTCTACGATGATTCATCCTTTCTATTGCATCATCTGTAGAAACCAAGAGCGATGAAATCGCAGGGATGCTGGATGGAGACGAAGAGCGTTTGTCTAGATCTGACAAGTTGGCATTGGTACCAGAAGTATTAGCAGACTGGAGGGGGTTATAGCGGATACTAGGCAAGCGCTTTGGGCTACTTGGAGTAGGAAAGCAATTGGCATCGCTAGAATATGTCATATGACCCAATCCATTTGATGCTCTTCTTGGCTGTGGTTGAGAATATGTCAGGGATGGCTGAGAAGACGGTGAGGTGCGAGCATAAGGGTGGTATTCGGGCGATCTACGTCGCACTTTGAACAAACCGCTAGAACTATCCATGCGCTGTTTGTCAAACTGATAGGACCCTGTTTGATGTGTGCGTTGTGGTAATGCACCTTGCGAGGCACTGTGCTGAGAAATTATGGGTGGAAGGGTATGTGTAGTGGGAGATTCAGCGCATGCATCTACGATGGGTGCTAAAGCAATGGAAGAATTAGCACGACTGGACGCATCAAGGCTGGTATTAGACATGGCGATAGGTCTATCAAAAAACGTAGTATCAAACATTAGATATTCAGTTAGTTTAAAGGCAGTTGTCGAGTGATGCACAATCCAAACACTGAAAAGATAGAGTAGCAACTGCAGGTGAGCAAATGGGAAAGCAGTATGGTATAGGATTGCTTGAAAGCAGAAATGCAAAGCAGTCATAGCTGATAAAAAATGCCAAGTATTTGGCACCATTGAATCTCATAGCAACCCGTCGAGATCCAAACAATGCTAACATGGACAATCCACAAAGGTGCTCAATCGAGCATGTGCACTAAAATCCAGCCCAAATCAGGCTCTTGCTGTTTGGATGGTAGACAGCAGATGACATGTATTTAAATGATCACCATCCACTGATATTTGCATCTTGTGAAAATAAATGGTAGCATACCACTGCACTCTAAAGGGTAGGGAGCGTAGGATAAAGCATATGCGGCAAACAACAAATTACCTTTGCTTTGCAAGACCTGTAAGAACCTGCTTCATGGATAGTTGCACCTGCTGCATATTGGCAAAAAGAACAGACACGTCAGGCTCCTCACTTGAACGAGCTAGTTTGCACAGAAACCTCCATCCATCAGTCATACGCTGAGCCATCATATCGGCCTCGCTTAATGAGTACTGAGGAGGTGGAGTTGGCCACGCAGGACAATCCGAGTGCATTTCCAAACTCGACAGTGTATGTGTCTGATATGTAGGACCTCGGATAGGCATACTAGTAGCTTGGGTTGTCAACGCACTAGTGCTGCTGATAGGGGGTACCGATTTGGAGTTAGAGCGCAGTTCCCTGATATTGCTATTGGTGTAATCAAAAGAGTCGGTAGGAATTTGGTTTATAACCGTAGAAGCGTCAGCAAGTGAAGATGACCGCGATTGATTGTGATGCAAATGAGATCTGTCGTGAGCAAGTTGCCTAGAAAGTGAGCTAGAGTTGCAGTTGAAACCTTCAGTCTTATTCAGCGACTCTTCTCTTTTATAACCTGCTTCTGTATGCATATGTTGATCAGCTGGAGCTGGAGTAGGCGGTAACAGAGGCGGGTAGTTGCGATAAAACACTGGATGCTGAATTCGATTATCAGTAGAACCTTCAACAGCATGCCCATGCGGCCCAGACAACGAGGCACGCGCACACTCAAGCTGCACCGTGTGCAAATGACCTGTGCCTGACGCATTAGTAGTCGAGTTAGCAGGTGTTCCAGCACGTGGTGACACTTCACTTTTGGGGTTTGATAGTAGATGCGGGTCGTCATGGCTTGAACCAACGGGTTCTATCGACTGCCCTGGCATGTCAATGCAGACAGATGAAGCTGGAGAGACTGGATCCGCTTTGGAGGGTTGAACTGGAGAGGTCGGATCAGCTTTGGGGAGTTGAAGTGGAGAGGCTAGAATAGTGGACGAATGCCCAGCAGAGGCTTGCATAAGATGGGTTGCAGCGTCAATCATGGCCAAGGTATCAGGATTGCAATCGGATGACGAAGAGGAGTCGAGGGCATCAGTCATAGTAACAGTAGTAATAGTAGAGAGAGTAGTCATGGATAAGGTAGCTCAAGGCGTGTGGCAGTTCTATTGCCTATGTAAATACTCTTAATAATATCTCTATCAACACTATTTTAAGGTCGATAAGGATGAATAACACGGGAATAGTCTCTCGTTATATTGATAGGCGTTAAAAGGACGGCAGGACTTGATCTTACACAATAGATAACAGCGCTGCTGTGCTCCGTACTGACGTGCAGTAGGGCTATTTGTACAATCAATCGTGTGGCAGATGATATGCAAAAAAACAAGGGAAATGTATAGGCTGATGCAGCCCTAATGTTTGGTGTAATAGTATTGGTAGGGATTCATCACTATAGGGAGGGTGTATCTCGTATTGAATAATAGCCGCTACCCTGCCGCTGAAAGCACACTACTGATGGTGAAAAAAACTTGACTCAAGGGCCTAAATAACTTGGTAGGGATTACATATGGCTTTGGTGACATTGTAGAGGGTGGCAAAGCTAAAGGATTACTAGCAGGATGAAGGGCTAAAAACTCATTGGCAGGTTGGCTATGTGAGCAGAGTTTGATAAACAAAGGCTTGTGTGGGGTTGAATGTTGAACATTGCACTGAGGCTTCCTTATTTTCTCAAAGAGCTTGCTTGCTGGTTGGTAATTATAGCTACACAAGCTCAACCCAATCGGCTACTGTTTGTTGCAGAGCACCTAAATGGAGTCTGCATACGCCTCTTGGGCACTATGGTATGGGTGCACTTTGTTTTAAAGCTAGCCATTAATATTCATTCAAAAAAAATGATCTTGATAGTCTGTCCAAAAGACCAAGCGATAGGGCGTGTATACAATATTAGGCTTGACAAGCAGACTGGTTGCAAAATCTGCTGAGCCAAAAAGCCAGAATCAAGAAATGCCATAGCTCGACAAAAATACACGTAGCTTTTCAATTATCTGAATGATATTGCAACAGTCATACCAGTCTTTTCACCATAAAATAGTCTAGACTACAAAAAAGCAGATCGACATCAAAGACGCCGGAACATCTGCAAGGAATATCAACTTTGCATGCTATACTTGGACACTTGAATTTCGGTAGTGCGTAAACGGCACACTGGCTGCAGAAAAGCCAGATATCTGACTTGATGATGAAAGGGAGTTGCAAAGATCAAGCAAGGTCTTTGCTTAGTACGGAGGATTGTAATAGCATTTGAATTAGCAGCCGCATTACTGATTGAACACCCTGAATAGAAAGCTGATTTCAAACGCCTTCTATTGTTTGCTACTCGTTCAAATCTACAAAAAGCACCATCTCTACCAATGATTTATTTTCATCACCCTTTTTTAAAAAAGGGTGATAAAGCCCTGAGCAGCGCAGTGACAGTAATAATGGCTACACTCACAGATCGATTGCGGAGCACTGTAGTAGCAGGGTTATATTGAAATTAAAAGGCACAGCATGTTTTAATCTACAGCCGGTATGTCCTAAAATCAAATTTTTTGCGGTATATTACGAATGGTAGCTTCAAATGCTAAATCACGTTTCCATGTCAACATTGTTTTGCACATGCTATTGAAATGTTTGAATAGTTTGGCAAGCCGTAATAAGCATGGTTTTGAAGCTTTTGGCAGCATATCTGGGTTTCCGCACCTATCATCTGTTTACTGTGCACAAAGACTTGATTGGTCAAAAACCGTTTGTATACACTATCGCGATGTAGCAAATACCGTTTGGACTCCCTGTTATCTGGTGAAAAATAAACCTTGGAATTGCTTCATGTTGTTTGGACTAGAACCAGTCAATTTTTTTAAAGCAATTCATCTTCAAATGTGATCAGCAACCGGTACATATTATACCTTTTTTTTCTTTTGGCTATGCTAAAATTTGGACTGGTATAAGTTTAGTCTGATGTTGAACCATGCATATGTTTATGGGTCTTCAATGCCAACACTATCCAGCTCTACTAGTAGCCAATGCAAGCCTCTGTTCAAATGATTAGGCACTAGATCATGCCACCATAACTGAAAACAACTATTGTAATATGTATAATCTCTGTAGCCTTGATAAACTTGCCTACTTGGTTCTATTTGGCTTATTTTTTGTTGGATAATGCATGATCTGGTTGTTCAAATTTCTACCGAAACCTTGTCATGCATCCCTTGAAAAAGTTGACAAAATCACCAGTGGAAAAATACTCCTGAAATAAGCCAATCACTCAGCCATGGATCAATTATGACAAGTTCAATAAAAGCAATTCCTAATCCGGAAAATCCAGGTTTGGGTTCGTTTTATAGCTAGCGACAAACAGCATGAGAATGGAGATGATAAATTATCACCATCAGTGTATCATGTATTTGAAAAGTACTTGCATAAAATCCATCCAATCACACTTTTGGGTTGCTCTCATGGTAACGCTCTTTTGTAAATATCGGTAGATTGTTCATTTGCTGATTTGAATGACAAAAGCATCTATCAGTCGTATTTTCTGTGCCGCAGCAGTAACCTGACTTTCTTGACACGATCAGTTTGCTGAATGGTCTGCTGACGTCTCAATTGAATATAGGACGGCATCCCTCATTTGGTCTAGGCGCGACTGGTTGCTAAGCTTAGTGCTGGTCTTGTGCTCTGACGCAAAGGCTTCAGCGCTCCACCTATATACAATCTGTACACTAGAGAAACAATTGTGCAATTTTACAAACGGAAAATTCATGTTTTTGAAATGATGCAACAGTTGTTTGTTTGATGCCATCAGAATGGCTTCAAAGCATGATGAAGTTGGGTTGTTGGAATATAAACATTTCTGCATTCTCATTCCTATTGTTGATAACGTCGAGCAACTCGAGTTGCAATTTATTCTTGAATAGCTGTGATAATATATTATTTGGATTCATCTGCTTTTTTTCTGGCAAGGTATCTGTCTCGTGCACTCTGTACTTGGATATCAGATACTTTGGACGCTGCCATCACTTCTAATCGAGCCTTGTTTTGCTCCGCCTCTTCAGCAGCCTCCTGCTTTTTCTGCTCCTGTTGCTGCAATGATGCCTTGGCCGATCTGTTGGCTTGTTCTCGAGCGCGCTGAGCACGAACTCGTTGTGCTCTTTGCTCTGCATCTCGAGATTGTTTAGCCTTTAGTTCGAGCTCCTTGCGTTCTTCGCTTTCCTTTCTTTCGAGTTCAATTTGCTTTAATGTCTTGACAGTCAGATTAAGTCCTCCAGCGAGTAGTTGTCGTTTGTCTACAATTTCATCAAAGTCGTTCATAATAATATTACCCGACTCGAGAATCTGTCGCTGTCGCTCACGTTCTAGTCGTTCTGTTTCCAAAGCTTCGTCCAACAATGTCAGCTTGTGTTTTCCCGTATCGTCATTGATATTTTGTGCAGCCAACGCAGCAATCTTGGCAAGATCTACAGCATCTGCTTCTTGTCTTTCCAGAATATTCTTGTAGAATCCAGTCATATCACGATTGTTGGCTTCAGTTTCTAAATATCATATTTATGAGTCATGGATATTGAACATTGTTTAGAATACTAGCAAATGCAAGTGTAAACATTGGTGCATGCCGAGAGAATGAAACAGTCGGTAAAGTACAAGCACTAGCAGATCAGCACAGTCCAAATACAACCTTCTTTACGCTTTTCCTCCTCTTCAATCTTGCGAAGCTCTTCCTTGCGCTGCAAGTAAGCCTCGGTGACAAACATATCCTTTTCGCCAAACTTGTCTCCATCCTCCTCTCTCTCTCGCTGGATCTTACGCTCTTCTGCTCTTTCAAGTTCAATCTTGCGTTTTGAGGATGCAGATAGCAAGGCCTCAATATATCTTGGCTGTTGCAGATCAAAAGTATTAGCTTTTAATCAAAAGTGACAGGGTTGACCAGGAATCGAGTACATTTAAAATGCTCTGGTGATGATTAATCAACTGCATCTTACTGCAAGTCAGATACAGACATGCTTCAAGTGATCATGAATAAACACTACCTTTTTTCGAATTGAGTCGTCATTGGCACCATCTCTCTGTCGTTGCTTAATCAAGCTAGCTTCTTTTAGATAATCATATGCAGTGTCATAGTCAAACAGAGTGGGATCGGATTCTTTTGCCAATTGCTCTGCTATTTCAACTGCAGCTACTTGTTTTGCCTGAATGGCCCGTAGCTCGGCATTTACTCGCTGCTGCTCCAGTTTGCTAGCTAGTCGATTGCGCTCTCTCTCTTCTGCAGCTGCTATTCGTGTGGCATCGGCTCCGTTATCTAATCTATCATGACTGTTGGAGCCAACAGAGTCAAAATCCTGAATGGTTGTAATGGTTGCTGATGTATCGTTCTGTTCTTCGTCCGAGTCTCGCTCCTGGCCAGCAAGTGGGTTGGCTACTTTCTTGCGACCCAGAGTAAAGGAGAGTTTCCCTCCAGATACAGCTAATGGCTTGGATGTCTTGGACACATTAAGTCCAAACTGGAGCGGCTTGCCACTCATTTGTTGGAGTAGAGATGATTGCAACAGAGCTGGGTAAATCAAAACTAAAAACGAATCTAAATACTAGACTCTATTGTCAAAACTAGCCATAGCTTTAGGCTAATTGTCGGTGCCCACAAAGACAATGGACTGCCTAATCAACTCAATATATTTTTTACAGCCATATTCACGTAAATGAAACACTAGAGGCAAGTATAATAAACAGCCAGTCTCATAATGATTGGTCAGTTTACTGGTCAATATCGTGTCCTCTAAACTCTGATTGACTGGTATGAAAAAAATAACTGTATTACTGAGATGTACGATCTTGTTTACTTAAACTAGAGCGCGAATGTATCCGTGTTTTTAAGATACAACAGAGATGAATTTGTAGACACAACGGCCGAATCAAATCGCTGGACTGAAATTGATGAATCTGGTAATCGTACAATATATGCTTATGCCAAAAAAGAATAATTTGATTGTATGCATCATATGACGAATATTGTTTATTGAACAAGCAATCATTTTGTAGCAAGCGCAGCAGATGTCACGTATACTGAATCAAAGCAAGTCGGTACAAAATAAATATAAAGGTGATTCACTCTACATGAATATGGCTGTAATGAGAGTCCAAATGCAATTTGTGCTGGGTACGTAGTTGTCTGACATTTGGCTCGGCCGATAGAAACAGCCACATTTACGGGTATACTTGTTTGATGACGTATTGATACAGCTTCATTCACAAAAAGGTATAAAAGGGAGCAAAAAGCGTATATAAAATCGATTTCGGTACTTTCAAAGCTTAAGCAGCCATCTAATTGCAGTCTCAAAGTGCTAAACTAGAGCTATCATGTCAGATATTGACAATTTACCTGCATCAATTGTTGTTTCAGAGCAACCTCAAAATTCAGTCACAGCTCTCAAAAATGATTCCAGCGAAAAACAGAACACTTTAGGCATGACTACCACTTCAGAGCCCTTAGTAGTCCCTGCTACTGCCGCCAAAAAAAGCATGTCTTTCAGTCCTTGTACATTTATTACATTAGAGTGGTTGACACCTCTTATGTTTTTGGGTGCAAAACAGCCATTGCTGTCCAAGGTATGTCTGTTTTTAAATAATTATATTAACACCGCTTTAATGCAACTCACTTGTTGTCGAGCATCACGTTGACTTTCCACCTAAATGTTGAGCTGATTATTGATAAAATCGAAAATTGACATTCCTCGACCCTGAGTTTGTGACTCGACTGATTTATTTTTTGGCTTGTTACAAAAACCAATCAGAAATGGCCTGCTTAGCTCGATACCCCTATGATCTATTTAAAGCTGAAGTATCTAATCGACTCATCATTTTTATTGCAATGTTTGATTTAAATTTATTTGCAGGATTTACTCACGCTCAACAGTCACGACCAAGCGGAGATTGTGTCACATCATTTAGATGAATTTTGGGTCGAGTATAGAGCTTGGATGGCAGACTCTGAAAAGGCCACAAAAAAACATCCAAGTCTTTTTTGGGGTGTGTTTAGAAAATACATGGCCTCTATTCTCACTGCCATTTTTTGCCAAAGCGTGTCCATTGCGTGCTCACTGAGTGTTCCGACATTCGTCCAGCAGGTCATTTATTTCTTAATCCCACAATACCCGCGCTCCATGTTGATTATTCAAAGCGGTGCTGGATTGGCATTCACGCTATTTGCTTTACAGATTGGTTCCAGTATCTTTCGTGCCACAAGCGACCAAATCATACGTCGTACTGAAATCAACATCCGAACCATTATCATTTGTGCCATCTATGAAAAGACTCTCAAGCTTTCCGGACAATCTAGCATCAAATTTACTCAGGGAAAAATTCTTAATCTTATCAATGTTGATGCTGAAAAGATTGCTCAGGCTATTCAAGGTGTTGCCGGGGTATACGCCACTCCTATCCAAATTGCTGTCGCCATTTACCTTCTTGGACAGCTACTTGGCTACTCAGTTTGGGCAGGTGCAGGTGCCCTGTTTTTCGCACTTTTAATCCAAGGTGGCATGATTGGCTTTTTTGTCAAGTACCAAAGACTGTTTCTTGATTTTGGCGATAAGCGACTCAAAGCGCTCCGCGAAATGCTTTATGGTATCAAGATCATCAAGTTCCGTGCTCTCGAGGAGTTTTTCTTTGATCGCATCACAACTATTCGAAATGGGCAGATCAAAGCACTTAAAAACTATTACATTGTACAAGTTTTTTTCGTTGGTATCATCCAAGTTATTCCTGTTTTAATGCCAATTGTCGCTTTCATTGCATTTTCTCTTTCCAATGGATCCATCACTGCACCTATTATTTTCCCTGCTCTGTCGCTCTTTAATATTTTGTTTCAGCCATTGTTGGTCTTGCCTGGCTCGTTGGCATCGGTGGTTCTTGCCAAGGTATCGTGGGATCGTATCCGTGATTTTATACTTGCTGAAGAGGCCGAGCCTCGCGTAGAATCTACTTTTGAAAACACTCCAGACGCACCCAAGGATGCTGCAATTCAATTATCAAACGCTAGTTTTAGATGGGAATTTCAAAAAACAGATGCCAAGCATCTCAAAGACGAAGCAGATGCCAAAGTTGCCAAATTGGCAGAGAAAAAACAGAAAAATACCGAAAAACGTCGTAAATTTCTGGGTAAAAAATCCGACACTGACAAAAAAGCTGACGAGGATATTGTTAAAGATGCTCCATCTACACATCCCGACTATGATCATTCAGCTACCAAGGAAGAAAATGCTCTTTTCCACCTTCGCCACATTACTACTTCAATCAAAAAAGGCTCGCTTGTTGCCATTGTTGGTCCAGTTGGTAGTGGCAAAAGTTCTTTTCTTTCTGGAATTATTGGTGAAATGCGTTGCATCGACGGTTCAATGAATATTTTTGGAACTCTTGCGTACTGTTCTCAACAGGCATGGATTCTTACCGAGACCATTCAGGGCAATATCCTCTTCAACAATTCGCTTGATAAGACTCGAATGGACGCAGTGATTGAAGCATCGTGTTTGACAAATGATCTGCAGCAATTTCCAGCTGGTAAAATGACCCAGATTGGCGAAAAAGGAGTCAACTTGTCTGGTGGTCAGAAAGCACGCGTTTCGTTGGCTCGCGCCATGTATCAAGATTGCGATACTTACTTGCTGGACGATCCAATCTCTGCCTTGGATGCGCATGTTGGTGCCGATGTGTTCAAGCTTTCCATCAAACAAATGCTCAAGGACAAAACTGTTATTCTTGTTACTCACCAACTGCATTTTCTTCCCGAGGTAGACCATGTGATTGTTATGGATAATGGTACAATTGCAGAACAAGGTAAATTCAAGGATCTTGTGGCCAAGGATGGTGTGCTGGCAAATATGATGAAACATTACAAGCTCGATGACGATGAAGACAAACCCATCGAATCAAAACTCAAGAAAACTGCAGCAGTTGTGGAAGATACCGGTGCAGATAAAAACGGCGACATTATTGTCGAGGAAGACCGCAATCTAGGTGCAGTTGAAGGAAAAACATACTGGAGTTACGTCGTGGCATGTGGTGGATACTCTTACCTAGTGGTAGTGGCCATTACTGCTATTTTGGCTCAGGCATCGCATCTGCTTACAGATCTATGGCTGTCTTGGTGGACTTCCAATATGTATCCAAATTTAACAGCCGATCAGTATCTTCGCATCTATACTGGGCTTGGTGGTATTCAAGTGTTCTTTTCTTTAGCTCTAAATGCAGCTATTCTTGTTGGAGGATATCGTTCTGCCCACTACTATCACTCTGCTGCTCTTAAACGTCTCATTGCTGCTCCTATGAGCTTTTTTGACTCGCAGCCAATTGGTCGTATTTTAAATCGAATGTCCAAGGATGTTGAAAGTATTGATCAAGCTATTTGGATTCTTCTTTTCTTGGCCATCATTTCTACAACTGGCTTGATTTCGATTGTTGTTCTTATGGCATATGTTTTGCCATATATGTTATGTAAGTCATTATTGCTTTATGTATGCCGCTTCTAACCCGTATATCATTGTGTATCTAATATTGTTTGAAATGCTGTAGTGATCGTGGTTCCTTTAATAGTCTTGTATTTCTATATAATAAAATACTATCAGAATGCTAATCGCGAACTGAAACGTCTCGAGTCTGTTCAACGATCTCCACTATATGCTCATATTTCAGAATCCCTTGCTGGTATTGCCACTGTCAAGGCATTCCGTGTTGAAAAGCGATTTGTTCAACGTCAACGCACTCTAATGGATCTAAGCAATACTCCTAGCATGTTAAAGCTTCTTGGTTCCGTATGGGTCAATATGCGAATTGAACTACTTGCCTCGATTGTGGTTCTTACTTTGGTCCTCATTGGCTCCTATTCAGACATTCATTCTTCTCAAATCGGCATTGCTTTGACGTATGCTATTGGCTTGACTGGGCTGATCAACTTGTTGTTGATGGCGTTTTCGCAACTTGATGCTGAGATGAATGCCGTTGAGCGACTGGATGTATATGGAAATGCTTTACCACAGGAAGCTCCGCGTTCGTATGATACAGATCCAGCATCAGATTCATGGCCCACAAAGGGTGCCATTACTATCAAGAACCTTGAGATTAGATACGAGTCTCGTCCAGACTTTGCTGTCATTAAAAATCTTTCTTTGAATATCCGACCTGGTGAAAAAATCGGAGTTGTAGGTCGTACCGGATCTGGTAAATCTACACTCATGACTACACTCTTTCGTATTATCGAACCTTCGCTTGGTAATATCGAGCTAGATGGCATTGATATCAGCAAACTTGGGCTTAAAACCCTTCGTAGTCGATTGCAAATTATTCCTCAAGAGCCAGTGCTTTTCACTGGCACGATTCGAGCAAATCTGGATGTAGAGTCCAAGTTTGAGGACGCAAGCATATGGGATGTGCTAGAGCGTATAGGCATCAAAGAGTATGTTACTGGTCTTCCCGAGAAACTCGAGGCTCCAGTTTCAGAAAATGGTGAAAATCTGTCAGTTGGTCAACGCCAACTCATTTCACTGGGCCGGGCTATTCTCATGCAACCGATTGTGCTGGTCATGGACGAGGCTACTGCTTCTGTTGATGCTGAGGCTGATAAGCTGATTCAGCAGAGTATCAAGACGCATTTCGCCCATGCTACTGTACTGAGTATTGCTCATCGACTCAATACCATTGTAGATTTTGATCGCGTGTTGGTGCTGCAGGATGGTGAAATGGTCGAGTTTGACTCACCACATATCTTATTGGGTCGATCTGAATCGCTGTTTTCACAGCTTGCAGATGCCACAGGTGCTGCCAATGCTCAACTACTTCGTGAAATTGCATCCAAGAAAGCTGCATCAAGCGCTCAAAAATAAACCAAGTTTCATACTTTCTAAAATATTTTTAGCTATAACATTTCAAATCGTATCAGTATGATGGAAATACTTGAAAAAATAACATTTATTCAAACTGTTCATCAATAGAGCATTCATAGTGAGGTGGGTTAGCAAATCTTCCAAAGGCTTGACAACCAACATTTGTTTTTTAAACAGGGTTCCTAAACTTTTGTAAACAACTCGACAGCTATTTTCAATCCAGATCTGCCCATTTGATCCAGTATTATTTCCAACTTGAACAGATTGTGCGCATTTCCAGTCATGTTCCACCGTCTAGTACTATTGACTATTTAAACAAAAATCAACCATGCACACTCTTGGAAAATGTCACATTCTTGCCACTATTTGAATTTGGAGCATCAGTGAATGTTAATAAAGAAGTAGAGCCACTACCACTAGCAGTCGTGCTTCCGTGCGATCCACCGCCAATAATATAAGGAGCAGCATCCGCACCTAAAGTTAGTGACGAGCTTGTTTTTGAATGGCCACCTATTTCAGAAACTCCAACATGTTCATCCTCTTTTTCCCAAAAAGGGTTTACGGAACGTAAACCATCAACACGACTTTGTTCCAGCGCGATGCGGAGTTGTTCAGCCTCTTGTGCTTCACGGTCAGTCTCCTCAAAGGTTATTAATGGAGTGGCCTCTTTTCCTGTGCGACTTTTATCAATAGCAGATTGTATCATTTGGCCCTCTAATGCTTCGTCATACACTCGGAATGCCTCGGTAAGTTTATTGTTACAATTGATCAGCGCATCTGTTTGAAAATATTGGTTAGTTGATCCAAAACTATACTCTACCATCTATATCAACTAAATACAAAATCATCAAACTCACTGATAGCAACTTCAGTAAGAACACCCTGCTGTAAAAACTGGTTTGTAGTTTGTCTGAGATTAATACAGTTGGTACGAAACTCCTATACAATTACCAAGATTAAAAATTGGGAATGATTAGTAAACACTAATAAGGTAAATACGTCCAAGTCAAAAATGAAGATATAGAACATGACATTGGTTCAACATACCTGAACAATCTGATTTGACACCAAAGGTTCATTTTCATCAGAGAAATTGACTGCCTCGGTCAACATGGATGCGTTACTTAGTACAATTTGTGCATGAGCATTATAGTCCATAATGACAACCTGGGGTTGCTGTGATACAAAAGAAGTTTGTCCAAGCTGATGATTTTGTTCAGAGTGCATAGTCGTCTGAGATGAGGTACGTGATGCCTGCAACATGCGACAAGTTTGCTGATCTGCAAGTGAGATCAGACCGGTCTCGGGAGTATCGAAAAAAATAAGCTCCAAATCATATCCACCCAATAGTCCTTTTTCAGATGCTCTGCTACGCAAAAGATGCAAATTTCTTTCGTATGCAGGACTTCCAGAGGAGGGCATCTGATCTACAATGGCAGCCAAAAGTGCTTTGCTTTCTGGTGCAAATCCTTTGCTAGTCCATATTTCAAACAGGCGATCAAGATTGCTGGAGTCGTAAAACCGGGCATAGAACGATGGCTGCTGATTTTCCAACATCCAGTACATTACATGCAAGACATATGTTTGTTGTACTAATTCAGAGAGTGGATTGATTAAAAAATAAGTATTACGATGCGATTATAAATGAATGTATTCGTCTATTAAGCATACCTGGTCCTTTTTCCAGACTTTCCAAAAGAGCTTTGACAACCGTGTCTGGTCTAAAAAGACGACAAATAATTCCATGAATGTTAGCAATGACCATTAAAAAGCTTAAACGTTTAGTTGGCAAGAATCAGCAATCCTTTATGGGTGTATTTTTCTACTAACAAAGAAAATAAATGCTATACACAGGATTGAAAGCTTAAAGAATGCTTTGGCACAATGGGTGATATCAAGTCAGTTTAGGAAATATTACCCTGAGCTGGAAGTGCATGCGATTGCCGCAGCCTGGCGAGTTTTTACCCAATCAACTCGAGTAAGCGATTCATCGGTAGCTTCGTCTAAAGTAATTGACATTCATGCATGTTGTTAGCAAGCCCTGTCCATGCAATGCATTCAGCTTTAAAATGAACGAGTTTATGATTGAAGATGAGCAGCTGGTTAAACATACCCAGCAACTGAGTAATCTCTTTTGATTTCCCCCTAAACCCTTTTAGTTTAGCTATAAATGTAGACTTCAAAGAAGCCTGCTTTCCCCCAGCCAAGTCGCTGCCAGAATTGCCAAATGAAACCATATCTTAGTTTACAAACTTGCAAGAAACTGCAATCCATTTTGACTGTCAAAACTCAAATGCACGTGATGTGCCCAGTTGTGGCACATTTGAAACTCGAGTGCAACATTGCATTCACAAAGTGAAACAAAAAGCGAATCTTGAATAATGGGAGACAAGTTGCTGTTTTGCTGTAATTGGCTTGAGAACTGTTGCTGTTCTCTTGAACGGAAGCATATTTGGGATACAGTAGAAGACTTTGTCCAGTCGTATCGACAGCACCAGAACAGTTGAATTCATTATCTGGCTTCAAACCCATTGATCATGCAATGCATAATTACCAAGTGGGAGAGACAGACTCAACTGTAGCTTGATTTTGAGAGTATCATTCAACAAACGTTGTTTATTGAACTGTGAATGTCTACTACGATCCATTTGTAGTAGGAAAGTGCAACAAATATTGTATAGTTAAAGCAGACTAGTCACTACAAGATAAGACATTCTATTAACATGAATACGGCTGTAAACCAGTTTTTAAAGCAATGTGGACTTTTTATTCTTCCATTGCAAGTTCAATACTGAAAGATGTGATTAGCCTTTTGCTTCAAGATTTGGATTCAAGTGTGGGGATCGATCTATAGTCTCGTATGCACGACTTTCTGGCCCATTTGTCAGTGTCTTGCTTAAAAAAGTTTTAGTTGCAATGGGACCCGTAGATAAGATGTCGGTATCGTTTGGCTTGAGTCGGTAAAAAAGAACATATCCAAATTTATACTAGATACACACGATTCAATCGTTAGGACATTAGTTTAAAGCATTAAGCAACACCCTTATGAAACAATAACATACATATCTAGAGTCAAACTCTGCCGGTTCAACAAGCTCGTCATCAAATTTAAACCATTTGTTCATCCGTTTGCATAATGCCACGTAGTGTCCAGAATCCGTGCTACCGTGATGATTACTTACGGCAAACAGCTCGTATCGCTTAAACTGCTCCATATCACACACACTAAACTGGCCCATCTCTAAATCGTCAAGTGGATAATCCACTCTTGACTCCAACTTGGCCCATGATTCAAGATGAGGATTGAAAACAAACCGCTTGAGATGCACAATCAATATCTTGGGGAGTTTCCAAAGGTCTAGCTTCTTTAAACCATTGGTGTGTTTCTTGCAATTCCCACAATACCACTCGTCAACCTCTTCCTCTTTAAGATGCTGTTTGATGCAGTCGTAAAATGAGATACTACGTGGAGATTCATCGTCGATACACCCCGATATCGGCTAATATCAGTCATTTTTGATAAAAATAATATTGTTTAAAAACTGCTGGATTCTTTACCAGCAAATCATACTTGTGACAAATACAGACGTTTAATCTGGACACATTCTCCCATCATCATGCTTGCAACATACCTTTTGAATTTTATCCAGATCCAATACCTTGCAAAAAAGATTGCAGTTTTTCCACAAAAGTGACACATGCTGCTCTCCACCTCCAAGGTATATCTTTTCAATCCCATCATGATCCTCATTATTATCCGAATGGATAGTAAAAAAAGGTTCTTCTATCTCCATTAGCACTTCCAGCGTTATCCCGCAAACCATTTGTCTGCAAAGTTGTGCAAATGAATCAAAATATTATTAAAAATCATCGTGTATACTCTTGTCTAATTGCAATACATCAGCCAAAATAACTGCACCATACCTGGAGTAAAGTTGCTTAAAAATGGCAATATATAATTCTCTGTGCGTATAAAGTGCCTTGGGAAGAGTTATAAGAATAGGAAATCCAACTGACTGATTACAGCCATGTTGTTCATCTCCATCGCTTGCTTTACTAGCACTGTCTTGATCTTCTAATGTAGTCACAAATTGTGATATACACAGGTAAGTTTGATCATACGGAACTTCGTAAATTATTATGCTTGGAGTTGTGTCAGCAAAAGAGAGATAGTCCTGCACTACACCGCTTAATTTATCAAGTTTATGAATCGTGTGTTGATCTTGGAGAAACCCACACATAAGCTAGAATAGTCAAAGGTTCAAAAACAAGCACAAATTAAAATTCAAAAGCCGCACGCAAATACGCTTCAAACACCCACATGTCAACAACTTACATTTTCAGTCTGAGTATTGTATGCTTTGGATATCTTCTCTAGTAAATCATCCATCGACATCAGCGCAGGCACAGAGAGACGATTCCAATGCGGGGGGTGGCCAAATGGCGTAAAATAGAAATGAAAATCAACATTAATCTGAGGAATCTCCATACTCAGATTCATAAAGGCGTCAAACTTGATAGATGATTTGCCACATGCTTTGCATTTGATCCGACTCTTGTATTGGCCTTGGAACATGTCAACAACGATCGAATCATTCCTTTTTGCATGAGCATCCCAGTAAATTGCGGCAACTTCTGTCGAACAAACGGAATCATCGAAATCGGGAAGTTCAATGCACGGCTTATGGAAAATGCGATTCACATCTGAGAATTTACATTCGGCGAATCACAGCGTAAATTAATACAACAGCTATTATAAATCAACAAGCATTTATAATAAAGTAAAGCATATGGCCAACAACAAAACACCACAGTACTATACCCTCATGAAGCTCATCCAATATAAAATTAAGAAATTCTTGTGCATCCTGCTGAGTATATGAATCATACAGTGCCCAACATTTTGATAAAGTTCTTTTCAATGCTTGTGGGAAAAAAGGGCGTGAGCATAAAGTCAAATCTTTGAGTAATTTTGCAAACATTTCTGCCATTTGCCCCTTGCTGTTGGAAAGCGGATTCTCTCGGTTGAGATGACTCATAAACGTTCCATCTAGAAACAGTGTAATAAAATAGGTATATAAATACAAGCCAATTAATTCATTCCTGGTGGCTAAAATGCTGAAATATAATACTATAAACTAAACTTTGCATATAAACAAGTAACCATGTGGAGTTTAGTAATGCATCAACATACCGATAAAATATGCTGAAAATTCAGGAATGCTTGCCAGACATTGAATGATATTAATAAAATAACAGTCCTAAATCAAAAACCACAAATACAGTAGCTATTCAGCATCTTCCAATTAAATATATCCATTACAAAACACTATAATGCAATAACACCCACCACTCCTTCGTTCAGTAGTCCACACCACACATTGGCTGAGATATTTGACATAGGTAGTTGAGATACCGATGAATTTTCGTTTAATGATGACGTAACAGCAAAATCCGGATCAGTTGAGTCTACTGTAGTTACACTAGATTGTGTATCTTTTATATCTACATAGAGCTGAGACATATATACAGGCGAAAGATGGCGTGATGATCGAGGTGAATCCTGTTTAAGTCGTATATGCAGATAAACACACACATGTCAAGATATGCAATGATAATATAATTGGTGAAAAATACTTTACCGATAAATCAGACAATTCATCCAAGTGCAACATAGCATCCGTTTCCTCGGCGATATTTTGCTTTAGTGTAGCATCGTTCATTTCAGCAAAAAGAGCTTCGTCAATCAATGATTCATTGTCAATTTGAACAGTTTCTGCAGTCTAAATACCCAATTAAAAATAAACAACCCAGCCGATACAGCGCATCGTAGAATAAAATCAAAATAGCTTACCATTGGTTGATTGTGAAAATCTACAAGTTCCATATCAATCTTTTTTGGATACGGCTCTGCAATGCTTTTAAATAAAGTCACCTCTATTTTATATCGGTTAACACACTTTTCGTACCTATCTTGAGCGATTGGCAACTCAATCATGATTTTCAAAGCCTTTTTCCATGCAGGAAACGTGATCATTGGATATCCATCAATAAATACCAACTTTGCGTCAGCTTCAGTTAAATTCTTGATATAGATACAAAAGACTAGCTTTTCTTCTGTTTGATAAAAGTCAGTTTTTGGTATGCTATTCAAAGAAAACATGCATATTCAATTATACAAAAAATCGTTAGTAAACGAAATGTATTGGCAGTTATAACGGGTTTAAGTTGACAGAATCAACAGCCAAAAATTGCAATTGTGACGAGTTGAATAGCTTGCCTGGTTAAATCTGGTACCAAATTTTTTGATTCACATGCGACTGTCTTGATGTCCTTAGAGTCCACATCTAGTTTACTATCGCGACGAAATAAAGAATCTTGAATAGAGCCTATCGCGACATGAGGTATACTGGTTTGAAAGCATATGGTGGATGTTTCTGGTCCAGCCATCATATGAGCATCAGCAGTAGATTCTGCACTGGGAAAATGTGCTGTATCAATGCTTTCCCCATTGGAAAGAGATTTTGGACTAGCTTCTTTAAACAGCTTGGCTGGTACTTTGCCATTGGTTGCGACAGCTCTCTGTAGATCTTTTATGGATGCTGCTATATTAGCGGCAATGCATGCCTTTTGTTCTTTTGCTGAAATATTGTATTGACTAAACAATTTAGGAAGCTCATCTTTGTACGTGGCTATAGGGGAAGTTGACAGATACGCTACAAGTGAAGCTATAGCTTCTTCAAAAGGTGGAATTGTAGTTGGCAGATCACTTGGTCGGCTGGTGGCATGTTTTTTTGGAATAGATGTAGACTCCCTTTCTCGCTCACTATTAGAATCAGTAGTCATTTCTGTTGATTGCTATTATGAAAATTCATACATGGTCCGACCAGTAGATGTTAGTACACTATTCTGCCATTGTATAAGTTGTGGTCTAAAAATAATTATACACCTGATATGAAATGACATATTTAAACTAACCTGCATTAGCTTCTTGCGTTTTTTATTTTGCTTCTGGCAAAGCTTGATTGAGTTTGAACTGGCAACAAGATTTTTGTTATCCCCAAGTAAATTAGTGCTGCGAGATGTATAAGCAGATGGAGTTTCATCATTAGCAGTTTTTTTCAAACCAGCATTTTTTTGTGTATTGGTATCACTTGCATCCGTATTTTGAGATTCTGCAGCAGCCACAGCATCGTAGATGGCAGCTGCGGCACCGGATTCCCGATAATCTTTGAGTGATTTGAGTGAAATTGCAGGTTTTTTTGGCGACAGAGATAATGAATCCATGCTTTCCACTGGAGATGTAGGCATATGGCAGTGTATCTTGAGTAGATTAGCTAAAATGCTGGGACGATCGCCAGACTTGAACTGAGCCACTTTGTTATTAGCTAAATCAAATCTCACTTTCCCTCTTGAAGATAGAGACGAATGGATCGAGTTGTTGGACGGTATATTTTTTGAGCCTTTCTTGCTATTGTTGCACTTTTTTTGGGCAAGTGATGCTGGACTTGGACTGATAGGAACAGGCGGAGGCTCAAGACAAGCAGAGTCTGTGGAAACGGACTTTACAAAGTGCTCTGATACTGTGCTAAGCTTCTGTTGGTCAAGGTTAAGCTCTTGAGTAGAAATAGTTTGTTGAGATAAAAGAGTTACACAAGCGTCAATAGTAGTGTCGCTGTCTGGAGTATCCACAGCAGCCGATGCTGGATTCTTTCTGTTAATAGGATGCCGTTTAGAATTAGTATAGTGGCCTTTGCCGTACTTTTTAGTCTTCATAGTCAATTGGCTACAAAAAACCTCCTGATAAGGCAGACAAGTGTATTGACTATGCACTCCTATTGGCTAGGACAGTTCCAACTCGTCGGAGTGTCGAATAATTTATTTGATTTTCCAGTAATTTTCGCTGCCGAAACAAAACTTGGGCCAAAATCTTGTTCATGGCAACAACTCCGATTACAAGTCACTGGTCGTCATCAGCAGCCAAACTCAACCATCAAGATAGTCTGAAAATGCATGAATCATTTTAGATATGCAACTGACCTGTAGATGGAAGCCGATTCTATTTTATATTGCTCCAACATATAACGCATCAGGCTAAATCAGTTCAAAACATTCTGTATCTTTTTCATTTCATCACACTACTGGAATCCCTGCTTCTGTATACCCATCAGCAGCTGGTGCAGTAGCCATGTCGTTGTCGTTGTCTTTGCCTTTTTTACCAAAGTCTCGAATACGCGCAAATGCCTCGTCCCGAATCGCTCCCGACCCATCATCAATATAATTGAAAAAGTCTTCTTCACATGATTTTATCAAATCCTCCAGTGCTGATCCAGTTGGTTTTGATGCACCAGAATTGGGACGTTTTTGAGCTGCCTTGATTCTTTTTTCTCTGGCAGAGCTCTCTAATGTCTTTTCACGTTTGGCCTCGCGTTCCAACATCTAAATTGCATCGGTTGTTGATCAAATAAAGCATTGACTGAGTTCACTAAACTGCTTAAATCAACCACTACTGTGTTTAATAAACATATAGCTGGTATTACCTGTGAAAAAATAGATTTTTCGTTGTTTTGCAATTTAGCAAGACCATCAGACAGTTCAAAAATAGTTGTAGACCCATCTTGAGCAGAAGCTGCAAGGATTCTACCATGCTCTTGTGCCTTGATGCAATGAATGGGGGAATTGCACACCTAGGGTTTAAATAAATATCAAACTGTTGATTAGAGTTTTCAAGCATATGGATAGTAATTTATAAATATTGAGCATAACAGTATACCTGAACAGTGAGAGTTGGTTCGTTTTGCTTGAAAATATAATCCCATATATCAAGTGTGCCGTCTCTCTTGGATGTAAAGAATACAGATGGACGTGTTGGACTCCAACACCCATCGGTCAAGTACTGCATGCTGTATTTGGTAGACATAATAGGCGATTTTACATCTTCTGCCCAAATCTGATTGTTGCGCAATAAAAAATTTGATTAAAATTGAGCATCAAAAATAAAAGCCAAAGTTTAAACAGATTCTTACTTGTGCTTTCCAATCGCCAATAGTCAAAAAGTTTTTGAGGAAAAATGGATTACGCTAGGAATCAGTGAATCATGTTAGTTTATGTCACAATGTGCAGCGTTATAAATGGCTGCCGATATTTTTTGTATATGAACCCGTATCTCGTTACCTGAAGTGCACATATTGGACCATGATGACCTGGGTAAATATGTGTAATCTTTTCGGATGGATTTTTGGCTTTTTTGTTGCACATGAAAATACTGCCGTTTTCTGATCCAACCATAAACTTGGTTGGCTACAACATGTCATGCGTAAAAGCAAGTGTTTTCAAAAACAAATAGACATTAGCTGCTTTTGCTACTCAGCATACTGCTTCCAACTCTGCCACTTACCATGGTAGTTTCAAAGTCCAAAACAGTACCTCCGACAATACTGCCATTTTTTTCGGGATCAATAATCATCGTTTCAGTTGGTTCGCTCAGCTTTCGAATATCCCACCACAAAACCTGTCCATCAGTTGACACTGAAAAAAATTCACAGCCTAACAGGTATATCTAACATATTAGCCATTCAGAAACTTTGAATACTTGACCATGTTTCAACATGCATTTTACCTGACTTGGACTGCACCCACGAAACATTGTATACTGGATCGCGATGACTTTTTTCAATGGGTGATGTATCTACTGGAAATGATCCTTTACGTGTATCCCAATATGCTAGAAATAGTATATCAAACAACATAAACAATAATCTCTATTTAATCAAACAAATAATCAAGTAAATTGCAGCATACTATCCACGTTGATAATAAAGCAAATTAAGAATCTTACACAAGAGTCCGTTGTACAATCCACCAACAAGAATATGTGGATCTTTAGGATTGTATTTGATGCTTACAATTGGTGATGCTGGTGACAAGGTCTGTTCAGGAGTGTTTGGGTTTTCAACATCCCAAATATACGAATCTAAACACATGTTGGCAGGCATTTTTTGAAAATCTAGCACAGAATATGCCACCGCGATTTTATGTCCATCGTCGGGATACCATGACAAGTAGGATGCTGGCCTTTTGATAGAATTAGGATCTCTAAATAAAGTGTGAGTAGACAATGATGAATTTGGTGTGTTTGCACAGATGTAGTCTATTTTTCAAATTGATAATATATACAGACCTGTATACATTGATTGATTTGGCAGCTGGCGGTTCAGCTGAAATATTATCTACTGCATCAACAAAATATTCTTCATAGATATCAATTGCATTGTTTTGCTTGATACAGTGCTCCATGGACTAAAAAATACAGACGCAAACAATAATCAGTATATTGATTGGATTTGGTAGCAAATCTATAAAACTCACATCTCCAAGAGATTTAATGGCACGCATGTATTCTTCATCCTTTTCTATCTTTTTACGGTAACGGATAGTGTGCTCAACATCAGTTGGATCGACATCTTTTGGCCAGCCACCTTGTGTATGCAGAATACCTCGATTGGTAAAGGAAAAACTTTCTGTATTCACCTAGTGTTGGTGGTGATAAACAACGCCCATTATGCTCTGTTAGTGCATTGACAATTATAATGTAATGGATTCCTTTAAATCAATCTGGAAATAGACATATGCAATTGTGTAAGACTGGTATTGCTCATAGTCTGTTCAAATTGGATGATAGTTTATGCAGGTATCGGCGCGTCTAATACCATCAGATATAACCTCGTTCAAGATAAAGCATATGGACTTTAGTCCAAGCTATAGTAGATGGCATAGATAAATCTACCAAATACGATACATTCATTATAAAAACGAATGTACATGCAGAATCAAACGGCATGTTTTTCTATATGGAGGTGGTTCCAGATTCAGTACACTCTACCTCATGCTCCGACTTTTCAGGAGCACATTGCACTTCCGCTTGGCATGGGTTTCGTTCAACATAGTTTTTGATATAGGCTGGTTCTGGAGGAATATTAACAGCCAGCTCTGCTGAACGCTCTGAAAAAAGAGGTTGTTTTCCAAACTCTTTACGTTTTCGCTGGTAGACGTATACAATTTCCATGTTGGATATGTATTGAATCAAGTGTTGGGTTGGACTGCTAAAATTGGTCGCGTTGTCGAGTTCAAAATTAAAGACGAAAGGGATGAGAACGCATAATATATATTTATATTTCAACAACTAGATTTGCCATGGTTTGAAGCCATCCTGATGGCATCAAGCAGACTGCAGCAGTCGCATTTCAAAACCAAGAATGCTCCATTTTTAACGCTGTACGACTGCTGTACGTAGATTTAAACCTATGCACATCTGTTATAGTTTGGTAAATATTACTTTGATTTTATAGTTTAGCTGGTAGTATTGTATGGAGCTGTGTTGAGTGAGAAAACACTGGATATGCCCCATAAAGTATATAAGAAAGCACAGGTTTCCAGAGTATTTGCTGATTTGTGCTAAAAAAGAACCCCATATGGCCTACAGATTCTATCCCAAGATCTATACGTGGATCCAAATGCCTCCAATCTACATCAGCACTCTTAAGTAGCGAGGCAAAGTCAGATATGGCTTGCTTGCTAATTAATGCGTCGTCGGAAAAAGACAGCAGTAACAGTGGATTCTTCCATTCAGAAGTAGCTTTGGCATATTTTGGTTGTCGAGCTAAATAGCTGCGAGATCGAGACCAGTACGACCACTGTCGAGCGACGCCTTTCGGAATATCTTCAATCTTGAGTAAACCCAACTCACGACAGGGTAGATAATTATACCACCATGCAAATCCGGGAAAGAGAACAAAATGTGCCAGTGCCAGTGAAGGAATATTAGACAGTCCCTGAGCAGCATAATAGGCAGATCCACATGTAACAAATAGAGATCTGGCAATATGTTTTGAGAGTGGGTTGATGGTGGCAATATGCCCTCCAACACTGTGACCAATAAGAATGATATCGCTGGTTGACCCAAAACGAGAGTGCATATACTTTATAATGGCTGGCTGGTCCCAAAATGCCCAGTCGCTAATGTTTGCCTTGAATCCGACAAGAGTGCCCTCTTTAGGGAGAGATTCACCAATGCCTCGATAATCATACGATAGTACTGCATCGACTCCATTCTGAACCAAAAAGGCTGCAAAAGGAAAGTAAAACTTTTGGAGTGCTCCTGTTGCTGCATTGATAATAACTACTATGCGTTTAGCTAAAGACGGGGTTGCATTTGTAGGTTGAGATTGAAATAAAGTTGCTCCTAGAGAAAAGCCATCTGCTGTTGTTATTGCCAGTTTAGTCTGAGAGAATGCTGCCATGGCAAAGTTGTTCAATCTGAAATGTCAGATCCATAAGAGCTTGTAACCAAGGATCGTCGCGTATTTGTTTTAGCTTTGCCATTCTATGGGATATACACAAGTGGCTATTGTAGTGTCACGAATAAGTAGTTTCATTTCCCCAGTTAAATATTGGATGGCCAACATTATATATTCTAATCCTTTGAACAAGTGCAATCTTTTCACAGTCTTGTTCAACTAAAAAGCTTATGGGTTTATTGGCTACGAGGGATTACATAGCATAATTAGTACCCTGGGATCTGAGTTTATACTGGCTCCGTGTAGTTTCCAGGAACATATCCTTCCTTGCCATCATATCGACAGCGCCACCATCCATCATCTTGCTTTTCAATCACATCTAAAACTAGACCTGCTTTCACGGACATTTCTTGAGATCCAGCAGCAGCCTCAAACTCAAACACTACTTTGCATCGATCAATAATAGGTCCACCAGCCAACTTCTCCATTCCAGGGTTGCAGATTGACGACGATAGTGGCATCAACGGAGCGTTACCGGTTGGGGATTGAGTTGGTTTGATTGATGAAAAACTATTTTGGGATGGAGACATTTTACTCACCATTTCAATCACGCTGGGTGTACCAAAATTTGAAATGGTTAATGGACTGGCTGTAGTCACACGGTTTTGAACAGCGATAGGCGCATCGGGAGGTGAAACACCATCGACTGTAGCTACGTAAACCAGTAACTTGTGTCGTTTCATCATGAGTGTGTCAATTCGTCGCTCCAACAGCAACTTTTGCTCCACAAGGTCATCCATGACTTTTGTATCCCCTGCAGCCGACTATAAAATGACCGTGTTTAAAACATGATAAATTGTTTGAGCAGTTAAATTCAATGGAATCAAGAGTATCATACATAAGTCATCACTGAGTAGTACCTTTTCTTTGTGAGCATGAATTAGACTTTCGATTCCCTGACGCTTTTTTTCAACCTCGGCAACTTCTTTTTCATGTATCTTGGCACGATCTACTGCTTTTTTACGACCTTGTTTAGCAGGAAGAACAACGATTTGGTCCTCAATTTGATCTTCATAGGTATCCTCACGGGTTTTGCTTAATCCTCTGAGAAATGTTCTTTTGCTATTCTCAGTCTCCTGCGTATCGCTCATGAAAAAGTCTTTGGGCAATGGATCATTGGATTGAAAAGATCGAATAAATAGTTCCATGTCCGCTTTGCCATTGATATTATTGACCGTATCAGACATTAACTGATAAGATTTTTCAACCTTTGGGCCATTAGAAATGTTGAAATCAACGTAATTACGAAGAGCGGTTTGGCAAAATGTTGTTCTGTTGTCCATATCAGCCCCTTGAATACACTGCAATTCATAGTAAAATAGACAGAAAATGTAAACATTTTGAATAATTGACATTGCATACAAGCTAAATAGTTCTTACATCGAGCAGATTAGGAAGAATTTCGTCAAAATGCTTGTTTTTGAGCTCGTTACTCTGAATCATGCATTGTTTGTAAGCAATAGATGCTTCTTGGGCAGCAGTGGCTTTTTTATCTGCTTCAAGCTTATGCTATATTGGTTTTAACCGATATAGTTTGAATTAGAATATGCAGTGTAAAAAACATAGTAAACAATAAAAATTACCTGGTCGATGATCTTTTTAGTGGAATTGTGATCAGCACTAACTTTCTCATAGGCTTCCTTTGCTGCATCCATGTCTTTCATGGCTTTTTCGTATCGCTGTTGTACTTTTTCAAGATTATCAACAGTCTTCTTTAATTCTCCACTGGCTTTGCGAATATCATCAAAATACTATCATATTTAGAATACAGCATTCACACGATATGAAAAATAATTAGATGCAATGCATATTATACTGTATCTTTGCTGATTTACTAGTTACATATAGATACAATTGTAAAGTTACCTGCTTGTTTATTTTCTCATTGTCTTTAGCTCGATGCTTGATGTTTTTGCGTACATCTGCCTCAATTTTGTCGCAAACTTCAAGTTTGTAATTGGCAATGGCTTCTGTCTCGTTCAAAATCAACATCCAGGTTTGGGACAATGTGCTGAAAGTTTAAATTGATATTTATCATTAGATATCCACCAGCAACGTCAAGATATGAGCAAGGCAATAGTGTGATTTATTTACCTTCCAAGAACAGCCTTGTTGAAATTGGAATTGACTTTCTCATTAAGTTTACGAGAAATCTCCTCTTTGTGCTGTTTAGTCACTTTTTGCATATTTCTCGCAGCATCTGCTTGAATTGTCAGTATTTGCTTCATAAAGTCGTTGATTTTCTCCATAAATTGAACTCCATGCTCTGCATAGCTTTCAATTACAGGAACTTGATCCTATATTGTATTTAAATACGGTTACTTTGGGGGTTAAAAGGAGTTGGAGCGTACATTATCTGAACGCGTTAGATATACATATTGGCATATACAGACTGCTAGGGCTATATTTACAACAGGTAGGCACTAGCATGCTCCATTTACTGGAGAAAGTTTTTTAGAGATATAGATGATGAAGCTTGTAGTAATAGTAGAATAGAGCATTGTTTAAAGTTTCGATATGCTTTATTTTGAAAAAACTCACCCATAGATCTTTGCCAAATGACATTCTTTCACACTGCGAATACTTGCCGTGAAAAGCAAAGTATTAATACACATGCATTCAGCATCCTCAGGAGAAATGCTGGAATTACGGTTGAATCATAAATTATCCTGTTTGCGACCTTCCAAGTCAGTTCTTTTAGCCTAGGATTTACAATGGCCAGTCGTGTCAAAGACTCTGACGTTATATTGCCAGAAACACATGAGTTTTCTGATAAACCAAACCATAAACACCGCATCACACCTCGCTCTCAAGGCAAGTGGCTTGACTTTAAGCACAGATATTTTAGCTTGTCAAGACTATTCGCCTACCTACAATATCTTGACCACTTTTCAAAAAATATATTAATTAAAATGACATTTTTGGATACTTGCAATGAAAAAATATCATACTGGTACTTGATACACGTGAATAATACCTGTAGCTTTAATATACGAGATTCAACTAAAGGAAATCTTTGATGCCAACCCAGTTACTCCAAACAGAAATCGAGTAGATTGTTGTTTTCGTGTACTTAAAGATCTTGTTCCAAAAATTGGAACGTTTTCACAAGTTTTGGGAATTATCACTGAAGAACTTGCACGATCTGTATTTTCCAATGGGCTCACATCAACTAATCAAGAACCATTTATTGAAAGTATCCCATATTTCAGCTTAATGAATCAGATTGATGACGTGAGGTACGAGTGTAAAAATCAGTCCATGTATTCATAATAGGTGTGCATTAACGCTTCTTGTATCTGTGATACGATTGGAAATGTAGAGCTATAGAAAGTAACAAAACCCAAGAAGCGCTTGAAGATTTGCAACAAAGGGTTAAATTTCGCGACTACGATTTAACGGTTTTGTATAAAAAAACTCTATTTTTAAAGTATGCTTAAATGTTTTTGTATTTCAAGACAACAATGTTTCAAGACTAACTGGTTTAAATAGACAAGAGATTAACGAACGTGAACATCATGAAAAGCAACTTGAAAGAGATATTGCAAACCTCCAAACAAAAGTTCAGCAATATGAACGAGAAAAAAACGAATTACGCATTGCATCTTTACGCGAAGAAGAGGCTTTAAAAAGTGATATTCAAAAACTGCAGGTCAGTTTTTAATTATAGCTGGACAACATATTTGTAGTCCAATGATTTGAACACACCTTGAGTTGCAGCTCATTGGTTTATTAAAATAATTTTATTTGATATAGACCAATTTAACCCAGTCAAACAGTATCATTAAAAAACTCACTATGTTCAAAGCGGCATCTAATGATGGATCTGATGGTAAATTATATAAGCAACATGTCGTTTCATGAAAAAATATATATGTAGTTTTGACTTTATCTTATTCATTTGGGTCTGTTTAGAAAAAAAGCTGGACAGCGAAATCGATTCTAATAAGCATGATCTGATTTTCAATTCAAAAGTAAGTTTTGCTGCTACTTGATAAACTACAATTTATTGCAGGAATTCACAATACTAAATGACTTTGAACGTGCCTTGTATTTAACAAACGCTGTTATAGGGAATGGCTTCTTACGATCTCTACCAGGCCAAACAGTTTCAGCGACAGTTTGCAGAGATTTTGGATTTTCAGTTGGATGACTTTGATGCTAGTTTAGCACAAATCCGAAAAAAATACGAAATAATGCAAAGCGTAACAGGAAATAGCCAAACCAATCTTCAAAACCAGCAAGTTTATCAAAAAGAGGTAGTCATGACTTTGACTATGCTAAAACATATTCAAATAATGATTGATTGATCTGGCCATGAATGTATTCGACAATTACATTAATGCAGTTTGATTTATACTCAACTGATTGCAGCTTGACGATCTTTTAAAAAAGTTTGCAGCGCATATGCAAGAGTTGCTTGGTGAATTAAAGCTACTCGATATACATATCAAGGGACTAGAACTTGTTAATAACAAGCTTTCTGAAGAATCCAGTAATGCCACCATCGATAGTGTTGCAAATATAGCCTCAAGAAAGTACTCTGGAATTGTATGGTGTCATACTTGCAAATTCATAAATCAGAAAAATAGTATTATATACTGATTATTTTGCTTGTTGATAACATTTAATAGCTGCAAATTTCAAGTGATAACGGAGCCAGCTTTCATTCTTTCGGAAAGCTTAAATATTGTTCTCAATGTGGTGCTAGAGTAAGTTTTGTCCTTTTTGGATTCTCGTATTCAAATATAATTGTGCTGATTTTCTTATTTACAAAGCCAGTAGTATGCCCACATCAAGGACTGCACTCTGCGCCAATCAAACTTCCTCAAGGATGTACACATTTAAAGTTTATTCATCCCCTACTGCTAATGAGAACGACATTTAATTCAAAGGATTCTCCAGGACCTACATTAAATGTACTAGGTGGCCAGAACAATGACAAGACTTTTCAAACAGAAGACGAAGATAACAATGTAATTTTTAGCTGTGTATTTATTGTCGACTCGACCATGCATTGTGTTGGTTCAACCATCCTCATCGGTATATTAATTGACATCACCAATATTTTGCAGATCTCAGCAGCATTTCTCAGAATATGGGGAGAATACTACAGAAACAGAAATGGGTTCAAGCCAACGCTCAATCGAACGTACTCTTTGCAAAAGTTGCTCAGTTTTATCCAAGAAATTTACGACATGCGCTGGAAACTAGAGATCAAATATGACGAAGGCGAATTTTCTGAAGATACTGAGCTACCAACCTTTATTGTGGGTCAAGTTTTAAACTTTTGATCAATCAGATTAAAATCAATACATTATTAAAAGCTTTGTGTTACTGACATGTTTTGTCCATTTTTTAGAATTTCTTTTACAAGACGATTATTGATCGCTATCAAATTGAAGAGGTGGCAATCAAGGCTATACATGATATCTTTCATGGACTGCAAATCCACGAGAGCGCAAATCAGGTAATTTTGTGATATGGGAGATTCATCACTACTATTGCACACTGAGAGTGGTTTTAGCTATAGTTTTTAATAGTTTATTTGTACTTTTTCAAGATTGTAGGAATATTTGTAACCCATCTTAGTGGGCACGAAGATGTCATATGGAAATATCATTATATGGCAAAAAAGCTGATTTATAGCAAGTCAGAGCCCATGGATATGGTTCGGTATCGTCAAATCATTTTTATCATTTATCCCAATCAGCCAGTAAGCGAATGCAAGAGTTTGAGACATGGTTTTGACAGATTTAAATCTAACTATATTTGTATGTCAGAGGGAAATGTATGATCAGATGGAACTCGAGTATATTGCGTACTGCAAAAACAAGGTTTCAAAAGAATCCATGGACGATCATTTGGTGCACATGCTGCATACCGGAATTGAACCCAATTTTAAATTTGTAAGTAAATACAAGATTTATCGCAAGTCATTGTAAGATTTAACTCGGCTGACTTTAACATGAATGATTTAGTTTTTTCGATGTTTTCAAAAGTTTGATTATCAGAAAAAAGGATATCTGGCATACGAAGACTTTGATGAAGCTTTGACACAGATCCTGCCTTCAGCATCAAATCGTGAACGACGGGTACGATATAAGCTTGCAGAACTGGATGGAAAAAAGGACAAGGTTACAATTGATCGTTTGGCACACATTGCAGCATATATAATCATGTACAGCTGCTATATGAGCAAGTGGGCAATACAATCGCTTATTTCGACAGATTTTATTGAATTTATGGGAGGAAGAGATTCAGCTAGCAGTACTGCTGAATTCCAAAATAACAATGGAGATTATTCTAATTGGAAATCATGATGTAAGATCTCGTGCATTGTACTGCAACGTATTTACATAAAATGAAATACTATCTTGCAGTGATGGCCTTTGGAAATAAACAATGGTTAAATATTTATTGCGCTTTCATACTAGAAACTGATTGCTTCAATAAGTACAACGTCCATCATATGATGAATACCATCAAATCATTCACTTTTGACATAACCATACATTGTAATGCTTGGTTTGGAGAGTTTGAAACTAAACAAGTTCAAGATTTACAAATCAGACGTGAATGCTGTTTTAAACACTCGTTCAGTCTATACAAAAACGAGCACAAAGAAAGATCGTCTTGAGTTTAAAAGAAAATACTGTCTAGCGAATGTTCGTGTCATTCAATCAACTGTTAATGTTTTGCGTGAATACGACTGTAATAATGGGCCAGACCGAATAATTCAACTCGAGATTTGGTCAATGGACGAATCAAACAAAAACAAAAACTTTGACTTGCAACTCGCAATAAGAACTCGAGTGGAACAAGAATGCTAGCCATGCTGTTATCTGCTCGCTCTTTGGCTGCTCGATCTATGAGCTCGGCTGTTTATACTGCTTCCATGGGCATCCGTGCAACCGGTAATCTATCCACTTGTGTATTTAAATCCATCAAGCGTCCGTGTGGCATCCACTTTGAGTTGCATTGTTGCTGCCCTTTGAGTCCAGCAACACATGCACTTCTTGCTGAACACTCTCTCTTTATAGTACTTGCTTTTGAACAGGAACTGTACTAACTGTATGTACCTGCACTTATTATGGCATTCAAAACCATTTTAAATTCAACGCTGCATTGACCTTTTTGATGGGATATTCTTGTCTGTGCTTCTCACCCTCCAATAACCCATGCAGCCTCTAGGCAGTATGCTACCCAGAGTATTGAATCTATCGTCAATGCACGCCGGAAGTATGCCGCTAGCATCAATCCGCAGGATCAGTACAAGCAGCCCGTGCTTGACAGAGTAGCTCAAGAAATGTTCCTAACCGAGATCTTGCGTACTATGTTTGTGGTTTTCGAGCAAATGTTCAAGCCGCCTTATACCATCATGTATCCCTTTGAGAAAGGCCCTCTTAGTCCCCGTTTTCGTGGAGAGCATGCATTGCGACGATATCCTACAGGTATGACCAATGCATTTCAATGCACTTTTATTGGATTGTCAGAAATTCAAGCGAGTGTAATTTGATTGTTTGCTGATCTCAATACTCTATGGATATACTACTTCTGGTAGGTGAAGAGCGATGCATTGCATGCAAGTTGTGTGAAGCCATTTGTCCCGCTCAAGCCATTACTATAGAGGCAGAGCCTCGTGAGGATGGTAGTCGTCGCACAACTCGCTATGACATTGACATGACCAAGGTATTTCAGTCTATTCATTTCTATTGCTTTAGCGATCACATTCTAATATATATCTATGCAATCATACTGTAGTGCATCTATTGTGGATTTTGCCAGGAAGCTTGCCCTGTTGATGCTATTGTTGAGGGCCCCAATTTTGAATACTCTACGGAAACTCATGAAGAACTTCTTTACAATAAGGAAAAGCTTCTCTCGAACGGTGATAAGTGGGAGGTATGCAATCTGATTGGGCTCTACTATTAAATTCACAATATGTTTTATACTGTAATATGAACAAGAGTTTGATTTTATGATGCCGATTGTTTGATTTTAGGTTGAAATTGCTCGAAATCTCAAGTCAGATCACTTGTACAGATAGTTGCAATGCTGAGCACTGATGGTTTTTTGTTTGACATTCATATAAAGTCTCTTAATGTTTTGGGGCACTCTTTAGTAATTTTGGGGTGTTTAATAATGATCTTGGATTGAGAGACTTATAATCAGCATTGTGTTGGGATTTCTAAAAGTATTGATGCATTTCAACTTTTTTCAAGTATAGTGTCTGATTAATAGTTTTGTTTTAAATATGGATATTTGTATCTGCCAATCATTCAGTCAAGTTGGCACGCAAATGTATCCAGTCTATATTATGGATTGCATATTCATGACTCGCTATCGATGCACGTTTTATTTTTTAGCTTCATAACACTTGTAAATTGTGACCTCTACAACTGATACAAAATTACATGTAACAAAAGCTATTCTATTTTACAGTTTGTAAAATTGGCTCTTTGATCGGTGCCTTGTCTATTGGTTGTTCTTGCCCATACTTGGTGGATGTAATGGTCACATCCATATCCGGAGTACATGTCATGCATTCTTTAAGATTCAAAACTCTTCGTCGTTCATCAACGTACTTTGACTGGTCAAGAATAAGCTGTTTCTGTTTCTGCTCAAAATTGCTAATTTGTTTTGCAAACTGTAACTTGTGCTCTTCTTGTATCTGAATTTCCATTTTCAACCGCTGGTTTTCGCGATATGCTGTCGTGGTTGCCTTGTTAATGAATGACGATAACTCCTGTTGTAAACTCACGTTAGTACACATTGAGCTACTCATGGGTTTTATGTGAATGCTGTTTGAATTCAACATTAATGCAGATAGAATCTAGTACTTACTGTTTTGGCATCATCAATGATTTGCATGATGCGATTAATCACAATTTGCTCAGCTTCCCGTTCTTCAATCTTGAATTTTTCTTGATATTCCATTTGAAGTCGTTGATACTCCAAAAGCATCTGCTCTTTTCGTTCATATTCTGCAGCAACTCTTTTTGCAATGACCTCTGGATCCAAAAACGTCATATTCTAAATGCATGCAAGTTATAAAAAATTCTCATTTAAAATACAGTATAGTAGATAATTTCGTAAAGTACAATCTCAGTACTTGCTTTAAATTCTTTCAGATCTATGTGCTCTTGAACCTGCTGGTTGTATCGGTTCTTTGTTTCCTCTAGTTTGGTTTCTTTTGCTGAACAACATAAGTAATTGGTAAAAATTAAGACAGTTGGATAAGCGTTTGATTGAAATAAACAAGCTACAGATTGGCATTGCTACCACTCAAAATAACAAGAAAATCAATAGATACCTTGAATACTTTCATTTCCCGATCGAATAAGTGTAGCATATGCCTTTGCAAGTCGTTTTCGTTGCACATTTCTTTCTCTTTGCAATCGTTTAATCATGCTATCAGACTCTTCGTTTTTGAGCAAAGTGGATGAGACTCGCCTATTGATGTCTGCAACCACATTTTCATACTCGGCCTTCAATTTTGTATTTTCGTTTTTAAGATCCAACATTGATTTATGATAGGTATTCAGTGATGCCATATGCGTGATGATATATACGCGGGATTCTTCTAATGCCTGCACCTTGTCTAGCATTTTTTGTTTGAGCATCTCCTTGTGTTTTTTGCGCAGTCGACCCATGGATCGAGAATTCTTACTTACCACGGCAAAGCGAGAGGGATTTTTGTCAATAAGAAATTCATCCATTTGACCCGTTTCGGTTGCATGAATGGCTGCTGCTAATGCTTTGCGTGCACCTACACGCAGGTTGCGTCCGCCCATAAGAAACCGAGCATACACGTCGCCTGGACCACGAAATGCTCCTGTAGTGTCACCAAGAAGATTTAGCTGTGATTCTGTAAGTGATGTCAGAGGATTTGGATTTGTTTTAGGTTTTAGTGTGTTGTCAGTTTCGTCAATCTCCTGTTTGACTGGATGTGCCGCGACTATTTTTTGTCCAACTCTTGGATCCAGAATATTAGGCTTGATACTTGGTTTTCTGTCAGGATTAGCTTCAGTTTGATGAAAAGCTGGTCTAGTGTTCATGTCTTCCGATTCCTGGATATTTTGTTTGAATAAAGTTGCATCTTGATTTTCTTTTTGACTGCCATTAGAGTCAAAAGATGTTTCTTGCAACATCATATTTGCTGCAACCTTTTCCAGCACATTGCTCAAGTTTTCAAATGTGTTGGTATTCGGAGCCTTGTCTTCAGCTTCTCGTGATTGTTTGGATTCATCTTTACTACATTGTGCAGAATATGTTTTTGATAGTTCAAAAACACTTTCATCGTCGTCGTCATCTTCGCCGTCACGAACAGCAAGTAGCTCATCTATATCTGACTCTTCGTGATCTTCATCACTTGATACGCTTTTTGGAGACTGGGAAGCAGTATCCACTTGATCATTTGTCACTGCGGTTGTCATTTCCAATTTTGTTTTTAAAAGCCCAATCCGTTGAGCCAGTCGTCCTTTCATATCTGCTTGAAAAACAGCTTGTCTTCTAGTCATGTCCATATGTGTTTTAAGCTTGGAAATCTGACTTTGGTTCAAATCTTGAGGTAATTGATGTTTACTGGGTTTACGGACCGAAAGAAGCGGTCTGGGTTTGAAATGCATGGATCCTCGAAATGTTTTGCTCAAAGAAAGTGAATCGATTTTAGTTTCTTTGACTGGTAACTGCTTGGGAGCTGGTGTGGTTGTTGGCTGACCATCTTTACTTTTTAACAAAGACTTTTGCTTGGTATCTGGTTTAATGCGTGGCAAAGCAGTATTCTGTTTTGTAACTGAACTAAAAGCAATCAACATGCAAGAATATTAAAAAGCGGTATACAATAAAGTTTGATAATGATATACTGATAGTCATACTGATGATCATACCGATTGCTATTGTTGAATGGTAATTCTGCCTTTTTTGAATGGTGTTTTATAGGTTTGGTGGGTGGAGCAACCAATGAATCTATATTTTTTGATTTGATTGGTTTGACAGATCCAGTATCGGGATTTTTCAAAGCAGTATTGTTGTTTGATCCAGAATCTGATGCTTGTGTTGAAACATAGACTATTTGTGGTGACTTTGAGTCGAGCCTGGATGGTAAAGCTGGAGTTTTTGAAATGTTCAACTGGTGCGAGTAGTATTTTTTGGGCAACTTTTTCAAAGCATCAGGAATGCACGATGCAAGGCTGTTTTGGGATACGCTGGGGATAAAAGACATAGTTAAAGGATGCTCTTTTCCAAACACTTTTGATGGCAATGCCTGTTGAGTTGTATTGATTGAATTTGATGGCTTTCCAGATTCAGGTTTGTCGAAATCTACAAAATGAATGGAGCGAGTGAGTTGTCGTTTAGATAACGCCAATGATGGCTCCTGAAAACTCAATGAAGTCTTTATAGATTCCACTGTAAATTCTGGTGTTATTATGTTTCCATTCTGTTTCATTGTATCTGCTGGTTGCTGGATTTGACTTTGACCTCCAAGACTCGAGATATCGCCTGGCTTGTCAGCTGTGGATTGAACATGCAGTCTATCAGATGCATTTTGCATTTTTGCCCAGTCCTCCCATTGAGGAATTCTTCGTTTCGTGAGAATGGGATTCGGAGTGATTTTGAGACCACTCTGGTTTGCTGGTCGACTTGGTCTTTGCGACATGCTTCATAAAGCCTATTCAAATTGTCAGTCAAATCTGATGGCGACAATTTGGAAATTTTATGTTTTTCTTCCCGACTGCAGATAAAGATAACACTTTAAAGCAATAATATCTGCATTTTATTAATGAGTGCTGATATACAAATGGTACCGCAGGAATCCGATCACTCCAAAGATAGTGGGTTTGTTCTTGATCCAGATACGTTTAAAAAGATTCAACCACTCGAGTATCACCGTCGGTTTATTCAGGAAGGTGTGCGTGCGGATGGACGGCCATTGCTTCATTTCAGAAACACAGAGCTTGACTTTGGTAAGTCTACTATGAGGATCTGCAATTGGCCTGCTGAATTGTATCGAGTTTATTGTTGGTCAATAGTCGACTTTGAATTTAAACACTGTATCTGAGTGATCCTGATGTGCTGATGATACTATTTCCATATTTATTATAGGTCCAATTACATCTGCTAGTGGGTCAGTATCTGTTAAAGTAGGAGACACATCAGTGATTTGTGCCATCAAGGCAGAACTTGCAGAGCCAGCGCCTACTTTGCCCTATCAAGGCTATCTTGGTAAGTGATTTGGTTCTGTATTGACTAATTTACGCATGCTTATACTCGTCAATTAAACAATTTGAAATGATTGCTCTTGTATCGTAGTGCCCAATGTTGATCTGCCTGCTCTTTGTGCATCTCATTTTCGACCTGGTCCACCTTGCGAGTTGGCACAGAGCATCAGCACATTTTTGAACAACATCATATCTAGGTACCAGCTGGATTGAATTTTTATTTCGACGAGCAATTGGCTAATCTATGATTGCTTGCTCAATAAGTGGTAATGTTTTAGATCTAGAAAGTCTGTGTGTTGTACCTGGGAAAGTTGTGTGGGTTTTGTACGCAGACATTGTTTGCTTGAATTATGCTGGTAATATTTTCGATGCTTCAGTTGATGCACTTATAGCTGCACTTTGCAATGGTATGTTGCTTTCGATATTATTTTGACTGAAAACATCAGTTTTAATTCTGCATTTTTAAGAATGCTGAACATGTACTAATATGGTTTGATTTAATTACTAGTCAAGTTGCCCGAAGTAACTATTTCAGATGAATCTGCTCCGGTTATTAATAATTTGCCAGCTAAACCGCTGAAACTGAATCGCATTTTAATCTCATCTACATTTGCCATATTTGATGGGTATGCAACATTGAATGCCGAGAATTATTGCTTGATGCGTTTTTAAAATGACTGCAGGATTAACTCGATATACTTGATTACAGACAAACACTGCTGGCTGATCCTACACACGAGGAAGAACCACTTGTGTCTAGCACTGTTACTATTGTAGTAGATGACAAGGACTGTATTTGTGCGATTCATAAGCCAGGCGGTGTTTCCATAACTAAAGCAGTCATTGATGAGTGTTTGACACTTGCTAAATCCCGCACACCATCATTTATGAAGCTGATCTCAAATACAGTTTAGATTCAATGAATTTGCAGTGTTTTAGTTGAGAGTTGTAAGATTGCATCCAAGTTTATATTTGATTTGATGGTTAGCAAAACTGCAGTTTCTTTTTTGCTTAGAAACTGTCAGACCACACAAGATCTGAGTATTGTAATCATGGGAGCTGCAGAAAGCAAGCTTGCTTTTCGAAAGAATGTATTCGCCTTGTATGAGCACCAGGCAAGTGCATTGCTCTAGCACACACTGCATACATATGGCTGTATGAATGCGACCTTGTGTCGCAACCCATGCCAATCGTGATATTGGCTAGATTACCAGCAAGCCAGTCCAGGCCTATTCCATCATCGTATTCCTTTCTATTGTGGGATTTGAGAACTATGGGCTTATGATACAGCTCTTTACTACTGCATCTTTGTCCAGCCAGCATATTGCTAATTTACTATTCCGTCTATTATCCTTAAATTCATGGCGGATGACTAGGCAATCCCACAAGATAACCAAGCCTTCTGGGACTCATTCTTAGAGCTGCCTGACACTCCGGAAAATGTGTTTAATCTCATATCTCCCAAAGATGTGCGCAAGATCATCCAAGAGCATCCAGAGAATATCAAAATGCTTGTTCAAAAGGTAAACTTCATTGCTGATTTCACATTAAAGGAGCGATCAATCTAAAATGTCTAGATCTACGGATATATCTTATCCAGTAACGATTACAGTCATTGATTTCATTTGTTGTTTGTGGAGTTACCAATAAATATACTTTGTCAGATCTCCGTTTTTGCAGATCCCAATCATAAATGAAAGCCAAATGGCTGCTATATTTGCATTAACACTATTCTTGTATCTGTTTTGCTGAATTGATTAAAATAGGTTTCTGCTCATATTTTAGGATTCAGCCAACTTACCAGTCGTCCTCAGCCCAAAGACATCAAAGAGGTTTTAAATGCCGTCCGGATCTTGACAAGACTATTGCCATTTATTTTTGAATTGGATGATGGTGGTGTGCTTGAGTCTAGTATGTTTTGGGACAACGAGATCAAAGAGTCTGTTCCTCAATCTACTGCCGAAGCCAAGGATGGTGGTATACCTACGCTTGGCAGTCGGCTTGCTATTGCAGCAGTCCAGCTTCTGTTTTACCAAAAGTTTGTTTTTAATCATTTCAACTACATTGACATCCCCATATATCTGATTTACTAACATTTAATGCTTTAGATTCACGCTGCCAGATCTAGATACTGACTCGGAGAATGTCAGATTTTCTATTTGGTACGAATTTTTGCTTGCTGAGCTTACTATTCCAATCAGCAGCTAAACATTTGATTTATCTGATCAACTAGGTTGAAAGGAGTGGGTGCTACAGATTCGCTACCAACATCAAGAGATGAAATTATCCATCGCATCGAAGTGCTTCGACTATTGTTCACAATGATGTCTTGTACTCTATACTGTAAACCAAATCAACTCATTGAGAATGAGAACAAATGGACAAATGTGGTTATTTCAAAATTGGAAAAAAAACATGCTCTGTGCCTTTTGTGTTCACTTCTCAACACGATTACAACCTATGATCCTATTGGTTGGGCAGCTCTACCCTATAATTATGTTTGTATTTTTTCTTTGGATCAAGTTTTGATATATTTAAAGCCTACGTTAAATTTAACACTAGTTTAAATGCTGTAGCTTTTTTTTGGAGACGTTCAGGAACCTTTTGTTTCTATTTGCACTCAAACTCTCACTGCTCTGCTAGACTATAAATCTTGGGAGTCCTCTACTACAAAGCATGCACGTGCAGAAAGGCGAGTCTATAAATTATATAGTCATGATTGTTGTAATTTGACGAGACTAATTATTACCAACATTGCTTAATCGAAAATAGTCAAAACTCTACAAGTGGTGCTGTATCTGATGATCAAATCAATACGGCGGTTAGTTCCACCAGTGCTACCAACGTAAAAGTATTTGATTTTTGCAGTGCATTATTTCTAAACCATTGTGTTGGTATCAGATTGTGTTTTGATAATATACTGACATGATCAAATTGATCTCTGTTTTACATGCAAATAGTTGGCAGGAATGTCCAATGATTTTAGATACTATTCTGGGAAGATTTACAAGACTGAGGACTTTGAACTCATATCAGCAGGCTTAGCGCGTCTACTTCGAAACCCTCTTGATGCAAGTATTTACATTGTTACAGATTCAACAAAATACTGCTCATTTACTGAATTATCAATTTATTTTTATATATAGGCGGGCAAAGCTTATTTACCAGGGTCGACCAAGAAGATTTCCATAACTACAGAACTTTTGACTCTTTTATGGGTTTTGATCAACACAAACGAGGCAAGTTTTTAAAATAACGTTTTTTCGACTCGAGTATTTTGGATTGATCTAATGTTTTTATTTTGTTTTTAGGGATTCTTACGGCACCTTGTTGGATCCGCTCATTTGCTTATCATCATGGAAGCTTTGCTTGGCGTATGCTTAGAAGTACGGAGAGAGCCTGGTGAGTTTGTTATGATTATCTGCTACTATAGCATGTTGCGTTCAAGTTTGTGCAGCAATCACCTAGTAACAAATGGTTTAATTTGGACTATTGCCATTTTTGGTTTGAATGAAATCAGCTCGTGCAGGATCATTAAGACTGGCCTGTTTTATCTTACATATTCTCTCACAAGAACGTGGATTTGGAGTGTCGTTGAATGAGCCTTTTGATATGGCCACTGTCGGCTCACTTTCCAGACACTTTCCCGTTTTTTCTCAGGGCTGCTGGGGTGATTTTTTGTTTTTGGTAGGCAGTTTTGTATGCTTTATAAACTGCTTGTGCTAATTAATGTTGTGGTCAATGGTGGATTGAAGGGTTTAGATACATTTTGCTAACATTGAAAGCGACTTGTTTGATTGTTTTGGCTTAGTCGGTATATGTCATCTTGTCTACTACTGGACCTATGCGTCCAGTGATTTTAAGCCTTCAAGAACCACTGCTAGTTGTACTTGCAAATTCATCACCACTTGTAAAATGTCTTACAGCAACAACTGCCAATAAGCTTATTTCACTTTTTGATGTATTTTCGAGTCCAGCATTTTTGCTTTCCAAGGAGCACAACTACCGACTACTCTATTATCTCCTTGACATTTTCAACAATATTATTCAATATCAATTTGCAGGCAATGCACAGTTGATTTACTCGTTGGTGCGTCATAAGGATAAGATCAATAGTCTGTATCAAATGTCATTGAAGAGTGCGATTAGCGAGATTGAGCGGATGCGACTTGCCGACTCGAAGCGTCTGGATGGAAAATCTCAAACTTTGACTGCTACTGAGTCTACCTTGCTACAGGATACGGAAACCAACACACCACAAGAGCCTGCTGATGTGATAGCATCTACTGAAACTGTAAAAAATGAGGATCCAGTTCAGGATCAGGAAAAGTCGGAACTTTCTGAAAAGGCAAAAGGCAAGCTTCCAGATCGGTCTGAGATAGCTGACAAGGAAAGCAAAGTTGTACCTGTTACCAGTACAGACTTGCCATTAACTGAGGAGCCAACCACTCCAGTTTTTCGATCCAAATGTGGATTTAAGCCAACCGAAGAATGGGTACGTTGCTGTTTACTAGATTGGTTGTTGACATCTGGGGTTTTAACCACAACATATTGTTAAATTATAGTTTCATTCATGGCGCTCGCAGCTGCCCTTATTGGTACTTTTGTCACTTTCCGACTATCTTCGACCACGCATTGAGCAGTTTTGTGTTGATAATGGGCTTAACGATGACCGCAAAGTAGTCGAATTTTTGTCCAAGGAGACTGTTGTTGGTGTCCTTCCTCAACCACACTTGATCATGATGCGCTCGTTTACTTATTCTGACCCGATGCATGTATGGTTTACAAGCTATTTTTGGGTAAAGTGACTAGATCTAGCGATACCGATTTTAAATTTGCTGCAATACTGATTGTTGAACATGTCTATATATAGGGTACGGTATATCTGAAAGCGACAGAGACAATGAGTGCAGAGACTGCCAAAATATGTCCTCCTATTTGGCTTGGAACAGCGATTCAACTGTTTCATGTTCGAGTGAATGCTTCTAAATAAGTTGAAGTATTCGAGTAGTTTAAGAATGTCGAAAGCAGTTTTATCGAAATGAATTTGGAGCGTTACATAAAAACTATATTTGATTAATTGAAAACTCGCAAAGCATATTTGTACTCTGACGGCTAATGCTCGAGTATAAAAACGAGCTGTTTGGTGATTTAAACCGACATTCACCAAATGGTAAACATTACAAAAGCAAATGTTCACATACTTTCCCGACCATCACAGACTGCTGCTATTCCCTCTCAGTCATCTGCTGTAAATAAGCCTGTAACAGATCGTTATATTGAGCCAGCAAATGCAACGTTTATTATGAACAATTCCATACTAATCAAGAACAAAGTGGTTTTGCCAAGTAGAGTTTTTGAGCACATTGTTCAAGATGCAGATTCTGTCGCTACTACTGTCCACACTACTTTAGCTGCTGCTACAACAAACGCCAATCAATTGGTCGGACATTCACAATCACACCGAGAAGCTGAAATTTGTAAAGGACGGCCCACACATAGGTATGATTTTCGACCTAGAGCACCTGCTTCACAAAGTGGTCAGCCTAGTGTGGCAGCTATTGATTTCAATGAGTCGGTTCAAGTTGTCAACAAGATAAATCGATTAGGCTTGAATGCAGTGCATATCACGACCCCATTTCCGAAAGCCTTGGATGATGTATGCCAAAATTCGATGAATGCCGATATCAAAGTGTTGGATTCGCTGACCAAAACTTCGAGATATTTTACTTGCTGCAATATTCAGACAAGGGTTATGGTAAGGTCTGAACCTCCAGCATTTCGAAGGTCTACTCGTAAACGCAAGAGCTTGTTGAGCAATCTGTCAGACCTTTTATTAGCTGCAGATATGGACATGGACATGGATGTAGATACCACACACCATGAGCCAACACCCATGTCTTTAAAACCCTGTCGGCTTATAGATTCACCAGACTTTCTAACATCAGAACCGGCTTGCAAACAAGCAGCCAAGCACAAATATAACTTGTTAGTGCGTGAGCCAACTTTAAAAACAGATTCTAAAGCAAGCGGTCGATCATCAAATCTTAAACTCGCTTCAGCCTTAAAACCCAAGCCGTGCAAGCGTAAAAGCGAATCACATAGTTCTGATCCATCACCATCTCGACACATATCTAAAAGTGATTCTCCTACTGCACCTCTACACATAGGAGTTCAATCGACTCCACAACTAAAAGGATCAAAAAGATTGAAGGTTGTTTTATTGTCCAATTCAATGGCTACAATAACTACGGTTAAGCAACCTTTATTGGCTGGAATTGACTATTCAGACATATCTGATTTGTCTGATCATCCAGACTATTGTACTTTTAAAAGTTTTATAGATTTTGAAGCTGATGTCAAGCATACTCTTGAGATATCAAAGCCCTTGCCTACGATTTCTATACCAAAATGCTCCAAACCCATTCAATCGCTCACAAGCTCTATAAAAGCTGACTCTCAAGAAACCACATCGCTGCTTTCTATGTGGAATCCAGAATTGATGTTTAAAAGTAGAGATTCACCACTTTTAAAACTACACGATAATGCAAAAGTATGTATCTATATGTGCATGGTATTGCCATTTCCTCACAATAGTGCGTTGCACAAGTATTGATTTTTTATTGGCTTTACTGCTAGAATCTATTTACCAAGCAGATCTGGGATACGTTTAGCAACAAAGACCAGCAGGAGCTGCTTAAACTACTTCCTGCTGTTGATTTGACTGTAGAAGCAACACCACCCATCGAATCCATCTCTGATCATCATGGCGATGTAAGATTGCAGCCACAGCTCACTATTCGTGATGGATTGCTAAGACAGGATTTTCATCTAAATGACTCGCTTGAATTATTTATGGAGCACCTTTCTGGCGGCTTTTACCTTGACTGTGAACAAAGCTTTATGGTCAAGAATCTGCAAAAAATGATGAAAATTTACGATAAATGGAAAGACGAGCATTATGAGGATGTATGGGGCGATCAGTTGGACATGGATGATAGATCTGCTTGACGTAAATTTTGAAAAATATTGATTTAGGACTCGAGACATTGCATTACTTTAATTGAAATAGGACGATTATGAAATGGTACAAGCCTGAATCACGGCTGTACTCGTGTAAAATAAAACACTAAATAAGCTAAAATACATAATGAACATTTCATGTCTGATGGATGCCAATCCTACCCAACAACATGTGTTCTTTGAACTCTTTTAATTGACTGATTTCCGTCCCATTCTACAAAAAACAGCGAATGTTCATCACATCCTTGACATTCCTTCAATCTGCGACATTTCTTTGTTTTAAAAAACATTGAATGACTAGTATGGAAACACCATTCATTCCCGAGACTGCAATGATTGGAATGTATTTGATCAAGTACAAGTTTATTCAATGACGAATACTCCTTGGTTGCGTGTAAAAGCAAGGTTTTCAATAAAAAGCAGAGTCATGGCAAGACAAATGCTTTATGTAAACACGGCTGTAAAACAGTTGGAAACCACTCGAGACGACACGTTGCAGGCTGACATTTAGAAAGTCAAATCATTAGATTCAACAGTCAGCTGATGTAAAATGCAAATAATTTCACGTGACTGAATCAAGACAGTCTAAAAATCCCTGAGGAAACTCACTTTAACCAATCGTCGATTTCGATTGCTTGAAGTTTATCGAGTATAATGTCAGCGCCTGTGGTTCCGCCCAACCAGTACGATGTGAACATGGACAATCCTCTACAGGGAAGTCCATGGGCAGATATAGAATCTCATCCAGGTATTAACTTGATTTCAAACCAACAGTCGCTTGCCACATTTGGCAGCCATTTGAAAATCTCGGAGCCGTTTTAGATTTCAGATTATACATGATTATCGATGGCTACAGTTTATAATTTGCTTAGCTGATCTGATCGAGTCACATGTTATCTCACAGCTCTGTACTTTTAGACTATTTTTAATATTGCATCTACTTGCATATATCCAACTAATCAGTCATGGTTGACCGATCAATGATTCACTGGTTAAAAGGTGTTTTTACAGAGCTTGCAAGTCAGATTGGCATTAAAGGAGTGGAAATTGCCGAGATATTCAGTCTTGATGCAGAATATTTAAAGGCTTTCGAGTATGTATACTTTTAATCTGATTTCCCACTTGTAACTGCCATCTCGTATACTTCCAACTCATGTGGCATCATAGTTTAATTTATAACCAAATTTATATCTAACCTGTTACTCAAGACCAATTTACGGACTGATATTTTTATTCGAGTGGCATGCAGAAGACACGGAACAGAGTAAAATTGCTGCAGATATAAAAAGTATCCCAGAAAAAATATTTTTTATTAATCAGGTAAATGCACAACTGGTTGAATTCACAGTCTAAACATACAATTCCACTTGTTGAATGAATGGCTAATTGAGCTGATTTTGATGTAGGTTGTTCCGGATGCATGTGCCACTCAAGCACTGTTGAGTATTGCTTTAAATAGCGCTACTATTGAACTAGATTCATCATTGGTAGAATTTAAGCAATTTTGTTTAGAATTATCTCCAGCAGTAAGTAGGTCATGCTGGTTATGATATCCATGTGCTGTGTTGGGTTGCTAGACTGTATCATCGAATAGACTGATTTGGTTGCAAGTATAAATATATTTAAGCTTTGCTGATGATATTATTTACTTTAGATGCGTGGATTGGCATTGAGTGGGTTTCAGAGATTAAGGGTATCACACAATTCGTTTGCAAGGTAAGATCTGTTTGTCAATCATGTAGCTATTTGAAATCTTATAACTCAACTTCTGTTTTATGTACTCTATGCAGACAAACGGATATCTCTACACTCTACTACCCTGTACCACAAAAACGCAAGTATAAAAAGGCTGTAACAAAAAAACCTCCACAATCAGTTAAAGGTAATCTTGCGCGAGTTCCAGTTTCAATCAGCACAGATACATCTCAAAAAAGTAGCACTGGAACTACATTAAAATCAAGAAAAGCACAGCAGCGAAAAAATATGACTTCCAAAACCTGTGACTCTAATCTGGAAAAATCACAAACTACATGCAACGACAAAAGTGCACAACCAAAATATCATTTTATTGGATATGTACCCATCGATGATGCGGTTTGGGAGCTTGATGGTCTAAAACGGATGCCTAAAAAACTGGGTAAGAATATTGATTTTCTTTGTTAAACCAATCTGTAACACATTATCGATTATATGTTGTTAGAAGTACGGTTCTGAACAGTGTGCTGTTTTAACTATTGACTGACTTGACCTCACGCAAATGTCAATCTGATACATAAAAAGGGAACATACCAAAAAACGGTGATAGTTGGATATCGATAGCCATTTCTATCATTCAAAAGCGCATGAACAGGTATAATTTGGGGTCTATTGAATAACATCTTGCATATCAAATTCATATGTTTAATGCTGTATTTTGATTGTATGGATGCTGCGATTTTTTATTAGCTATTCAGTTGAATTTAATCTATTGGCGCTTATTGAGGATCGAGTGCAAATGTATGAAAAAAAGAAAAGGCTTATTAGCACTGCTCGCGAGTGTATTTTAAAATGTGAAGCATCCGAAGCTTCTCCAACGTCTGATTTTGTAAGTCCATCGTCTTATAGGACCATGAATTGAGCTAAAAGAAAATAACCGTGCTAATCCATTTTGATTGCTCACTAGGCGGTTTTTTTAAAGGAGGCTGAACTGAGTGTAGAGGATTACGCCGTTTTGAAATCCAAATTGAATGTGTCGACTGCCCTGGAAATTCTGGATAAATCTGATCGTGCTATTGACTGTAGAATCAAAGAAGAGGCTGAAAAACGCCAAGAGTATAAAGTACGTAACATTTTTGCTTTATGGCTTACTGTTTCAAGCCTGTACACCTTGCGTCTATTTTTGAAAAGCCAGTTTTGCATACCTACAGCTTGACGTTTTGATTTCTTATTGATATGGCCTAGGATGAGAATATAAGACGTCGATTTAACTATGCTCCGTTTATACGCAAATGGTTTGAGATTATGATCAGAAACGGTTCACTTGCATCCCATATCAAATAAAGTTTGAAATCAATTGTTTTTAATTAAATCGCAATATCTACCATTATCGTGTAATTTGAATAAGTTTCAAAAAGTAGTTCATTCGATGATTGAAAATATAGACTAGTAACATATATGAATGAGATGGAAAAATTGAACAGGGAAGCTAGTCTAGAGGTATCCTGATAAAATTCCGAAAGCAATGTATGAAAATAGGTTGGCCATGAATGGTAGACCAGTAAAATTTAACGAATGCGAGATCTAACCTCTAGAGTGCTTTCGCTCACATTTTTATGCTCGTGATACAATCGTGGGTCCGCGGTGCGTATATCAGCTGTGTGAGTAGCACTGCGATCTAGATCTCGAGCGCCATATAAGCGAGGATCGTGTGTTCGTGCATCATGAAGACGAGGATCGTAGTGCCTTGGATCATGAGGACGAATATCATGTGGTGAAATAGCATCTTTCAGTCTTGGGTCATGAAGCACTAGTCTCGGGTCATCATGCTTGATGCCCTCCTGTACTCTCGAATTAGGGATATGTCGAGAGTCTGCTAATCTTGGATTAACCAAAGGTGACTCTGCAATAGCTGCTCCATTATCACCAGAAGGAGCACCATATCCAGCATGCTTGTCATTAACCTCGGCCATATATCGATCATAGCTTCGGGGACTTGGGCTAGTTCTGCGATCTCTCGCATCATAATATTCAATATAATCGGCATGATGATGACGTCCTTTTGTGTCTCGTTCATCCAAATATCGATTGTCACGATGATATTCTGGAGAATAATCTCGATGGTCTGATTGGTAGGGATAATAGCCATCGTCATACCGATTGTATCCACCCCGAAAGTATGGCCAATCGGAAGGACGTTCCATATAACGGTAATCATCTTGTTCGTCATACATGTGCTCATTGACAGATCCAATCATACCGCCTATACCATGCCCAGCATTTCCAGATACGCGTTTAACATTTACAATGCTGGAAGGTGTGGTTGAATTGGGATGGGGTGCGCAGCGAGAAAGTGGAGAGTAGTGATTGCGCGGGCCGTCATATCGAGGATCGTCCCGGTGGTGTCTAGAAACTGGATGAGACAGTGGAGGTGGAGATCTAGCACGTCTACGAGGAGATGGCGAGCGAGAAAAAGACCTAGAGCGAGAGTGCTTGTAAATCGGGGACCTTGAACGGGATCGTGATCTAGACTTTGATCTGGATCTGGATCTTGACCGAAAACCAAGATGTCGATACGAAGACTTGGATGGGTAGCCTTGATCACGCACAGTCACCGGAACTCCAACCATAGATCCTGTATCCGGTCCACTATTGAGTGGTTAAAGTTGAAGAATTGATCGTGCATTATGTAGCAGAAAATTAAAAATTGCAGATGAAAAAAGTAACAATGAAAATATCCAGTAAATTCCTGTAATCCAGTCATCCAGTAATCTCAAAATTTATCCTGAAATGATATTGAAGGCACAAGGAAACCAATCCTACCGACAGAATCTAGCCAAATGGCCAAATGATCCACACTTGAAGCATTTTCCAGACTTCACATCAGCTCCGCGTTCCTTGTTATCTGGACAGTCCCTATGAACAGTGAAGCAAAATGGATATACAGTCATCAAATTGTAGGTTTAGCAAATAGCTGTGCTACTAAGCTAGATTAAAAAGATAAACTTGGCGCTTAAAAAACACAGTACCTTGCCCAATGGCCTTCATTTCCGCAGAGAAGACAGCTGTTACCAACGGAATCCCTTTTGTTACTAAACTCGACAAGCAAGCGTCGACCGTCAAAAGAGTGGTTGTTCAATGCCAAAACTGCTTCGTCGGCATCCTTTTGGGTCTCTATACAAACAAGTTACAAAAGTAAATTCAAATATCAAGTTAAAGCTTAGTATAATTTAAAAGTATTGCATATTAAGCATGGCTGAATCTAAACTGATAGCATTCTTCAAATTCTAATGTAGCTCGAGTAAGTGAATTACTCGAGCTACATTAAGGAATAAAAATGCAAGGCAGATTAAGCAGAGCCATCTACAGCGTTCAGTACATGGTCTAGAGCAATTCTGAATAGACAGCAAGTAGTGAAAATGAATAACTGAAAGTAATGCAAAACTGATGCAGTGCTTTACATAATTAAGGGTTCAATTCCAGCGTTGATATATTTCACATACTCATTGCTACACATCACGTGAACTACATTAGTTCCGAACCCAAACAACAATCCACTGAATGAGCCATGAATGGTATTGTCCACGAATTACTTGGCTAGTTAATGCCAACAACTGCAATACTCTGCCAAATATCAATTTCCTCATTTTCATATTACAGCCTTACTCATGTGAAATGGAACGCTAAATAAAGATGCCAAACACATAACAGACAGCAATCCTATGAAATAATGAGTGCCAGTTTACTGGACAACACTGTTTTTTAAATTTGTTTACTGATCTGTCTTTTGATGATTGGCATGGAATAATAGTTGCATTCCTGAATTGTTCTCTTGAACTAGAGCGCGAACGCACGAGTTCTTAGGATACAGCAAGATGGAGTTTGATTAAAAATAGTCAAACTCAATATCTAGATTGCAATACATGAATTTGGTCTCAAACTTGTAATCGTACAATGTATGACTGCCAATAAAGACAATCACAGCTCAGACTATAGTTGTGTGCACCATATAATGGGCGTTATGTTCGAAAGTAGAGGGATTGAGAATATCTATTGAATAGCTCAATTTCTAGCAGAAAAGCACAACGAATATTTATATTCTGGAGCAAAATAGTCGTTCCAAAAATACAAGTGTTCCATTTTACCGAATACGGCTGTAATGCTAAACAAAGTTTAGAAACCGCAACATCCAGACAGCACCACTTACCATACTGAACAAAAGCATATCCACCATGCTTGATTTCGATAGAAAGGATTTTCCCATAGGTAACAAACAGGTCGTCTAGCTCTCTTTTAGCCACATTGTAAGGCAAGTGACCGACGTAAACCTTTGATGGGAGTTTTCCTTTCAAGTTGTTCTTTCCGTTGACAAGACAAGGCGATTTCAAAGACAAACTGGACGGTGCGTCAGTAGTAGCAGATGCTGCTGCTCTTGCTCTAGCAGTCGCCTCGGAAGAATACATGCTCAAGCCTTTTAGTTTGCTGCCGCTCAGGTTCAAATTATCAAATTGCAACTAATTCAAATTAGTGTCACGTGAATTAGTATACACGTGATGTATCATCAACCACTATCTTGGTCATTTTTATTATTTGGCAAAAGTCTGCAACGGCTCGTTCTCTTGCTCGTATTCTACTTCCACGCGCGCAAACTCTAGATATCATTATTAAACACAACGAGTTAGATTCAAATCTATAAACGTGACTCTTGTTGGTATTTGGATCGCTATTCATGACAAACTTACTCCTGCGTGGCTTTTGAACTGGCCCTTTGCCTTGTCTGTGACCTGCAGTTGGCTTTTTGGGTGAACTATCGTCACTATTTATGCTGCTTTCATCTCCATCTGATAGTTCAATGTCATCCATATCTTCGTCTTCATCATCTTCTTCATCCTCATCGTCGCTGTATCCAAGGAAATCGCCAGTATCTTCCAAATCAGCAACATCGTCTTCACTCATATCAGAAACAAACTCTCTTTCCAACTAGATGGTTGAATTAAATACGTTTAGAAAGTTGATGGTTAAAACGAGTAGAATTCCACTTTCAAATTACCTCTTCCTCTTCCTCGTCTTCGTCCTCGAGTTCGTCTTCATCCTGCTCGTGCATTTCCTCAATCTCATCTAGAGCCTTGGTGAATGCTTCTTGAGATTCATTGATAATACCATCGGATCCGTAAACTCCCTTACGAAGACGATCCAACAATTCCTTCTCAATAGACATATCCAAACGAGCGGCAGCCTCTGCTTTTGCTTCTCTGCGAGCTTCACGGCGCTCAACCTTCTTTTTAATACCAACAAGCTTGGGTCTGATTTATCATAAAAGTATTGTCGTAAGTACAAAACTACAGTGTTTTCATGTAGTAATTCCAAAACTGATGGCTCGGTACAAGTCAACATACTTAGTTTTAATGCGCAGTCTACGCATACGGATGAGATATTGAGTAATCTTTGTCATTCTTTGTTTGCATTTATGGATCATGAATTCTGGCCAGTAAATAAGCTCGTTGTCAATCTTTTATCCAAGTAAATACAATCAAATTCAATCATTGCAAGACATGGTGGTTAGATTTAAATCTCAGTATTTATAATCATTCAAACTAAAAATATGCAAAAGACTAATGATAAATAGTAAATCTTCAAGTAGCAACCAACCTGTTCTAAAGCCTTTGTGTAATTCTTTGACAGCTTGATCTTTTCCCACATCTTGGAGGGCGTATGAGCACGCTCAATGGTCTTGACAAACAAATATAATACACCTTGATTTCAACAACAAATGGAGCGATTGGTCAGTATGATTTTGTTAAAAACTAGCTGATTCAAATCTGCACCAATCAAGAGATGGAGAAAATGGTGCCGACTAGTAGATATATTATCAAAAATTTGCAATACCTTCTTTTTCCTTGACAGTCGCATATCTACTGTTTGCTAAAGGACACGACTGTCTATTGCACAATCCAGTGACATTGTATTCATTACGACAGAAGCCTTGGGTTATAGTTCTTGTATATCAAAAATGATGAAATTAAATGGTGAATAAAAACGCTATAGTTGAACAGGATACAGCTATATATTACACATCAGTGCATATTGGTGCTGGATGGTGAATACTTACTCGACTTTGTATGAACAGAACTTATACGCAATTGTTTTCCAAATGAGCTAGTGATTCAATAGAATGATAATGTGTTGATCGCATTCAGTACAAATAAGTAACAAATACATTCAAATGTAACAGTGATATACAGATGAAAATTCAATATATACCTCGTCGACCTGCATGATTGCTACTGGTAACAAGCTAAATCCTCCAGTCAACAATACAGTGAATAGGAATAAAAAAAATTAAAGAATTTGAGCCAGAATGTTTTATTCGCCTGAGGGCACGGACTGTTGTTTGGCTTGAGCCTGAAAACTCGACTTTTGATAAGAATGGATCAAGACGGCTTTACATTGGTTGTACATAGACAGCGTAGCTCAAACAAGCGATCGCACATCAAGAATCAAAAAAAAACCAATGCAAACATAGCTGCACACCACTCAGCTGATAAGGAAAAACTGCTCAACTCAACTTTGGAACTGCCTGCAAACTTTCAACTTCTTATAGACAGCCAAGTGTAATTAACTGGGCGTTTGTCATGACTCAGTTATTACTGTAACGCCTGATCATCTAACATCGAGTTTGTGAATTTTAGCAATGTGATTCGTTCTGTTATATTCTACAAGAACTTTATAGGTTTGTAAATTCATCCACTACTCATGGCTTTATAGAATACAAGACTTACACCAGACCATATAATGACTATTAATGGAGTCCAGACCATATCAAGCCATCTATAGAGGAATTTAAAGGGCCATCTACAGAGTTAGACTGTGTGTGCTATGGACTTGGATCTATATCAGATTCCAAACTTGCCCAGTTTCAGTTTGCATTACTGATTATCATGATTCAAGAACTCAAGGTATTTGGTTGTTTTTATACTAAATAAGTGTATGGGGATTTGAAGCTCTAAAAGTATTTTTGTTTGAATAGTTTAATCGAGTGTATCTGTTTGAGCCTATGCTGACCCAAGCCGAATCAAAGTTTATTTCATTGCAAGGAATCTCCATCATTTCAGAAAACGAGGTATTTATATGGATTAATCATTGGTTGATATCATCTGGTTACACGAATATAATGAATCGACTGTTTAAATAAACTAATGCAACGTTATTTAGAATGGCGAACGAAAGGTACATCAAAAGACGCTGTTTTACATGCCACATTGTCCAATTATGTTGTATAATAATGTAATCAAATCCAACTGGGACACTGGACAATACACCAAGCTGGCTATTATAGGAAACAGTTTTGAGACGTACGATCTAAACAGTATGGGCACTAGTCTTGGCGATAAGTGCCCATTCATTCAAAGTGCATTGACACAAGGGATTGTTACAGAAACTCTATTTGTAGACTTTGAACCGCTTAGCCATGCATTCAACAACACTGCTCTGATTCAATTCAAGTCTTTTAAATAATTTATATTTGTAATATATGGCCGGATCTTGCAAATAAATTAGTCGATTCATTTGCCAGGAAATGATAGTTTGACGAAACTGCAAGTCAATCTAGATTGGAAATTCACATTTTTTCTTCATTTCCGTATCTTGTTGCCGGCCGTAAATTGCTCAACACTGGTGAACTTACCACTTGAACCATTCAATAATTTGGTCGTAAGCACTTGTGTATATTGCCAAGATGGAGCAGTGCTTTGGTACCTTGTTTAGACAGTCTGCCTTTTCCTCTATGCATCCATCCCAGGTTATCTCTTCTCGTCCGCTACGAGCTCCTTGGACTGCTGCTGCGATTGCTGCCAAAAAAACCAAAGAACAAATGATAGCATTCACAGCTGCAACTGAGCCAGTATCCAAGTCGGAAACTACTGCTACAGCCAATACTGTCGAGTCATTACCACATGCTAATACCAACATTACAACCAAGTCGACTGACAAGCTCCCAATTCTTCATTCTGCAACACAATGGGGACTCAAATATTCGTTACGCACAGATCTGAAAACTATCCAACTTGACTCTTTTGATGATGAAACCCTTATTCGGCCTATCTTCAAGTCTGGTTTTGCTCGTCACAACGGTATACTGAGCTGGAAGGAGAATTTCCCTCAGCCCCAAGCAAGCATGCTTGCAGATGTTCGTAGCAGAGCCATGTGTGATCTCGATCATGACATAACTGGACTTCCTGCCAAACCACTGCAGAACATGACCAATGCCGAATGGAAGCAATGGCTGTTGTTTGCCAGGTCAAAAAGATCTGAATTCAACAGACTACTTGAGAATAGACGGACCAGCGATAGTCATTGGAAACAATTTCTTGGTTTGGAAAATTTGCCATCCAAAGAAGAAGACATTCATCCTGTTCACTACTCTGCTTACAAGCCACCACAATCCATGTCTGATACTGCCAGTTATACTACCACCCCCATTCCTCTTGCCAAAAAAGTCCGAGGCCGTCTTCTCAACGTTCTCAGGGTATCCGATTATGCTGTGGGTATTAATGGCGTGGTTGCATATCTGCATAAAACCAAAACTCCATCGTATCTCCAACAACATAGCGGCCACAGTGGTTTCAACCAGCGTGTTTTGGTGGACAGATCTGTCACTTATGACTTTTGGGTGCTGTATTCTGGGCATGATCATCTTGGACGTCCAGATGTGATTGTTACCATGATGGATCCTGCAATTCATCACAATGCTATGTTTGATCATTCATCAGGCCGTGGTTCATCTTCTACGTCCAGGTATAGAGAAGCACATGAACGTCAGCATCAAAATACAAAAGATCTCAAAAATACTCTTAATATAAAGCCATTTGGTTTAAACCTGGAACAAAAAGACTATACTCAATTTCAAACAAGCTCGTTTTCCACTGAGCAAGATAACGATCTTATTGCATCTATTATCAACAATGCTACATCCTTGAAAAAATAAATGATTCAAAGTCGTAACCTTTAGCATCTATATATATTGTCGCTTTCTTTAAATGCGAGGCTTTATTTAAAAATTACAGGCACAGATCAACTATTGCTTTCTACCGAAAAAATGCCATTTCATGGTGGCAATCACTTGATAGCAATCTAAGTAAAACTCCAATTGCTACCAATTCAACAGTTGAAATGCTATTTTTAATTTTATTTATACTAAGATATGGGATAATTTTACGTAAACATTTAACCTTTTTAGGAATGAGTGGCTATTTAGAAACAGGCAAGCCATCATACTTGACACGCATTGTAATACACCAATTAGAAGAATCAGTCTTATTTCGAGCAAAAATCGTTCGACTAAACTCGTTCATGGTGCCGACCAAGTGCGGGCTAGCAAACTCGGCTACATCAATAGAAGTGTACCCAACAAGTTTATCTATCAAAGTCTCTGATACACTCCATAGCTCAACCTTGATGGTTGCATTGGTAATATTTCGAATTCCAAATACAAATGAGTTTAGAATGTCACAATTCGACGTGGTTTGTGATCGGCGTGTTGTGTGTGAACTCAGAGACGATTCTTCTGAACATCGTACAATGCAATAAGAGTTTGATATCAATGTAGATGAATTTGATATTGATGATGCTTTACTCGAGCTAGTAATTAAACTGGCTTCAATCTTTGAAATATACATGAGATGCAATAATGGCGGCTTTGGTTGATCAAAATCCAATGCTGTGTTGGATGATGCAGCTGAAATATTTAATACAGCTGCTGCTTGAACATTGCATGAAACAATTTCAATACGAAAAGTGTTTGATTTAGAGTGCATGCCGTGGTGTGATTGTCGGGTTTGCGATGATAAAAAACCCATGATCATAGATTGTGGCGAATGTCGTATTAAAGGACAGAATTGTGATCCTGCAATTAGAGTATAAAACCTAATAAAAAAGTCTCCTTCTTGGCCAGATCGATAAGTTGTGGGAATAACAACATAGCGTCCTTCTTTCAAAATGCAGCGACAAAACACTTCTGTATGAGATGTGTAATTGCTTACATGACACTGCTGATAGTTTAAATCGGTAATACGAAAATCGCGATTTTCTTCGACTTTCAAAATAATCAGTCCAATGGAAATGTCACTACTATGCGTAGGATGATTGGCATGCCTTCGCTGTAGATAAAAAATGACTTCACTGCTTTTGCGTATATCAAGCAAAAACTGAGGATTATTGCATACTGTATAAGGATAGCTCAGGCTTCCGCCATCACTTTTATCTGCCTTTGACCATCTACCATAGTATCGGCCGGATATTACGCGACGTGATATCAATGAACGATTTGGCTGATCAAACATACGACAAATAATCATGGTTGAAAACTCGCGCAAAAAATCTAAAAGTAAAACTGTAAACTGCCCGTCTTGACCTATGCTAAGATTTAGTTGTTTGCGCTCCTTTGCTAGTATGCTTGGCCAATCAGGACTAGTATGGCTTACTGATGATGATTGATTCAAAAAAGGTTTGTAGATTTGAACAACTGGTACAGTCTTTTTATGGAAAAGACTTGTTTTTATGTGCGTGTAAAACACCTTGGTGACAGCATACATATCGCTACATAAATCATCTAAAATTCAAAGAATCGCCAAAGATTGGTTGTAAATACCATCATTTTACATTGTACAGGATAGATAGTAAGCGATTCATTTTACCAGTGCATGCATTTCCAAAAGGATTGCTTTTTTGAAAAAAGCAACTTATTAGAGCTCCACCACGCATAAGACTATCCATTGCATTAAAAAGCTGCATAGAATCTTCAGAAAGCGCATCTTGAGAAAATACTGACAAATCTATTTGTTCAGGTATATTTCCTATCAATTATATAAGCGATTGGTTAGATTTTTTGTTGTTTTATTTTCCAAATACACCAATCAACTGACATGACTGCCCAAAGTAGATAGTACACTTACCTGTCAAATCTGCAAATACACTTGTGCATGGCTTGATTGATTTTATCAGTTGATAGCTCCCATTGAGTTTAGAAAACGCCTTTTCCAGTAAAGGAACCCATAGATTCTGCTTATCTGGGCAATTGGTATAAAAGTTCAAGCATACGGACATGCATAGATTTGATTAAGCTATAGCCAATTGCTGACTTGAAGCATATATCTAGAGTGTTCAAAATTTGAAACTCACTTTTGGACAAGGAACATAACCATTCTCCTTGCGTAGTACATGGGAGAAAATCGTCAACAACAACTTCTACCCAAGTACCAAATCTGAAAAATCGAAATCGAAATATTCCTGTGAACAATAATATGGCATTATCAGTCTAACCATTTAGTTTATGAAAAAATCAGTGTTATTCTAAGCTTTTGCTTTTTATAATGACATACCTGGATGGTTGCTTTCCTCTACACACGAGCTGCCAGATGTTTTATAAGCATTCTTTTTTGTGATTGGAACTACCTGCTTAAACACTTGCGGATGTAGTGCAAATAATCTAGCAGCGGCAACTGTCCATCCACCAAACGCACCCTGTATTTAAACGTATTACATGATAATTTTTAGTTAGGAACCAACATATATTGGATTACTTTTAAATACAATTTAGGCATTACAGCCAATAGCATGTAGTGGTTCAAGGCAAAAGTTGATTTTAAACAACTGGGTGGATAATTACAAATTAAGTCCAAGATTAATTACTTGCTTGACCATAAAATCAACACTGACCTGAATGACGTTATTGCAGACTTCGTATTGTGTGATTAGATGACTATTGTGAATCATCTCTGTAGCACGAACCCAAATAATAGGATCATCTGGCTTTGCTCCATAGCCAGGAAGATATATTGATTTATCCGTAGGCATAAATGTCTAGTAAATGATCATAGTATATTTGTAAAGGGTAAATAAAAACTCGACGTTTTAATTACTTGCTCATTGCAAGTATATCTATGGTTTGAACCGAGATATGCAATAGTAGATACGGTTAAAAAGGCAACGAGAAAACAATGAAAATCACAATGTATGGTCACTTGGTGCAGATACTGTATGGTATATATCTTATACAACTGTATCATTACATATATAGAATCACATGATTCACGGAGCTATTCTTATTCACCAGTCGCGTGGCTGCACATGTTGGTGAACACGCCCATGAGAGTATAAATTGCCTCGGTGTTGCACTTACCGAATCTATAAACCTTTCTCCTTCATCAGAGTGCTTTTGATACAACTTAAAATAATCTACAAGAATGGTTAGTAAGAAACAAGATATACCCAAGCAAGTTTTAGCTGGAGTACATAATAGCTTTGTTGAATTCAGCCAGTGTTACAATTGATTAGACTTTTTTCCTACCTTGGTCATTGAATTTCCTCATTACTCGATAATGCAAGTACTGTTTGATAAAAGACTGGCCAAGTGTGATATGCTCGCGTAATTTTTTTTAGACAACTCCAAAAAACTGGATTTGAATAGATATGATGTGTAGCAAGTAAAAATAGCTGGGCATGTCGAGTTTACAAATGATAATACTCAAAGCCTTACACTGTGGTGGCTATACAATAGTATGCCACGTCTTTTTTCTGACAGGGATGACTCGATACATGCTGTATTAATCAAGCGTGAACTGGGAATCATTTTCATACAAGTCCAACAAGTGGAGTTTATAGAATGAATGGTCATTCGACATGCTCGCGATTTGCAGTCGTATTCACGTAAAATGTAACTTTGTACTCATCTTACAGTGACTATATTTGCTTTGAGATGGACAAATGTTAGATATTTGTTGTGCTCTCCTATTGGAAATCGACTGTAACATCTTTTCAACTAGCATTCTTGGCTCTTCAATAGACAACGACCATCATATGATGCACACAAACTACAGTTTTGAGAGTGTGCTTTCCTTTTTGGCATAGTCATACATTGTACAACACCAAGTTTGAAACCATATTCATGTATTGAGATTCAGATACTGAATTTGACTATTCTCAAACTCGTATCTGCTGTGTCCTAAAATATCGGATACGTTTGCATTCTAGTTCAACAAACCAATAATTGCATGCTCAAAATCAACCGTTTGGATGCTAATCACCAAGAGAACCCCTAGTAAACCTTGAGATCAAGATAACGCTATCTAAATTGGCACTCGTCATTTCATGGCTGTTTATTATGTATTTTGGTATCCTTGTCAGTGATCCATTTCACATGAATACGACTGTAAATAAACAGCCTATTCTATGTCGAGTCAGATTTTATAAAAAGTGATTATTGAAACATATGAAGGTTGGAGTAAAACCGCCAGTAGTATATGTCAGAATTTTAGGAGCTTCGTGATTTGTTAAAAATGTAATCTGTAACTGTTAGTAGTTATCAGAAGAGAACAAATCAGAAGTGTAAGAGGAAGTTGCACTTGAAATCAAGATCAGCAGACTTGGTCTTCTCAAGAGTAGTGAAAAGGGTTTGATAAAGTAGTTGGACAGATGAAATAGTTTGACAAGTTATTTATTGATAAAAGTAAGCATCTTAGCTTTTATAGTAATTAATTGTTTGTGTCTTGTGATACGAGCAAGTAACACATTAAATGATAAGAGGGGTTGTAAGCGAGAGTTACAACCAATAGGATTGTTTTATGAAATTAGTCAATTTAATAATGACACTGTATACCCGATTATTGAGAACTTGAATCCTAGAAATGAGTGTAATGGAGTTACTGTGCACATGGATTTTTGGTGATGAAAGGGTTTAACTTGTGTTTAAGTTTGGCGCTTTTTAGAACTAGCTTTGCCACAGGTTACCGCTTAAGAGTACCCGTCTGGATATTCCAACAGTATAGATAAGGCACTGAATGATACTACTTTTCTTGGTAGATGCTCTCTGCTAAAAGTTGTTCAAAGTGTCTGGAGTTGATCTCGCCTGTGACAGGTGATTTATGCTAAAATGCTATGAACAATCAATGTCAAATATAATGGTCAAGACTCGGTGCTTTATTCATACAAATAATTGTCTAATTCATTCCAACCCAAATGTATTATCTCAAGTATTTTCAACCAGACTAAGGAGCAAGTTTGTTTCTTCCATTCGAGCAACAGGGGAGCAATTTCGTGTAGAGAAGCCAAAGTCAATGATATATGGATTCCCAGATTCATCAATCAAGATATTCTCCTTTTTGATATCGTTATGTAGAATACCGGCCTCGTGAATGCTTTCGAGTGTTTCCAACAACTTCTGCTTTTGCTGTTCAGTGAATCCATTGGCCACCGTACCACAGATAGAAACACCTACACAGTACAGAACGTCCTCCACAAACCCATGACAAACGAATCTAGGTATGCCATTCCCTTGTAGCCCCGATAGCTGTTCATACACAGAAACCTCATTCAGCAATTCTGGAAGCATTTCTCCGTGCTTGGCAATATCAGCAACCTTGAGAGCAATACGGCTAGATCCATAGTAATCCAAATACACTTTGCTTCTTCCTTCACCAAGAACTGTATCGAATTTGAAATCATCAACATCAAAGTCTTGGGGTTGCTCGTTGATTTGAATTCCAGACGACAAAGAACTGCATCCTTTGGAGAGACTAGCACGCGGAGATACTCTAGTACTACTTGGTCGAGAGATTTGGGTAGCAGAACTAGCTCTAGACGGACGCTTTGATGCGGGGGGAGAATCCATATGATTGTGATTGACGATGCTGTTGAAATACGATAAGCATTGTTGAACAGTGGGAGTTTGAGCAGTAAAGGAGATTCCCTCAGAAACATACAAAGCTTCATGACCTTGAGGTTCTTCACAAACGGCACATTCTTGATTTCGATAAACAAACCAGGTGTTTTCGTATGACGACAGAATCCCATATTGTCTGTGGTTCAATCGCATATAGTGGTAGAGTTGATTAAGAGCAAACGCACATGCCCTTGTTGTATGAATTGACGATATCACTGGTAGACAAGGTCCAATTGCCCTTTTCTTCAACAATGGCGACAATCTCTCCATTTCTAGTCATCAAATGGTC